GAGTACCGGGGTGTATATCCGCGGCGCGACCGTCAAGAATCAGGATGACTGCATTGCCATCAACTCGGGCGAGGTATGCTCCCCTGTCTTTTTCGCAGGTTGGTGTTGAAGCTAATTGACTCCAATTCCAGAACATCGAATTTTCCGGCGGCACCTGCTCCGGCGGCCACGGTCTCTCCATCGGCTCGGTCGGCGGTCGCGACGACAACACCGTCAAGAACGTCACCATCACTGACTCCACCGTGACCGACTCGGCCAACGGCGTGCGTATCAAGACGGTCTACGACGCCACCGGCTCCGTCAGCGAGGTCACGTACTCCAACATCAAGCTGTCTGGTATCACCGATTATGGTATCGTCATCGAGCAGGACTACGAGAACGGCAGCCCGACCGGTACCCCGACCACTGGCGTTCCGATCACCGATCTGACCATCGACGGTGTCACTGGTACAGTCGAGTCTGACGCCGTCGAGGTGTACATTCTATGCGGAGACGGCAGCTGCAGTGACTGGACCTGGGAGGGCGTGGACATCACTGGCGGGGAGACGAGCTCCAAGTGCGAGAATGTTCCCTCGGGTGCTTCTTGCTAGGAGCCTTATCGGATGAGAGTAGCATTAACCTGTTGGTTCACCATTGAGATAGCGTAATATCAGAAATTCTGTGCAATGTCATGCACACCTAGGTTCGAAAGGGAAGTCTGAGGCATTCAGTGCTGAAAGACTTGGTAGGTGAAATACTGAAGAAGTCCTTGAATTCGGACATGCCGCTGTAGGTGGACCAGATATGACAATGATATTTTAGCCGGTGATCCCAAACAGACGAAACCGAGGAATTGATACAACTGCCCATCACGGGGTAGGACGAGCCCACTTCTCCTGAATTCCGGAGCAGATGATGCACCCCGAGAACCGTGGGGGCAAGAATATACATGCATCGTAGTCATACCTGGAGTCCATCGCACTCCTTTCCTAAACAAGTATTATCTCAATCCTGGATGCGTTTAAAAACTGAGAAATGATGAATCTCAAACTGTCTATCCGAGGGCCAATCAGCTGCTCTGGCAGCCTCGCAGTGCATTCCGGAAGAAGCCTAGCTGCGTCCACTTTCCAACAATTTAGCAAGTATCTGCGGAGTACTCCCAGCGTGGATCTTGTGGATCGCTCCAATTTGTGGTCAGTGGTATCAAATTACCGATGGGTCTGGTTCTTCATATCAAAGCGTAATTGGTCGGTCCTGTCGAACCCACGAAATGGTTTGTTGATGTCAGCGATCGACAATTGGGGAATCATCGTCAATGCGGGGGCGTTGACTCCGGGGTAGACTCAGAAACAATATTGTGGGTTATCCATCCAAATTTCAAGACGGTTGAAATTAAATCTCATTTTTGAGGACAGCTGTTGTTTGTAGGTAAGCGCCATTCTGTGTACACGGAGCGGAATTATCATGCATATGCTGGAGCCAAGGGATTCCCAGATAGGCGCGTAGAATTGCTGGAACATGCAGGCGTCATATCGAAGATCTCCGCTAGCACATGTAGACTCCAAAGATACTAGGAATGTATTGAGCTTAGGTTCGGTTCATACATTGGGACTTGGAGAGATAAACTTGATAAGCCATGGCCTTGATCCACAATCGCGGGGATGGATCAACGGTCCCTGATCCCTCGTAGCGCTTATCATGACATTATGTCTCCCACAATAATGGACGTGTCGAAACCGAGGTATGCCGATCATGCGGGGGACTTTCATATGCCCTGTGCGCAATAAGGCTGGTCTGGATTAATATATAGGGTCGACCCAGCTTGACCGGCCAGACCTCCCTCCAGACATTCTTCGACTGAGAACTTGACTCAGACAATGGCGCACTCGAACATCCCCGAAGGATTCCTCGGAAATCTCACCGCAGATCAACAGAAGAAACTCGAGCAGTTATGGACAATTATCTTGACTCTGTCCGACGCTCTGACATCCACCACCACCGCAGACACAAATGAGCCCCAGCACAGACGCAACTCCTCCCTCGCTCGGACCAACACGACGGCCTCAAAGGGCAGCGCCGCCACTAACCCTGCCCACGCTGCTCAGGTCTCTCAGCACCTCCAGGGGCTCGGGCTGCACGCGCCCGAGATCAAACAAGTCCAACACATCCTCACCCAGATTACACCGGAGGAAATCCGAGACGGACTCCTAAGCACCGCAAAACACGATCACCCAGATGCACTGCTCCTGCGTTTCCTGCGCGCGCGCAAATGGGATGTCAACAAGGCCTTCGTCATGATGCTAGATGCCATCCTGTGGCGCATGAAGGACTTCCACGTCGACGAGGAGGTCATCGCCAAGGGCGAGCTGCATGCGCTCAAGGCGTCGCGAGATACCTCCAACGCTGTTGCCGCAAAGAACGGAAAGGACTTTCTGGCGCAGATGCGGATGGGAAAGGCGTACGTGCACGGTGTCGATCGGCTGGGCCGGCCCATCGTCGTGATCCGGGTGAAGCTGCATAAGCCCGGTGCGCAGAGCGAAGAGACATTAAATCAATTTATTATCCATGTTATCGAGTCCGTGCGGCTGTTACTCGTGCCGCCGGTGGAGACTGCTGTAAGCAATCGCTTTCTGCTTGGATGGACGGAACTGACGAGTGCAGGCTGTTGTCTTCGATATGACCGGATTCGGTCTCTCGAACATGGAATATCCTCCCGTCAAGTTCATCATTAAATGCTTTGAAGCAAACTATCCCGAGTCACTGGGTGTGCTACTCATTCACAACGCCCCATGGGTGTTCTCAGGTCCGTTTGTTCCTAGTGCAGGTAGTGTATCAACTGACGAGACCAGGTATCTGGCGCCTCATCAAAGGCTGGATGGATCCCGTCATTGTCTCCAAGATCCACTTCACCAAGACCATTGCCGATATGGAGAAGTTCATTCCCCGCGACCAGATCGTCAAGGAACTCGGCGGGACCGAGGACTGGACGTACGAGTACGTGGAGCCCGACGAGAACGAAAACGACCGCATGGAAGACACAACGGCGCGTGATGCCCTGCTGGCACAACGCGCCAGCATCGGCGACGAGTTACTTAACGCCACGTCCAAGTGGGTGACAGCCATCAAGAACAAGGATGAGGAGGAGACAGCAGCTGCCAAGGCTCATCGGGATGAGCTGATTGAGCAGTTGCGGTCGAATTACTGGCAGCTAGATCCGTACGTGCGTAGTCGGAACTATCTGGACCGAACCGGGGTGATCAGGGATGGGGGTAAGATCGACTTCTACCCCAAGAGCCAACCCCAGTCGGATGTTGAGGTGGCCAAGGTCGTGGAGGTCGAGCACGTGGAACAGACTCAGGCGCAGGTTGTTAATGTCTGATTCATTTCTTTCTGTACGAATTGTGTCTTCAGTGTATTTCGCTTTAGAACATGACCCGTTGTCTCTTCATAGGCACACACGAAGCTCTCTTGCATCGTAACAGTTGCCTGACTGTCCGCTCTTCGTGATAGTTAGTTGGCTAACCCCTCGAGGATTCCTTACCTCTTGAGGTATAAATAAGCTGGCGTTCTTCAAACCTGAAGATGGAGCACTTGATATGGTTGAAGTCCGCAAGAAGTGTGACAAAACCAACATGGGAGCTTTCCATGTCGTACAAAACGGCGCGGTAATCTGACACATTGGCAGTCGATTGGAGCAAGCGACCGTTCTCGACTTCAAACAGCCATCACATCGCACAACTTCTCCAATATTGCCCTCAGACCGTGGAGTGTATCTCTCCTGCTTTGAGCACGGGCGGGATCGATCGATGCTCGACGAGATTCACTGTATCGAATGTCTCTCGCACAGAGGCATCCAGGACCGACCATCCACACTGCACGCGCTCATATCGAAGGAGGAAAGCGTTCTCCCCAGGTATTGACGTATCCTCGTACGTCATTCTCCGTCAGGCGTATAACATTTTGTTGGAAGTGACAACTCTCATTATTCGATCGGATCAACGCAGAGGCAAAACTATCACGGTCGCGGGATCAACAGCAAGGTAGTTGCTATGCCGGTTGGACCGTTTGATTCACTTGGAGTATTAGCACATGGGTCACCCAAAGCTACCTTAGATGTTGACGAAAAGTAAGAAGGCAGTCCCGTGTTTTGATGGCGGGGGCATCCTTGGTACTTACAGTAGCAGAATATATAGACATAATGCATGGTAAATCAAAGAGGCCAAGAAGGAGGTCTGGTATTCTGAACAGATAGTAAACCATAGAGAATAAAGGATTTAATAAATGAATGACGGAATCTCTGGATCTAGAAGCAGTAATCTACTTCAACAACTTTGCAAATGTGCATGATCCTCACAGCCCTGATATTGTGCCCTATTTCCTATTTGGGCAGTTTACAGTTATCCAGTCATGTGACAATAGAAGCAAGTGGTCAGGGGCTGGCCAATCAGAATAGCTGGCTCAGGGAAGCCTTGCCTGAGGCAGCACTACCCCAGATGAGGATGGATTGTTGGAACTGGCGATATGGCGCCACTTTCTTTGTATACCATCAAGAGACAAATTCCAAAACTCTTTGTGTCCAAGTGATGCAGAAGGACTGTTCCTAAGAAAGACTAAATGTTTCAGAGTGAAATGGAAATGGGTTATGAGCCGTTGAACAAACAGACAGGACCCAACTCAATGAAGTAGATTGAGATACAGAACTAAAAAGAATGACGCAATTCCCAGAGATGTTACCAGAGTCTTTTACTGCGCAGGCGTAAAACCACTCAGGGATAGAAATGGCAATACCATGGTTGTGCACGAAGAGAAACTAGGTATCCATGACCGCTGCAGCCTGGCCAGGCATCTGAGGGAAGCCAATCTCGCCCCTGGTTCTTTGACTGACATTTCTCTCACTACACATCATCAAACATCCAACGCCAACCACGTATTACCATCACCTTCATCAAATCAGCGACATATCCGGAGATACAGAAGCTCATATATTGCAAATTGCGGGCTTCCCTTCTGCACGAGGCATCATGCCTCGCAAAGACTTTCAGAGAGACCTGATTGGTGCAAAAGTATCAGGCAGATTCCCTCATCTGAACGGTGTCGGAGCAGGAGACCATGATGGCTCTATCACATTTACGTTCGCTGATTCCTCAACCAGCACCAGGATTGATTTCCAAGCCATAGTATCAGGTGAGGCTTCTTCATGACCTTCTTATGACCGCGACCAACTGACATCTCGGTAGATACACAAGACTACCCCGAAAACCACACGTACTTTGTCTTCACCACGTCCGAAGATCCTCCCTCAAGGGTCGCTACAGTTATAGAAAATGCTCAGTCCAGGTTTTCAGGGGTTTCACTCGAGGATTTCCTGACGTACATCGACGAGCTCGTCCAAGACGCGCTACGGCAACCGGCTTTCGAAGCCGATGACGACGAGAAGGTTGACTATAGGGCTGACGAGACTGACTTTGACGACGACGACGTTGACTGGGATATGGAAAATGAACCGGTATTTGGCATTTCGCGGGCAGACGAAAAGCATCTATTGAAAACCTTGCGCCGCGACCTTCGCGCCGTGAAAAACGCGGGTCTTAAAGTAGGTTGTCTGGGAACACTGACAGGCGCTATAATCGTATCAGTCTCCTGTCGCATCGGTAGACTAGGCATATCTGAGGAGGCCATGAAAGCATGGAATGTTCGCGCTTCAGAATACCTGGTTCTGCTCATTCGTTATCCAGGGACCTATGTGCATTTTCAGGAACTGCTGGCGCTCGGAAATGCAAAGTACCCTGCAATCCAGTTCCACGTCGGGTTATGTGACTCTTACAAGCCAATTGCCGAAGACGCCATCCGAGCCTTTCAAGGGAATCTTTCACTATCCGAAGATGGCCTAACAGGGACCGCCCGATTGAGATCACTGTTCATCGAGCAACCGCTGGATTCACTCCTGAACGAGAGATTCCTCCGGATTATGGAATTGCGATATCATCTAGGCCTGTCATGGACAGGTGCTGAGCTTTACATTCAACAAAATCAAGGCAGGAAGCCGGACGATGGCGCTCTACCCGACGACTATTTCGAGCCAGACGCCTGGAGTGCCTCCGCACCCGCCCTGTTTCAAGATGACCATATAGGTCAAGGCCACGGGGTTGAAAAATTGTCCCTACCGTTGATAGCGATGCAGTTCACTCTTCGCCACTTTGTGAAGTGCACAGAATTCTGCCTGGTCTGCCATTGCAAAATCCGCGACCGTTTTGAAGCAATCAAGCCGTACGTTTGCTCCAACAGTTTGTGCTTGTTCCAGTACATGGCGCTCGGCATGGGCCCGAGCTTGGAACACGAGATTCAATTCCAACCTAGCGTTGTTGATTTGCTCATCAGTTTGACATATGCTCGGGCAGTATCCGGTAAACTCACGGATTTTCCCACGGGCCTGGGTCTCAAGGTCCCAGGGGTCCTAAACATGAATAGGCTTGACGAGATCGAACATCATCTGACAAGGCCGAATGACAGAAATTCTTCTCAGGTTCCAACCTGTTACAGTGGCAACTTGGTCCCGGCAACAATGGCCTGTCGCCTGGATAAGCGCACGCATCTGAAACCCGGAGACTGGGTGGTCATTTTTCAGACTGGAACGGATCAGAAGGACGGGCCCTGGCATTGTCGAGTAGAGGCCATTGATGTAGGTACTTGTGAGGTGCAACTCTCCTCTCCCACTGTGAAGGGACAGCAGCTCTTAGCATCTGAACTTCTGCCTGGCCCATCACAGGTCAAATTCATGGCTTATGAGAGGAATTTCGATGACCTTGACGTCGATGAGAAAAGAGCTGCGGTCAGACTGCTCCTCGACACCCTCCCGAATGTTGACAAGATGAAAGCCTTCCTTGCGGACTCTGATAACAAAAGGCTGGCTGCTTGGAGGGACGTCATTTCCCCGGCAGCACTTGACGTGTTGCGCTGGGTCGTTGCGTCAAACCGCTCGTTTATCCTGGAGGACGATACCACGCATTCTGATTATCGAGTGACTGGAATGGGGTCATACAAGCAGTTTCGGCTTGTGCAAGGAGCCCCAGACAAAGAGCAGCGCTTCAGAGCCGCCGTCGCCGCTAACGCCGCCATGACCAAGACAGATTACCCGACCATCTTTGCCTGGCACGGAAGTCCAGTGTGGAACTGGCACAGTATTCTCCGAGAAGGTCTGCACTTCAAAGAGGTTACAAACGGACGCGCCTATGGGGATGGGGTTTACCTGTCAAATAACTTCCACACATCCGTAGGTTACACCCGCGAAGGACTCGACTACTCCTGGCCTCAGAGCAATTTGAAAATCAGGATGCTGGTCTCGCTAAACGAGCTGGTCAATGCGCCAGCTCAGTTCAAACATACCAATCCGCATTACGTAGTCACCCAACTGGACTGGATACAGCCGAGATATCTCTTCGTCAAATGCCAAGGTGCAGGGCCCGGTGATGGAACAGCAAATGCCAAACCATCAGCGATGTATACTCAGGATCCAAAATATCCAGCCCAGGGGCCAAATGGAACTTCAATCTGCATTCCAATCTCTGCTCTGAACAGTCAGCGGAGACATAGCTTGGGCGTTACTAGCCGAACCGATTCTGACCTCGCCATATCCGCATCTCCTGGAAGAAAGAAGCGTAAGAGGGATGCTGATAAGCTGCCTACCCCTGACGCCTCGAAAAACGACATAGTCTTAGAGGAAGATGACGTTGTTAGTGTGGCCACAGCATTCGACGACCTTCAGATCCTTCTTTCAGAAGACGAATGCGAGGTAGAGGAGCCGGAGCCCCCGTCGGTCAAGCCGTCCAAGAACGGTGTGGAAAGTGACTTCGAGCCCGGAACTCTCAAAAAGGAATCCCTTCCCTTGCTCACCCCTCCCCAATACGCAACCACACCAGCGACCAAAGTTCTACAGCAACATCTGCAAGCGACTCTCAAAGTCCAAGGTCGAGAGCCCCTTCATGACCTCGGCTGGTACATTGACCCAGATTTTATAACCACAGTATACCAGTGGATCGTGGAGCTGCACAGCTTCGACCCCAAGCTCCCGCTCGCCAAAGACCTCAAGCAAGCGAATATGAAAAGCGTCGTGCTGGAACTGCGCTTCCCCCCGGGCTTCCCCATGTCTCCTCCATTTGTCCGCGTGATCCGGCCGCGATTCCTGGAGTTTGCCAATGGCGGTGGTGGGCACGTCACCGCCGGCGGGGCCATGTGTATGGAACTCTTGACCAATTCAGGCTGGCTCCCGACGGCATCTATCGAGAGCGTGCTGCTGCAGGTTCGAATGGCAATCACCAACACCGAACCCCGTCCTGCGCGTCTGGCGCTGAACCGGTCTCGCACGGACTATTCTGTTGGCGAGGCGGTTGAAGCGTACAAGAGGGCATGCCTGGCGCATGGATGGCAGATCCCGGAGGATATTCAGCGGCTTTCGTGGGCTTAATTTGTTTACGATTTATGGGATAACGACCTATTTAGGAATGTGGAAACACAAACATCCATTGCTGTTCTCGACGATAGTACTGATAAGGATTCCTGGCTTTGCTCGCTTTTATAGTCCAAGAATCTGGTATGACTCAAACTCTCTAGAACTGGCGCACGCTCGTACTCGTATTTGATTGGCGATTATTGTAGTGTTGCCTAGGATCAGCTAACAGTGGGTACTGGAAGCTATATAACAGCCCTATCACCTCATTTATCGCCATCCTGCCAACAATACCAAACAACCACTAAAACAATACAACCCGCAACAGCATCTCTCGGTACCTATTCTCCAGCAACCACCACGAATCACAATGTCCACTACCCCGCTTACAGACGAAATCTCAATCCGCCTAGCCGTTGAAGAAGACATCCCACAGCTCAACACCATCGAAACCTCCGCAGCCCAGCTCTTCCGCACCGTCCATCTCGCCTGGATCGCTGACTCCCCGCCCCTCGACCCAGCCACCCTGCGCTCCATGATCGCGCAGAAGAACGTATGGGTTGCAGTGACCTCAAACAACACAGCCGTAGGCTTCATCGCCGTACAAGACCTAGACGGAATGTTGTACATCGCCGAGATGGACGTCCATGAAGACTGGCAGAGGAGGGGGATAGCGCGGATGATGCTAGAGGAGGTGGAACGGCAGGCGAGAGAGAGGGGGTATGAGTATATTTCTCTCACGACGTATCGGGATTTGGGGTTTAATGGACGGTTCTACTCGAGGATGGGGTTTGAGGAGGTGGATGTGGAGAAGGCTGGGGAGGGACACGCACGGGAGTTGGAGGAGCAGGCAAGGGGTGGTCATGAGAAGGATAGGAGATGTGTGATGCGGAAGAGGGTCGCGGTATAGTTTATGGATTGGCTGTGCTAGAAAAGAATCCTCTGTTGGTTTACCGATGTGAGAGAGTCAAGACCTACACCTCGCTTCAGTAGTAGTAGTAGTAGTAGTAGTATTCATACCCATACAGCTGCCCTCTCTAGTGGCCTGCTATGTCGCCAAATGCACTTTGACCACCTTCTCTGACAAAGGCAAATTGTCAAAAGCGACGCGACTATCAACGTGCAGACTCCGGGCTTGACAACGCCGGAATCTGTTCGTGAATGCATCAGAAGATTCCTGTCTATGACGATGTCTTGCTCGAGATCTGTAGTAGGCCGACGGCCAACAAGCATCGCGAAATTCAATCGAATCTCGCCCCTAGGGATGGCATCTGTGTTTTGACTTATCTTCCAACCATGTATCTCGGACCCCGTATCTCCATCAAGGACCTCAGGTTGTCAAACGTGCACCCGAACAGCGGGGGAGGGAAGGTTTTTAGTGCAAACCGTATCAATCCTTCTGCTGACCCTCCAAATGTCAATAGTGAAATTATGTGCTTTGCTAAGATTAAGCGGATGCATGTCCCAGAGGCTCCCAGCCGTCCTCTTTCATTCGTTGCCAGCCGCCGTGCCGATTCCCAATCGCAGGACGCCGGAGGCGGTACGATACTCAATGGGGGTGTATGCTGCCTTCCAGAGCTCGACATGACACCAGGGCGCAATATATCATACACGCTGTTATCGACGACATCGCCAGTGGAATCTCGGATCCGGCACGCCGGTAATTCGTTCAGGTTTGGACGTCCCATCTCCTTCTCGAGCAGGTAGAAACAGTTACAGCGCCCTATGGCACAGGGGTCTTCATCTGGATCGGTGTCCTCATTCTCTAGAACAATGACGAAGAAATTCTTCCAGTACATTTCACGTACCACCGTCAGATGGCCTGTTCTGAGGACTGGGTGCAGAGGGTCCAGCCCAAGCGACTGGGACGCACCTTTAAAATCCGGAGCCTTTTACCTCTGCCTGGTTATGTCCATACTCTGTTCCAATCCCGTTGCTTCCTTGTCCAGGTCGCAATGATACCCGAACGCAGACTCCGACTCATCATCGGTGGCCGCCATGCTGAGGAGGGGAGAGCCCCCGGCCCCAGGAATTACTTTGTCCTGACCTTCCCCTCCCCGACTTGCATTGAGCAATTAGGAAGGAACGCCGAGTTTATCCGGCTACCCTCATGGTATGAAAGCCCACGTTGGTATTAACTCTTTCGCGGATGATGCCTGTAGTCTCGAAGCAGTCCAGGCGCACGGCGTGTTGGTAGGGGCATTCTACCTCACCAGCTCTCATCAGCAGCCAGTCCGAATTGTCTGCAAAATTCTGGGAGGTGAGATTTCCAAGTATGGGGTCTCCCTCGGGTTCGGATAGGTGAAAACACACACTTAGGTACACCCACTAGCATCCGAAAGTAAGAGGAAACAGATGGAACGACGAGGACTGCAACAACACGAGATCAGAGAAATGGCACTTCAAATACCAGTATGGAATCAGAATGGAGAGTCAGTTCAACACATTAAGAATCCAGCTCAAGGATCCTGGAATGTAAGTTACAGATGTGAGGAGCGTCGAAATGGGTTTAGAACCCTGGTTGATGAAGTTGACACCGACAGTGGAGGAAAGAACAGAAGACGCGTTGTTTGGTGCTGTTTTGCGAGTTTCATGTCGCTCTTTTACATTAATTTTCAGTCAACACAGTCGCCACAGTAATCCGTTAAGATGCATTCTAATCTCCTACAGCAAATGTTGCAACGTAGGATCTGCATCGCCTTCGCTATGAATCGTTCAATGACTATATGTAGTTCGCTTGGGGGACCATGGGAATGGTATATTACATTGACGAAGGGGCGTTGAAAAGGAAGGTCGGCGGAACTGAGAAGAAACGACAGGAAGTGCACTCAAAGTTGGAAGAGAACGGAGGCATGCCCTTATTCCTGATTTCTACAATAAGTTCGTCTTCTACCGATGAAATTGACTCTTGTAGACCCTCTCGTTCTGGCTCTGTGGCATTGCGGCTTGTCTGATCGCCATTAGCGCAGCATCTACAGCACAATATCCGCGGTCATTGTCATATTCAGTCAAGACTAAGTCTCCACCATGTCTCTCTTTGTAGACATTCCCTTGACACCTGTACTCAGGCCTTTCCATTTCTTCCACCCTGCGGTTCAGTGCGCCAAGAGATCCACAAGCCGTCCTTCATCCCGTACCCCGTTGTACAACTACATACATAGGACGTAGATGTAGTCAAAGCTCGGCAGCGACGCCAATTCGATCTCTGTAGCGCAAGGTAAAAGTCCATGTGGATAATAGAAGAACTAAGTGGAAATATATGTTCTGATTCTGATATTGACATTTTAAATACAGACATAGTTGCTTAATAAGCCCTATTGACAGAAATGAGTGTACAACCCCTGGCATTGATTACCATGTCAACACCCACTCCGTATATCTATTGCAATGATTGGAGTTGACGTTGCGTTAGTTTTTATTCTATACACTCAGCTATTACTGAACTCAGCATCATATATACTACTTTATCTACATGCTTGTGTGTGTGGATTGCTACCTACCACGGAGACATGGTGTGTATTGTTCTTCAGGGGAAGCAATCAACTAAACTTGATGATATTTCATCTTCTAGTCTTCCGAGCAAACATAAGTGCTGTATCTGTTTTATAGTGTCAGATCACACCAGCAAGATGGTCCAGTACATTCTCAAATGAATGTATCCTTGACTTTCACGTTTGCTGAAGTGACATCATATCAGACACATCCATGCGTCAAATCTCTTTCCAATCACAATATATAAAACACTTCTGGCTCCGCACAAGGCGTTCGCCTCTTCTCCTCCCAGTGCAATATCTCCCATCCGCAGCGAAGGAGAAGATCCTTCGTCTTATCCCATTGGTCGGCATATTGAGACCCCCTCCACCGGACATTGAGGGTGCGTTGGCCGTACTTTTTCCGATAGCCCTCGATAAGATCTGGAAGCATAGAAAACTCCTTTGGGCTGTACCTGGCGCCTTCCTGGTCGTGCTCCCATTCCTGGAGGGAGATTTTCCTAGCACTGAAAGGATTGAACAAGGGCAGCGGATCATACTCGTGCAAATCAACCTCTGGATACAGCAAGCGAGGCACCAGCCTTTGTCGGCAGTCAAACAACCACATCGTCACGGTAACAGGGCTGTCGGACCAGCTCAGTTTTCGGAAAACCTGCTCAATAGTGGGACTGATGACTTCAAACCAGTCGCTAACGTTCTTCAGCCATATAATACGGCGCTCAGCAAAGCGAGCCCCTGCGGTCGCCACACCATTCAAATCGAAGGGCGCCTTTGCGGTGAGTCCTTGCTTACTTTGTGAATTCTCAGGTCAAGCGAGGCGTATTGGATCTCGAGCTGTTTAAGCCGACATATATTACGTGTTCCAATCATCTCCAGCCATCTGTATAAGAGGTCCCAGTCTTGCTCGCCGTCTCGGATCATGAACAGGAATGTGTTTTCAGCGAAGAAGACTCTGGCTGCTTCTTGATAGATGGTGCTATTGCAAAGAAACAAGGGCAGTACTGAGCAAGGGAGGTTTCGTGTTTTAAAGATGGTTATTATCCGTTCAAATTCAATTGAACGGAAAAACACTAGATCTCGTCCTTCGGAGTCCAAAGAATTTATATCTCTGTGGTTGAGAATATATCTTTTGTAGATGAAGATGTAGGGTTCTTTCGAGACAAGTAAGTAATTGTAGATTTCGAGACGGATCTCAAGGGGAAGACAAAGGAAACTCTTGGGGTTACTGGCTGACTCCATGTTGGATGAGGAGGGATATGTCTGAGTAGTGTTGATGCAAAACTTTTCCCAGGAAATCTTTAGAGATATCGCGACATGTCATCCTTAAGCAGCAATGACATCCAATTGTGTAATTCTGATCACGACACTTTGTCCCGACAGCCAGCAAATTTTGACATCGGTGTACCAGACTTTATGCCCTACTACTGAGTTCTGATCTGACTCATATTTGACAAAAGGACGCTATGTCCAGTCCCTGTTTGGATCATTGAGCGAATTGACAGATAGGCCATATTCGAAAAAATCACTGGCCCCTTTATAATGATATTTGCACTGCCATATCTTTCCTCACCCTCATAGGTCCAGTGGTGCTCAACGATATCCTACGCGCATTGTATGCTGATCACTCTCCCCGTTTCTTTACTGATGCTGTATAGACTCACATCAGCCAGGCGCTGCATTGGGCTGGCGGTAGCGAGATCATACTATGGGGCTTAATCACCCATGTGGTCGGGCAGGCGCGGGTTGAAGTTGTTTGTAGGTTGCTGATGCGATAGAGTCATAATGTACACCTCGCTTCCTGATATTTTGCGCGTAGCACCGAAGTGTTCTTCACCCATGAAATACAGGTTTCAGAGCTGCGACGTGTCCCCAAGGCTTTCGAAGAACTCATGATCGTACCCACCGCCGTCGATGTTGCACAGTGACATGTTCGAACTGCTCGTCATCTACCGAATGACAGCGTAAGGGCCAATTTTCAACTCTAGGCGGGATGGTGAGATTTCCAGGTATGGTGTCTGGCTCGGAGATTCGGAGAGGTGAAAACACACATGTGTAGCAACTGAAAACAAGAGGAATAACAGTTGGAACAACGAACACTGCAACACGAGTTTAGATGAATGGCATTTCGAACACCAGTATGGAATTGAACAAACTGGTCAAGTCGTATACGAAATAGCGGACAGGAATCACTAGAAATGTCATCAATTTATGTTAGCCAGCCATAATGGGAGATTAATAGCAAGTACTCACATTCCTGTAAAAGGAACCAGCCTGAGAGGCCTCAAAGCAAGTTGGAAGACGCTAACAGAAGGAAATCAAGCAATAGGCACAGAGTGCATAAAAAAGTTACTTGTAAAGGGCAACAGAGGAGGGAGAAGGTAGATAGTTATTAGCCATCAAACCACTACGCCAAAAAGGCGTTTAGACGACCATTTCTAGCGTAGGCATATTACGGTTAACAGCCTGTAAGGTGGCTGTGGAAGCTAAGCATAGTGCAATTATAAAGGAGGTTAGATATTATGGAGGGACTGGGAGAGTGCATACTCTTTCTAATTCAGTTCTCTTCTGGGTCTGCAGCATGTAGGCGTGAATGTCTATACAAACAGCCAGAAAGCTAACATCTCGTTGGTTGGAATCAATCTGCTGCAGTACCTTGTGTCTGTTCAAGAAACGTATCATTGACTGGCTCCAATCTCGCTAGGTTAATTCCGGGCTAGGGCTTCATATCTTCCCTGTGCCAATGCGTACACAGTTTCCAACCGGGGCATGCTCACTGCATGTTCCCGAGCCAGTCTCACTGTGTTCCCAACAATCGCTTCGACTTCAAATAACCGACCCTGTTTGACATCCTGCAGCATACTGGGATCGCGTCCTGTTCCTTCTTTCGCCCGACGTGTTGCTATCTGAAGCCGCACCCTGGCCGCTTCCTCGTCCACCCGGGGGATCCCCAGCTTCTTCGCCAATGCCACGATTTCCATCATGATCCCCCAAACAAGCTCAAATGCGAAGGGCTCGGAAGACAGAAGAAAGTCACCGTCCGAGCACATGCTCAGCGCGCAGATAGGATTCCACGACGCGTTGACGAGCAGCTTGGTCCACCGCGCGATTTGGATATCGTCGTGAAGTTTGGCCTCACCACCGCCTTGATTCATAAGGTCGACAAGCTTGCTGGCCGCTGCTTTGTGTGTAGCAGGTGCATTGGCGGGATAAGTTCCCAGTTCAATCAGGTTCAGCATTTCTGGGTAGTCGATGACGCCAGGACTGGTCTGGGTGGTTGGGAGGTAGACGACACCGCTGAGGATGGGATTCTGCGGGAATTCGTCTGCAACCTCCTTCTCAATTTCTATGCCATTCTGTGCTAGGACGACGGCAGTCTCTGGACGGCCAATAATGGCCGGTCTGATCAGATCTGCTATTGACGGCTTACTGCCGGGGAAGCACTTCGTGGTCACCAGGACATAATCATATACTGTGTCTTTGGGACATTCAGCAATACTGCGAACGATGTAATCTGGCCGATATGTGACATTGCCGAATCGGACGCTTCTCAGAGTAAATCCCTTCTCCTTGACGACGTCGTAGTTGGACCGACACACGGCTGTCACGGTGCATCCGGCGCGTTGCAGTTGGAGTAAATGAATGGCGCCAACGCTACCGACCCCAAACAGCAGAATATGAGGTTTTGATGCCATGGCTGAGGTGGCGATGAGAAATTGGGGGCCGTTATACTCGGATGACGATCAGGGGGTGAAGTTGCAAAGTCGGTGAGTCAATATCATTCCCGTTCTTGGTGGGGTTGATTATTTATCTCGGGCCTCTCGGCTCAACACGAACGAGCTTACGAGCTTTCTTTCTCGTCCTCCTTTCTCTCTGAAATGACACGATGTCTTTTCAGGCCCTTCCGCCAGAGGTTATTTCCTTAGTTGTTCGCTTTCTTGCTGACGTCCATCCGCTCAGTGTCTTTCGCCTGCTCCGAGTCAGCAAGCGATGCTTCGTCTTAGCTTTGTCGGTAGCCAAGTCACTTGTCTTTCATACAGTCCGCTTGCAATTTTGTCACCATGGACGCATTGACAGCCAAGTAGCAACGGTCTGCCACAAGTTGCAAAAGGCTGATGCCTATACTTATGTCAGGCGGTTGATCATCGAGGGCTTCCTCTCGGGAGACCCCCCTGAAGAGGAGTATGATGACGAGTGGTTTCCAGCCCGAGTCTCACGTTTCTCACCGTTGGATCGCGATCCGCGAGATGCGTATGAGTTTGAAGAGGAGCTCAACGGCACAGGATGGGACCTATGCTATCGCGATGAAGACATTAACTTTGAATGCTGGGAAAGTGTCGCGGGGTTGATTAAAAGACTACCTGCCCTAGAAAATCTTCATCATTTGCATTACGAACAGTTCCCTCCTTGCCTGCTTCAAGCATTGCATCAATACCGACCCGAATGTAGACTGCATTTGCATTCGTTCGTGCTGCGGAGTATATCAGATCCAACAGCTGAGGAACATGAATATTGCCTCGTCACCTCGCCGTCTTTGCATAGTATCACTCCCTACTACGACACATCCATACCAGAAGGTATCTGGCAGAAACAAAGCTTTGTGCGAATCCTAGGCCTCGCCCCCAACCTGAAAGTGATATGTCCAAGCGCGTCGGACGACCGTACATATATTGCGTCAGGAGCTGGTATGACCAAACTGATGCAAAACGCAGGCGACAAACGTCCGGCCGCAATAGAATGACCTTCGAATCAGACACTCCTACTATCCCATGCTTGCCGCTGCACTGGAGGAATGGGTTCCGTACATTGATTTTTCCACACTGCGGATTCTTGATCTGGGATCATCCATCAAGGGAGAAGCATTCGCAGCATGGGCAAATCATCTTCATTTCCCGGCCCTTCGAACCCTGCGCTTGTTCCTCGGTCCTGAAGAGGTCGGAGCAGAACAAACACCCGATTTCTACCTGCAAGCAACAAGATTTCTTCAGAGTTTGCCATCGCTATCGGAGATCCACCTGATTGCATGGCACTCACAGCTGTGGATAGAGACGTTGGCAAAACATCACGGATCACGTTTGCGCAAGCTGTCTGTGACCAGTGGACGCAAGCTGTCTGTGACCAGTGGACGCAAGCTGTCTGTGACCAGTGGACTTTGGCAATGGTTTACCGAGCACGATATCCTCCAACTCGGCAGATATTGTCCTCTACTGGAGAAGATGAGCATCCCCATCCGTCGCACCCAAGGAGACGCTCAAGAAGTAGCTGTCTACAAGGCCTTGGGCACAATCAGAAACCTGAAATTCCTCGACCTGGAATTGAACGTTATTGATCCAACCTTGTACCAGGAGAACGCTTCCATCGATTCGGACTGGGACGACTTTGACAATCAATACACCGAGGAAGATCTAGAAGGCATCAACCGAAGCCGCAACGGACACATCCGGAGACTTCTGGTCAATACCCTCATTGACGAACCACTTGCGTCCTCGATCTTCGAGGTCATTTCGGCCGCAAAGTCCCACGACGCACCACTCCTTGAACGGCTGACCTTGTCGATAAACGGGAAAGCTGACCGGCACTACCGTCCGCGATACGTGTTCTCCCGCCTTGTGAGGTTCTTCGCCTCGGAGTGGACCGTCGAGCGCGATCTCCGCTACGAGCACCGGGACAAGTTCGAAGCGCGGATCTCTCAGAATTCCAAATTCCAGTTTTCCTACAACGATAGTATGTATCCGTGGGTAACTAATGTGTTTTTGCGGATTTGGCCTATCACACAAGACGGAAACAATACTAACATTAGATATTGGGACGTTTGGAAAAGCTTTTTACTGGCTATAGAGGAGACGCAATACGATCAAGGAAGAGGCAGATGTAGAGATTCCCGCCAGGGTATATATATGCAATAGTGGTTCGACAGTTAAAGACAATCAATCCATGACCCTATGAGATGTCAATACTGCTTTAAGCCTTAGTACTCATAAGATTATAGTAGCTCAAAGGGGTCCGCCTACTGCTCCTGCACTGGCTGGTGTAGTATTCAGTGCTCCTTTCTCTCTCCTTTTGCTGCCATCCTCGAATATGTTTACTAATGGCAGATTCCTCATAATCGTAACTTTTATCTTGAATTTCCTGTCGAGACTATAAGACAAGGGATCTTCTCCTTCGCTCCGGATGGGAGATTTTGTGTTGGAAGCAGAAGCGGTGAGAACCTGGCAAGAAGCCAAAAGGGTCTTTTACATTGAGATTGGGAAGATATTTGACGCATGGATGGTCTGATTGATATCTCTCCAGTGTACTTACTGACCATCTTGCTTGTGGATGTGAATTGGCACTATGGAACAGATACAACACTTCTGTTAATTCAAAAGACTCTGCCAGGACTAAAGGAGGAAATGTTATCCAGAACAATGCATGTTAACTCTCCGCATAGATCCTCGAGTAGGTGTTAACATGTAATCAATACCGGAGACTTATATACTAAACTCTGCCAATGGACCTCATTTACTTACTGAGAATTCGGTCTGCATCAAATACTTCAATATCAGCACTTTATCTCGGTATATTACCACTCTCTAGAAAGGTATGTCCGCCCCTGCCATACCATCGAATGACCGGCTCGATGCCTATAAGAGACACCCCGCCACCGAGAACAAAGAAATGCCCTCAACAGCTCTTCTGCCAAGACACACCACAAGGCCAATCATATTAAATTCCTATTGATGACCGTTCATGGCTAGTTTGAGGCCTTGCGATTACTTTAATTCCCTTACGCTGCTCATCTTGTCTAGTGGCTAGATTACTGGAATATGCATATATTGTGCTGAACGCCACGGCCGTCGCACTATCACTCCGTCGTTTCATCCTAAGTAATTTAGCACAATCCCACGCTACGATAGCACGACCATGCTTGCAGTACCTGCTCTTTCCCGACATTGATTATAGATGTGAAAGTGACGCCGTTGACGCCGTCATGGATAGCAACCTCTTTCTACCATACGCTGCCCTTCATTGGGCGCTGCACTATCGTTTGCAGGACGCCAGCGCTGCTCGCCAGCTCCAGACTAACGCTCTTGTACTCTGCAATGTGACTGACCCTCGTGCCAAAGCTTGGATTGACCGTTACTTTGATTATGGCTATGAGAATGCGGTTGAATGGACTCCTTTGATATTGGCGACCTACCTTGGTCTCCCCAGTGTGGTCCAGGCGCTTTTGGATTCGAACACTGATGCCACCGTCCAGGACGACGAGGCTGGAGCAGCCCTGTGGCTGGCAACCCTCATGGGCCATGAGCAGGTTGTCCAGATACTTTTGAATTGCTGCAGTATCAGTGTCGCCTCCCAAAGCGAAGAGTACTCCATAGCATTGCACTTCGCAACCAAGGCGGGCCGAGACGATATCGTGGAGATGTTAGAGGCTGAACATACCAACCCCAAGGCTTTACTAGATTATGCTTTTCTACGCTCATCCATTACAAGCCCGGCTAGTGTTCGAATTATCAACCAATTGTTCTTGGACCTCATGCGCGACAGAGGGTGGAAAAACCTTCCCCACCAAGCTCAGAAACAGTTGCTAGCTTACCCACCGAGAAAGAAGTTGGGTTTAATTGAAGAGAATAAGCTATCGCAAATTCGGGGGGCACGAAAAGCGACCAGAGCATGATGAAAAGTTTTATGTTGAAGGTCTTCTGGAAGCAGCTCAAACTTTCCAATTATTATCGGGAAGCAAGGTATCAATTCATGGCCAGCTTAGAATGAGTTGCCTTTCTAGCCTAGCAAAACACTTTAGCAGTGGACAGGTTCCCCGTCCACCGCGATAGGGCAGTGGAAATAGGCTGAGACTAAATCAAGATGAGCTGCCCTTAGCCTAGGTTGTTATTTTCGCGGGTTGGGCCGGGTTCCTCTATCTTAAAACCCAGCCCACCGGGTTGGGGGTCTAAATTTCTAGGGCTCAAACCCAACCTATAACTGGGTGGGTTGACTATCTAGAACTTGCTAGGTTCTATACTGCCAAGGATATTATTCTCCACCTACTAAGTAATATTTATCATATAGAACCATACTAATATTCAAAGAATATAAACATACAAATAAGTGTTATTATACAGGGTTGCATAACCGAACCGCTAAAATCGAATCCGACCCTCACCGAACTCGAAGCGGTTTGGGTTCGGTCTCCAGCCTAAGGGATCGCACCGGTTTCGGTTTCCCTAGGTTGGAACTGATTCGAGTTCGGTTAAAACCGTTGGTTATGGTTTTTGAGGTTTTATCTGCTGAGATTAACCAACCCTCACCATTTTGCATAGTAATCACTAATTTTCTAGGATTTCCCTAAAAATATTAATATCACTAGATAGCCTAGTACCTACTCTGTCTATATATAAAATACTAAGTCATAATATCTAATGGTTAGTGATAGGTTGGTATGAAAGTGGTGGTGGTTTTTATACATATGTGCATACTATGATCTAAGAACGATTTTTAACCACCGCCCCATCAGCGATATAGATGTTGCTCAGGGAGGAGAATACATTAATGCTCTCTAGGCTTCTGCTCTTAAAGGATATCATGAATTCATTAAACTACTACTTAAAAATAAAATAATTATGAATGCTCAGGGTGCACTTTATGGCAATGCTCTCTAAGCTGCTGCTCTTATAGGACATCATGAGATCATTCAACTACTTCTCGGAAATGGAGCGAACGCCAGTGCTCAGGGCAGACCTTATGGCAATGCTCTCCAGGCTGCTGCTGCTAGAGGAAGTTGTGGTATTATATCAATATTGCAGAGGTGGGGCTATGTGTGATTTTTCTAGTAAGCTGTGATGTATGATAGTGCTTACGAAAGCTGAATTCCCTGGCTTTCCCTCCAATTACCCCCTCATATTTAAGCATCTGATGACCGCTCACAATCTCGTCCCATAGGTGGATAGGTGGACTCTGGACGTAGCATCGATGCTCAGCCTCGTGGTGGCTGTGCTATAAGCCTGGGTCAGCCAGGCTACGACATTCCATCAACGCCATCATATCAATCATCAACCGACTCTCGGATATACACATCATAATCTGCCATCTAGTCAATCTTGCTCCAGACAACTGATCAATATGGATCGACCAAAAGCTTCCGAAGAGGCAGCACCTGCCTACCATGAACTATTCGACACAGAATCTATCAATCAACCGACAGCGACATCTTCCAGGACGGTAAGAGTTTCTCTAACCGCTTCATGTAGATAAAGACTTGGACTGACTATCTCAGCATCAATACGGTCCTGTCCCGGACAACGACCTGCACGAAAATTTAAACATCGCAAACCACCACGATGTGGAGTCCCACCCTCAAGTCTCCTCAAACCAGCTTTCGCAGTTAGACCCTACAAAACCACATTTCCACTGCGAGACCTGCGACCGCCAGCTCGAGCGCCGACAGAGAAGGGACACCGAGCGGGAGTGCTGTCGGATGGTTGCGCTGGTGTTTATTGTGGCCATTATCTTTCTGACATTGTTGGGTATTGTTATTGTGCGGAGAGTCAGATAATGGATTGATCTCAACTATCCAAGCCGAGACCTGAGTGAAATTAATGTCTCAGTGGACCGTGATGGTTTTATTAATTGACTGTCCTGTGGATATCCATCTTTGCGAGTGTTTGAACTCAGTTTATTATGTGTTCTGTCGATGACGTACGTCTACACTCTTACTAACGCCTCCCTCCTACAATCACCTTCAAAACACCTATAATCAATATTCTCCCCGCAAAAGCATCATCTAGCAGATTATTCTGTATTTAGAAACCATGTCCGAAAGTAAGCATCTCTGCAAGGCTCATAGTATGCCCCGCTGATGTTGAAGACACACATACTTCCCACCACACCGGATTCATGGACCGGATGTTCCATAACGGACATGATGACAACAAACAAGAGCAAAATGAGCAACATGACCAGCAGCCCGAGACTCAACCTCAGCAGGGTGCCCAACCTAATTCACCGGTCAAGGAAGGCGAAAGGAAAAGCGTCGAGGACTACGTGGACGAAGAGCGAAAGCTACTGCAGGAGGGAGACACATACAGTGGACTCATGTAGGCTATTCTGTGTAAGAAGTGGATACCATTATTAGTGCATTCATTGTCATCAAATTATGCTGGTCGTCATTCTATCCTGTGTATCAGTGAATTCCTTAGACGTGAATTCCTAAGTACAAAGCAGTAGAGAGGAATCTCACATCTAGTCAAACTTATCTTCCTGTCTATATATTCTCTAGACTTGCAAGTCTCACCCCTCGAATTCTCATGATATACAGCTAACTGCAACCCCAGACTGGCCTATATGGTCACTGTGTTTTCGAGCGTGCGGGATCTGTCGGTTTGACTACATTTGTCCCTTGTCTTACAATGTGATTTCATACTCTGTGATCAGGGAGTTGCTCAATCTTGTACCACGGTGAATGTGAGATAACATTGCTATACTAAGAAGTAAATTATCCGGACACCTTTTTAGAATCGCGCTATTTGATTTGATAGAAGCAATTTGACTACTGGTCGTCGGCAGCTGGGATAAGCTTCTAAACGACCGGGACATCTAAAAAGGAAGTAATCAGCCAGGAGGTGCATTGAATTGTAATCTAATATTGCTCAAGCTTACTACATGCAAACACCGAGGATGTGGTGATTCGCTGATTGAAAGTGGCGTAAGCCTGCCAACTGGGCAAACTGGGGCATTGTTGCGGATTATTACCGAATTGGGTATATAACATGGCCAAGCCCGGCTGAGGCTCCAGACTCCAGCTGCAGGTGAGAGGTTGATGACCTCAGATCACCCGTGTCTGAGATGATGTTGAAGTGATTGTCCAGTATGTCAGGATGTATTCGAATATAAATATGGCCGGATCCGCGAGTGCCTCTCCTTGACACACAGCAACACAACCACTACAATAGCAAAATGCGAGCGCATTTGTTCTCTCTTTCTTTTCTTGCAGTATGCAGCACCAGTGCGGCCAACCTCCTTGGTCCGGTGTACCCTGCCCCTAGAGACCTCAGCAGCAGGTCAAGCCGAGTCGCAGCTGAATGGAAAACTCTGACAGCGAGGCTACACCGCGAGACCTCCTCGGATTCCTCTTTGCTGAAGAACCTCACCTTTTCCGTCGGTCTCTTTTCCATCCATGATCCAGCAGCCGAGTCGTTGCAGTTTCACTACACCTCCACGGAGATCCAGAATGCCCCAAATGGCACCAAAAAGGTCGACGGAGACTGTATCTACCGCGTAGCTAGTGTCTCGAAGCTTTTCACCGTTTTTGCTGCGATGCGTGAGCTCGACACCGAGCAATGGGAACGGCCTCTGACGGAGATTATTCCGGCCTTTGCCGAATACGTCAAGTCCAGATCCGACAAGAACTCAGTTTACTCTACCCCCTGGGACCAAATCACCCCCAGCGCCCTTGCCGCGCAGATAAGCGGCGTTGCGCGCGATGTATTGCCATGGGACGGCGGAGATCTACTCATGCAGTACGCAATTGCGATTCTTGCCGGCTTGAACCCCGTGCCTGCAGCCGACGACCCAGCAACCTATGGACTCCCGCCAATCGACCTGAACGATGCTCTATCACTGTCACCGTGTCTGGCGAACGTGAGCGAGCCGTGTACTGGGCCTCTGTATGCTACTGGCGCAGCCAACGACGCAGCCGTCTATCTCCCTTGGACGAGCCCGGCGTACTCAAACAATGGGTTCATCCTATTCGGTCTGGCTCTCGCCAATTTGACCGGAAAGTCTCTCGACGAGATATACAAGCAGAGTATCTTCGATCCGCTGGATATGCATTCATCCTACTCTGCCGTCCCGGGAGCTTCTGAGTTCTCTCGGTCCGTGATCGCAGGCGACTTCGCCTCCGGCTTTGGCTACGACGGTGGCATCTCCAAATCGTCGGGGGGAATCTACTCGACCACGAACGACCTCGCAAAATTCGGGACAGCGATCCTGAACTCCACGCTCCTACCGCCCGTCGTCACACGCAGGTGGATGAAACCCGTCTCCCACACGGCCGACCTGCAGTATTCCGTCGGCCGACCGTGGGAGATATACCGGTACAAGCATACCAAGTCCGGCGTGGTCACGGATCTATACACCAAGCTCGGGGATGCAGGGAACTACGGCAGTTTTCTTGTCCTGATTCCTGATTTCGACGCTGGGTTTAGTATCATCGGGGCCAGCGCGTTGGCAACGCGATCGAATGCGACGAGTCTCCTGGCGGATGTCGTCACGGAGAGTATCCTTCCTGCGCTGATGGAGCAGGCTGCGTCTGAAGCGAAGAAGAATTTTGCGGGGAAGTACACTAGCGATCGATTGAACTCCTCTCTCGCGTTGGATGTTAGTTCTTCTGGAAATCCAGGCTTGTCGGTTACCTCGTGGGTTAGCAACGGGACGGATCTCATGCCGTTGCTGGGTACATTATTCGGAAATAAGAATTCGAGGCTCGTGCCGACCATTGTGTCGGAGGGTGTTGGACAGGTGGCTTTCAGAGCATATACAGCTACACAGCAGAAGTCCGGAGGACTATTCCAGAGAAACTTTGATGTAAATGACTGGCTGGTCGTCGGCAGCGGGGGATACGCGACTAAATCACTGGCAGAGTTTGTGTTTCAGGTGGATGCGCAGGGGAAGGCGAGCAAGGTGGAATTGCCAGCTTGGAACGTGACTCTTCAAAGATAGTTGTCTGTTGTCTGTTGTCTGAAACATAGAGATATAAAAGCCATCAACGTATATCACCGAATATGGATACAACTACTGGTCATCAAACCCACTGATACGCCAACACCGGAATGGTAAACTCCTCCGCCGTGCACGTCGCATTGAAAAACGCATCATGCACACACTGCAGTTCAAACTCCGTGCTCCCAGAGTACGTAATCTTACTCCCATTGTTGCAGGTCAGCGCATGCCCCGCCCCAAGGACATAGTCCATCCTTCCAACGGAAGTCTCCTGATTCGAGCTCCCGTAGAACGAGACAATGCGCCCGAGCCCGCGGTCCGCATACCCGCAGTTACTATCCCCGTTCCCGATATCGTGCACCCGATACCCAATGTACTGGTCGTGGCACTGCAGGCCGTCCGTGAAGCCGATGTCGAGAGTCTCGAGCGGGCCGTAGCCCCAGGGGTGGTAGTTGGGCATGCCCGTCCAGCAGAGGTGCACCCAGGAGCCGTTGCAGGTGGCCTGGTTGGGCTCGCACCAGCCGCCGGTGCCGGGGCAGAGGCAGCCGTAGGCGTCGATGTCCGCTTGGTTGTGCACGCAGTCGAGGCTGTGGGAGCCGTTGTACCAGTGGAAATTGTTTACGGTCCAGGTGGGGAGCGGGCAGCCATCCGGGGGTGTGATAGACTGGGTGAGGGTTGTGGAGGTAAGGGCCAGAAGGCCGGTGAGGAGGCTGAGTATGGTCATTTTGATGGTAGAATTCTGTTAGTGTTGATAAATAGGAAAGAGGAGGGGGAGGGTTATCACTTATATAGATTCCTGCACAGATTGTGGGAGCAACAATGACCTGATTGCCACACAGGATCGGGGTTCATGATGAACCTGACTCGATTCTTCATCGCTTCTGCAGCTCTGGAGCCACCAAGAATTCAATCGCCAATCAGCGGTAGATATTTTAGACACTACTTAAGACATGTCTTGAATGGACTACAATCATTGGTACAACGCATGCCGATTTCCTTACTACTTCTTACTTAATCCTTAGGCCTCCCATGCTTCTCCATTGAAATCGGGGCAAACACACTTAAATCTCACGGGTGGAGCTTGTGATGCTTATTTTAGCCCGACCTGCAGTGTGCATTGACCACTTATGCATCGGTATCACATCGTGACATTGGAATAGGTTCTGTTAGAGTTGCGCGTGGGCTGACAGGATTGATGCTATTGTCTTGTTTGCACGTCGGAACTATCATATGTTTAGGATATTTTGAAAAACAATATGCAGTCATTGGACAAGTCTTGCGGATAGATAGGATGTATCTATTGAAATCCAACACAGCCAGCTAAAAAGTGCCCGGACGATGTACTCTAGTCTAGGAATTGCATTTTGCAGTTATGGCGGTATACACTGTGGCATCGTCAGACTTGCCACACGCCTGCAGGGATTATCTGAGGTTCTGCTTTTGTATATGTGTCAGTCATAGACCTGGAGCAGGTTTGGGAACATAAAATCTTACTGCTTTGTGGTTTTGACTGCTTCCATTCCTCCGGTGACACCTCCGCCCACAACAGCATTATCCACATCTGGATCCTTGCTTTCTGGGAAGAGCGATTTGGAAGTAATCATTTGGCGTAGATGTAAAAAGGTGATTTCGCAGGGGTGGCTTGCATGTAGTCATGTCTTCGTATTGGGCAACTTGGGCTTCTCAAGGACATCCTCGTCCGGTTCGAAGGGATGGGTCTTGTCCCAACATGCATGACTTTCAACTGTCCATTCTCAGAAAAGGGCACATTGTTTGCATATCTGACTTCTTCGGCACCCCCATTGTCGCTTTAGGAAATACAGACTAGACTCGTATTCTTAGCTTTCCGTCGCAGACTCCACCTAGAAGGATACTAACCCTTTCATCCATTATGTGTCCAGATTTACATACTGCCCTTAATGACCTCCTTAGGTTTTGGCCCATTTTGGGAGAATTGTCAGCTTTACGGAGGTTATCTTGCTAAGTTTCTGTAGATGAGGGAAGAGCTCAGTCCAATCTGGCTTGATCACAATGAAGAGAGTCATTGACATCAGCCCTGAAGTCTTGTTCCTTAGAAGAGCTCTTCTAAATGCTGGTAAGCCTATCCAAGTCCAAGAAGTATTAGTAGATTGATAATATGGCGGAGGTGAAGGGTGCATACTTTTCCAACAGCAAGCAAGTGTCGGGGCCATATTAGGAGTATCTTAGGCCTCGTCCGACATTCGTTTTCCCGCTATTGTCCTGCCCATGAACGAAGGCGTTTTGTTCTCCATAATCCGGATGCAGAAACTCCTCAACGAAACGTTTTCTCCCTTTATGACATGCGATGTGGACGGGATTCTGACCTTTCCAATTCCGCTTGTTGAGATCGTACCCTTGTCCTAGAAGCTTGCGTGCGAGCTCCAAGGCTTGCTCTTCACCCATATCATCAGCTTCGTCCACCAAAATATGCATCGAATATTTGTCTTTCTCCATGAGCAGATTCACCATGTCCATGTTGCCAAGCTTCAATGCCTTTATCAAGGGGGTCATCTGATGTTCCATTTCATCACGGACGTTGGGGTTCGCTTTCAAACCTAGCAGTAGTTTAACAATTTCTTCATCTTCAAATTCCACAGCCCACGAGAGAAACGTGCGCCCTTCCGGAAGCACCTTGTCCAAAAGGGAAAGGCTTTTCACCTGTAATATTAGATTTCGCAGCCCAGTATAATACCCCGGGTCAGACTTCGAGAAATTAGATGGGCCCGTCTTCTTTTTCGGCTCCTTCTGTCTCCGCCGTGACCTGGTCTGAAGGTACCGTTCCCACCAGGCACAACTACCCATATCGGTGGGGAGTTGTAAAAGATAACCCATACAATCTGGCCATCCTCCAGTTGCTGCACACATCAGTGGAGTTTTCTCCTCGTCGCCCTGCGTGTTGATTTTGACACGACCAGACTCGACGACCAGCTTCACGAATTCTTCATTTCCTTCAGCAGCAGCCAAAGCCAGCGGGGTGTTCCCTTCGTCGTTTGTTAAATTCGGATCTGCTCCTTTCTGCAAAAGTAATTTAATCATGTCATTATAAAGGGAAAGGGAACGGAGATATTGGCTTCGCGAAGTAGCCCAAAAGAATGGGGTGCTGTTTTGCTCCTCTCGAGTATTGGGGTCGGCTTTCATGTTCAGCAACACTTCCACGACGTAGTACTGGTCATTCTCAATGGCCCGCGAAAGTAATGTTCGGCCATCCGCGTCCTTTTCGTCCACGTCCACTTGCTCGTTCTCTAGGATCCATTCGATCTCATAACGACTAATGAAGTTACGACCAGACCGAAGGACTGCTTCTCTCAGGGACTTCCATCGCAATGGAGGCCGAAAACCTCTCCTGTCCCACGATTGCCTCCCCTCTGTTGACGCGAGCTGCGGATCCGCGAGCGATTCGTCTTCGGAAACTTCAGAACCGGGTACCGAAGGGGGTGGAGATGGCTGGTCAATTTGAGTGTCGTCCATATTCGGACGATCAACAGGCATGATCCAGACGTATTTCCGGCTGTGAATGTCAAAGTCAGTGCACCGAGAGCAGAGACGAGTTTCTGACGTTGACGAGGTCGGCGGCTTAAAGCAGGATCCGTGACAAGGCACAGCCAGCGGCCAAGCAGCTAATGCAAGGCTCTGCTGCTAGGTACCCATGCAGCTGTCATGCACATAAGCGCTCTGGTCAGTCATCGAGCCAACCGCAGCATTGGAACAACCGACTGTGTCACTATCCAACACATCATCAGCCTTGAGATGACAGAAACAGTCTTATCATTTACAGCCTTCCTGTAGGCGAACATTCTGACCGTCCATGCAGTAAACTCCAGCCCAGTGGATTAGTCTGAGTTATAGACTTCACCGGTGGAGGCGAATTGGATTGTGCCAGACACAAAAACTCGAATATTAGTGAAGTGTAAAATATATCAAGTTCTTCATAGGAGGGAAATTTTGTATTACTATAGGAAGGAACGAGAAATAAACAGATAACTACAGAATGTAAGGTACCGCGGGCGCTTTGTACGGAAAGCAACACAGTTGAGTTTTACCATGGCTACTCTAACTACACCTTCCGCAGCCATAGGTAGTGGAACATGATATCGGATGCTGAGTAGAGATATGGTGATTGAGACGTCATCTAGGATGGATATTCGACTATCATATAGTAGGGATATCGGATATTAGAGTATTCATATCGAACGTCATATGGTAGTAGGATACTAAAAAGTTAGATATACCTCGATATTCTGAATACGCAGTACATACAACGGGCGAGACACCCCCTCATGTCTTTTTGTATATATAAATTCGGTGGTAATACTATGTGATGATTCAACATCCCTAAGCTACTAAGTACCTGATGTCCCTACTACTCCGTATATGATTTTGTACAAAAAGTACGCAATATAAAGGTGTTATGAGCACAGTCATAGCAATCCATCCTCCAGACAGCACCACCACCGCATCCTACAAGAAGCACTTTGGCTACGTTCACAATACCACACATACCAGGCCAGACGCACTGTCAACGCGGCGCGGTGTACGATAGGACTGAATACACAAGACTCAGGGCAAGAGAATGTCATGATTGCATCTACTCCTGAGCTAGACCCTACCGAGGAGTGGATGTTGAACGGTTTGAAGAAAACAACATGGAAAGGCATGTATTCAGGCGAAGTGGGTATTGTAGCTAAGGGAAACCTATCTCGAGCAATGGAGGGTGATGCCGTCTTTATTGAGTGGTCTAGCTTGCAGGCAAACAGCAAATCTCAACAGGTCTCCTCGAACCTTGGTTGATGTGGCTCTTTTGCTTAGTGCCTGCATGCACGGTACCATATTAAGGACCATGAGATGAACATCTTCTTCGAACACTCGATATGTTATGAACCATACCTTATGAGGGAATCAATCATGACAGGCGATTGTAGTTCCATGTCTGGTTTTGCTGGACTGTGGGATACTAGCTAGGCTAAAATCTGCCTCATAGTAGTAGTCATTCAAACAGGCCTCTCAATCCTGGATCCAAATTCAATTTCAGTGATCCGACTATCAATGTTGAACATGACCTGAAGATCTAGACATCCGTAACGCAAAACAGAAGGGCGGTGCAAATCTAGGTCCTTGAGTCTAGTTCCTGGATTGACTTCACATTGTCTTCAACAGTCTGTTCCAAGGTCCTCCAGCCAATTTGGTCTCCCCACTTCTTCAACAAAGCCAACGGCAGCGTGAAGTCTGCCGTGATGCTAAGCTTCCCCATACCTGGGAGATCATCTACAAACTGACGCTGTGGGTACATCTTGCGCATGATGGCGAGAATATCGTTCCAGTTGCAGTTTTCTGCCCAGGCCTGAAGACGTTCGTTGTTGATATCTGGATCTAGGATAGCAGCGACATGCAGTAAAGCGACGTCCTTCACATCGATGTGATATACTATTAAAAGCAGAAATAGTCAGTTCATCTTAAACAAACTTGCCAGAATTTCCGAGAGATAGGAGGCTTACTCGCAGGGAAACCAGCTAGCATGGGTAAGTTACCGTCCCAAAGTTGCTTAATCCAGGATCCCGCAGACTGAAGATGACTGTCACTCGTTACTAAAAAGCTTAATAGCTAATTTAAAAAGGCATAAATTGAAATGCAGGGTATTTCACTGAATCGTCATGCAGCATCCTGAGTTTAATATAGCATGCTTTGAGCAAGAGATGTCAGGTTTCCGGTCATAATCTGTCTTGCCCGCCTGCTGCTTTTACCAAGAGCTATAGTTAAACAGTGCTATATCATGTACGGGAAGTATGCAACTACTATAATGGAAGAATGCTTGACTTACTAATTTTATGATAAGGCTCAAATGAATGAACTCCACGAAGATGACCTTTGTAAGTCCATGGAGTTTCGGAGTTTCAGATTCCACATAGGATTATTATGGGCCGCCATCAGAGTTTTAATAATCACCACAGACTAACATACTTTCTATCTATCTCAAGAGCTAAGACTCTTTAGCTTACTTTGAGCTTATCGCGATTATGAGACCTGCTATCATTAGCTGAGGCTATAGCTGTCATCTATATAGCTCCTCTTTGGCTTCCTTGACCATGGAGTCAAGAAGGCTCTCTTACTCCGCAGATGAATGTTGCTTATCAATATGTAGTTCTGTATATAGATTCTAGGATTGCAAGTATGGCCTTAGAGGTATAAGAAAGCGCCGGACAGGTACTTCTTGACCCCGCCAACAGCATCATTACAGCAGCAATCATCTATATACAGAGCTCCTCTCCTCTCTCGGACACGCACTCTGATCACAGTCTCATTTCCCTTTAAATCTAGTCCAACAGCACACTTTCTCTTTGTCTATCTTTGCAATAGCCCCAATCACCCTCTATACTCTCGCCGGTAATATGTCTCCCTAATTGACCTGGAGCTCACAATGAATGTCTGTAGGCCCTGGCCCTAATCCTGTCAAGGTGGCTATGGCCCTTAAGTACCTCAGACTAGACTATAACTATGTCCCTCTCAGATTCAGCAAGGGCAAAGGCACCATCAAGGATCCCTAGTACACCAAGGTCAACCCTAACAGCCAGGACCCCACCCTGATCGACCATGAAAACAACAACTTCACTATCTTTGAGAGTGCCGCTATCCTAACATACCTGGCTAAGAAGGTACCTACCTAGATTATCCCTTAGACATATTGAAAGTTATAGTATCTATATCTCACTCCTTTGGAAGGGAAAGTCTAGCAAGTGAATAATGTAGAGGACTGTCTGTGGAACTACAGCTCCTAAGTTAACAGGTTTTACCATATTCCCCTGTGAACTGGATGTTTTCACCAGAAGGAAACAACAGGGGAGACATAATCAGCTTAGCTAGCTTAATAACAGGTCAAGGCTGACGGCTGAGAAGTGATAGAGGGGGGAGGCGCAGCCAAAATTTCCGATGGAAAAAGAGAAAGAGGGGGATTGGTAGTAGCCATAGGCGCAGATGAAATGACGGCAGCGACCAGAAGGGTATAGAATATTTACAGGGGATCCAGGGGGGAAAAGGAAGTTAGCAGAGAGGATAGTTAGAACAGCGAGGGCATGATTCTCATATACTGGAGGTCATAATACAGGCAGTGTTTGCAGGACGGCGTATCGGGAGATCATACCCAACGGCAAAACTAACCACAAGAGGGAATTCACAGGTCCTCGCTTTACAACGACAAAACCAACTCCTTCAACTTCATGAAATCAGGAACCCCAAGACCTGTAACAGGATCCCAGCCGGCAGTAGCGTTCCAGTGAGCGTAGGGGATGATACCACCACCGGGGACTGGCTTTCCGGTCTGTGGGTTGATACCATTACAACCGATAGAACTTCCGGCAGTGATATCGGTGAATCCTTCCGCGAGTATGCTATACAGCAATGGGTTCAGGAAGCCAAGGGTGGACTTGCCGGCGCGCAGACGGGCGTCATTCAACAGGCCGACGATACCAGCAAAGACGGGGCAGGCGGCCGATGTGCCACCGGACTTGTAATGTTTGCCAGTTAGGACGACCTCGTAGCTACATGCGGTTAGAATGCGGACGTCAATAAAAGCAAGGTCACGTACTCAGGGGTCAAGCTATGGGCAGAAACATCAGGGAATCCACGGCCCTTGAAGTTGGTGTACTGCGAATAGTACTTCTTGGTGTCCTTGGTAATGTGATTATTGAGGTAGTTCTCCACCGCGAAATACTGGTACCAGGGACGGCTGAAGTAGTTGCTGAATCCACCCGAGCTGGCGTCCCAGGCAACTTCAGGAGCATAGGACTGTGTACCACCAACTGCGGTGATGAAGGGGCAGGTGCCAGGGAATGTAGGAGTGAACTGAGGCGTGTTGGTGCCGTCATTGGACATGCACGCCGAGCCGATTCCTGATCATGTTAGCACGGAAAGATTACCAGATGATCTGTGCCTACCGGTATCACCAGAGGACTCGAGCACAGTGATACCACGAAGACCCATCAAGCCGATCAAGTTGCAAACTCTCCTGGCGTAGTACTCGGGAACAGTCTAACAGGTTAGTGTCTACCTATACAACAGAATTACGAGTATGCTCACCTGTTCATCGTCACCATACGAGTTGGAAATCACCTGAGGAAGATGGGAGTTGGGTTTGGAGAGCAAGTACTCGTAGTACTGGAGGTAGGGCTCATTCTGGTTGTCCGCAGCGGTTGGCTCGTCGACATTGGGAACAAACGGACTAATTCATTTTAGCTGGTTTCCTTCAGTCGGAGGGTCTGGCTTACGGTGAACCGCCAGTGATAAACTCCACTACTGGCAGGGCGTGGCTGACGGCTACAATCAACTCCACGTCCAGATTGGCCTCGCCGAGGGAAGCAGTGGCCCAATTCTGATCATTGGCGCCTCCGTTAATCAATTCGACTGAGAAATTCTGGGGTGGGATGTTGAACAGTTGCTCATAAGCAGCCAGATCTGCATAGTTGGCTGACTGATTCAAGAAGCTACCAAAGCCGACTCGACTGCCCGAAGATGCATCAGGCTTGTAGTCGCCGAGGTTGTACATCTCCACTAGGCAGTCGGGAGTGATCAGGTTGGCGCAAGAACTGTTGGTGGCTGCCCTCCTGGGAAGGGCTGGAAGCTTCACTGCGTGAGGTGGCAGTGCGCTGTCTTGCTCCTTGCCAAAGAAGACAGTGGGGGCAATCAGATCGATCGACTCTGTCAGGCTATCGGGAATGGAGTACTGCGTGGTACGCAGTTTCTGGGAAGCACCATTGCGGTAGTAGGAGAACTTGGTGTCAAAGAGCTTGTTCGCCGTTCCCACAGTGGTGGCAAAGTTCACCAAGCTGCCCTGACGAGACACTTGGGTGACCCCGGCATCCTTGAGCCATTGGATAACAGCGTCATCGCTTGCAGTAGGAAATAGGGACTCAATGTCGGACTGGTCCAGCCACTTGCCGTACTCCGCGTTCCCTGGGGTCGCCAGTGTGGTCAACTTGGACTCGAGCTGGTCGAGGTTCTGCCGAGCAAGGGCAATTGAGAGAGTGGTCGTGTCGCTCTCCGATGCATCCTCGACGAGTGTCCAGCCACTAGGAACAGCTGAGAGCTTCTCGTGCACCACACCAAGGGCTGGGGCTGCGAGGGAGCAGAGCAACCCTGCGTAGAGAGTCGAGGACAGCATTGCGGGAGGACTGCGGAGCCGAATGCAGAGGGTCGGATAAAGAGATAAAAGACAAAGGACATCAATCTGAATCGGCCGCCGATCGATATTTATATTTGCATGTCAGCTGGATCGAAAAGGCGAGATTATCATTCCATGTGACGGCAACCGGCATGATGCTAAGGGATCGTGGACAGAGCGAGGACACGCGCATTGCACCACGCAGAGTCCAGCATGGCTCTGCGCGATTTTCTCTGCAGATACCATAAAGAAATTAGTGCAAACTGTTTAATTAAGTCCACCGGAAGACCGCAGGAGTGGCGCGAGACTTGTCTTTGAATTACTCCACAGATTGAAGGCAGTTTTCAGGTTGCCTATTCAAGGGGCTGGAGTGCTTATCTTGGTCAAGCCAGCACAAGCATTTTTGCTCCACCGCCGCCAATCATTCCAAGCCTTTCCACGATCTCTCTCCAGGAACAGCCGACTGAGCCGAGGATTGGTTGTTATTGGGATGTGGCACAGAAAAAGGCTACATCTGCTAGCAGAATTCTAGCCATCTTGCACGGTCGGAAGACTGATCAGCCAAGGGTATTTGGTTGGGAAGCTCAAGAAACGCGTCCAAATGGCTTAAGGTATCTCGTGGTTCTGGAGTAAATGAGCAATCTCACCGGCAAGGAGCATAAATGAAGACGTGCCTATATTCAGAGCCTGAGTCTTCTATATGTTAAGGTACTTCCCTTCGGAGTACCTTCTTATCCTTGTTGATGCTTGACGATAGGCCATGTTTTCAATGATCCACTTTAGGACGACTCGTGGAATCCTTCCACTAAGCCGTTTAGGAAGGTGATTGCCTGCGTGATTAATTGATATCACGAACCAGGATGACCATGTCGTTGCGGTTTCGATCGGTAAAAGATTGCTAGGAATACGATCTTTGTTATCTCAATTGGGCCGTTAAGATCGACATCGGCGAACCAAACAATCGATGAAGCCCTGGTCAGTTTTTTGGTCTTCTTTTCTTTATGTGGCAATAATAAGTAATGTTTGCCAAGCAATAGCATCATTGGTCTAGTGGTAGAATTCGTCGTTGCCATCGACGAGGCCCGTGTTCGATTCACGGATGATGCATTCTTTTTTGTTTTACATCTTTTCCCCAAGTCAACAAATTGTCCATTACCATTGAGTGTATCTCTTTTTTTTTTTTTTTTAATTGCCTTCCTGTCCTTGCCTTGTTGGATTCAGAGTCGCCGTACGGAGTACTTCATAAAGAATGACGATGGTGGATCGATTTCAATTTACCTGAATAGCAATCTATATATTTCCGGTCAGGCCACCAAATCTGACCACATCTGATCATGTTGACCGGCACTCTTCTAACGCATATGGAATATCCAAATACGAACCTGCTGTGCTGCATGAACTATGTTCATTTCGTCACCCTATCGTGTCGTTCTCGTCGTCAGGCTTGTCGACTTACATACTTCGTGCCGCTATTTGCTGGGAGGAGTTCCCATGGAGAGTCCCGAATCTGCATCGATAAGTACACTTAATCAGCGCAGGACGAGAGAGAACCTACCAACGACAATCTGTTGCCCAGTCATGGATGTATTCTTCGCCAAAGTGACAAACATATTCGCGCAATCCTCCAGGTCGGTCTGGTAAAAGTCAGCAAACGGACCAAGATACTCAGAACAAGAGCATCACCTCATGCTTTAAGACGGCCTTTTGGTTGAGCCACTCAATCGCCGTGTCGCCGTACTTTTTGCCCTAAAAAGATCCTTAATACGAAAGAACTGCTGACCAGCAACAGGAGGGAAGCTCACCCAATCCGTCAACAACAGGCCCGGTAGAACAGCATTGACACGGATTTTTGGTCCCACGGATAATGCAAGATGCTTCATCAGGTGCAAAGCGGCGGCTTTGGTCACCGAGTAGCCCATGCTGCTTCCGTCCGGAGTGATTCCCTAATTGTTCATATGAGACTTGGATAGGGCCTTCGAGAAAGACGACGTACTGCGATAGACGAGGTCATTATATAGACACCCCCGTCCGCATTCTTCTCAAATATCGGCTTAGCCGCTTGCATGAGTTGCATATGCGACATGACATTCACTTTCCAACACTGCGTACGTTAGTGTCTTGAATAAGGACGGCCGGGCCGTGCGCGTCTTGCCTTGTCCCATTCCTCAAAAGACAAGTCATAAATGTCCCGCTTATCAGCGAACCGAGTCCACCCAGCATTTGCAATAACAATATCCAGGCCCGATAATTGCTCATTAGCCTCCTGAACAATACGTTGATTGTCCTCTGGGAGTTCAGAGTCCTGTATACCGTTAATTCTCTTCTAAGGTGCCTGTGGAAATTAAACTGACGCCCTGGAGAACAATGGACTTGATAGAATACTCTTTAGCCAATTGACTGGCGAGGTCTTCCGCAACCCCACGGCTTGAGTGGTAGTTAATGGCTACATTGCACCCCTCAGCTGCAAATTTCTGGCATATGACGGCGCCTAAGCCCCTGAATAGATGTTAACATTGGAGGGAAGAAGGCATATGAGATGCTACCTTGAGCCTGCCGTGACGAGCACATTCTTCCCTTTGAGACTATATGGCATTGTTGTTTGAGTCGCAATCGGAGGTGGCCGATGGTTGAAGTGAGGTGACAGTCGATGACAGCCAAATGTTGAGACTGAGACTGATGCGGGGTAGATTTGGCCCCTCTCATCTATGCCATGCTATCGCCAGGGATACCTCGGGGCGAACGGGTACCCGAGACAACCGGATGAGCCGGTTACGCCATCGTTGACTGCAGTTCCATGTAGCCTGAGAGTGGAAAGACTAATTCTCAGTAAATTGAGGAAAAAGAATGGAAATGTGTGCTCTATGGAAGGATAGGCACCTCGCTAGACAAACTCCTACGGTTTATTAGAGCTACGAGTTAACTGAGAGAACAACACCTGAATGTCCGGCAAGCCTTTCTAAAGGCAGATTCTGTAAATCAACCGCGCTTTATTAAATTTGTCTATGTGTGACAGGAGGAATGGTGTATAGTCCTGCAGAACCTTTGCTTTTTTAAGTTTCATCTCCCAGTACTCAACACTCCCTTTCTTAGGCTGAGAACTCTTCAATAGGTTGGGAAGTCGACTCATCTTGCAATGAGAACTTAGAAGGCATGCATTTAAATGTATCCCTTGAATGGCCTGTGAATACCACTCCAATGTGAAAGAGATGAACAGTCAGTGGACAGTTTGGGTAGTAAGACAAATTAGATCAAAGACGCTATTCTGACATCATGATTCATCTAAAGTATTCACTTTTTGCATGTTCTATTTGCTAGGTTCATATTCCCAGTTGCAGTAAGTAGTGAATAATAGAAATTTCACTTCATCTCTTTAGAATAGGGGTAGACCTACCCCCAGAACTAATCCTCTTCTTCCATATCTCTGCAACATAAGACCAAGGGAAAGGTAGCATTCATCCCAGTTCCTAAACTCCATTTTTCTATACATTTACTCTCAGTATTAGAGAGGAATATCTCAATCTGAAGTTGAGATGCAAAGAACAGCGCAAGCTCTACCGCGGATGATGCGGAAGGCTTTGTCGTCTATCTTAAGGTGCATAGGGTGAGCGTACGGATCCCTTCCTGCATTTACCGCAGAAACAGTGTCCTGAGACCCTTTCGCTTTTCTACTAGATAAAACCATGTCCTCAATAAGCTCTTCCAACAGCGGCAAAAAATGGCCGGCCATTCGACAAGCCCTGGCACCGCCGATGTTGTGCTGATCTATACGCCAGTAGAAGCCCTCAGCATGGGCAATATCCACCTTCTCATGTCTTAGGGCGAATATCCAACTAGCTGTACAGCGCAGCACCATATGCAATCATTTGAAAAGGCCATCAAGCACAGGATAAAAAGGGTTGAGCTCCGATTGCTCGCAATAACCCCAAAGTACCATCCAAACCTACAAACAATACAGTCAGCGTCAGTGACGCACCACTCGCCGCCAGTTTTACGGCGAAAGACGCGCCAATGCTCCTCGGCATTGGACTTGCTGCCGCTGCTGCAGTAGCAGCATTAGTTATACATACTGGTGTACTGGTGTGTCATGAGGATCCAGTGGCGGTACATAAATCCAATTACCACGGTTGATGTTGGTAATAGATACTAACACTTTCTGTCATAGTTACTCAACGTCACATGTCCTCCCCTTTCCTCACGACGGAACCCGAGGGTATCCCAGTACACCTGGAGTAACGTCTGCGAGCTTTTTCTAGGGCCTCATTAGGGGGCTGTTATGAGACATGGCAACAACAGGAACATGGTTGTACGCCTTCAAAACGCCCGCTTTCGGCTGCTAGACGATGCAACATTTAAGTTAGCTGGCTGGGGGTATAATATTCCCCTTAATCTTCGGAAATGGGCTGAGAAAGGGAAGTAAATCTGAGGCAGATGCAGAGACAACCTATCTTATTCCATATCAGGATTGTATGTTAAAGGTTCTACGAGGCAGCACAGTTTTGATATCTTAAATCAGACTGACGGAAGACTACCTGTGTGATTGCTCATTGCGATTTGCGGAGATTGAAGGTTTTTACCATAGGTTTAGCCATGGCTCTCTTCTTCTTCAACAAAGGATGCAGAATATCATTTGGCCCTACCCTGGCCGACTTCTCTAATATATTGAGCCTTTTCTTCCCTCTACTCCATCCGGCAAGTGGTGCAAGCTCTTCAACAATCCAAGACAAGACTCTGCATCTCTACCTTGAGTTTATCAGCTTCGACATCAAAGGTGCCTAGGTCAGAACTCTATAAATTGGACGGAATCCTCGCTCTTCCTTACGTCCCTAGAGAACAGCCATAGTATACATGATGGCATTATTGTCTTCTCTATTACAGCTGTTTCCTGGGCGCCTTCCCGCCCTTTTTTGGCGGCGGGTGTTGCGGACCCCCTCTGTACACCCCATCCTCATCCGCCAGGGTCCACAACTCGCCCACATCCTTGGTCGCAACTGAGACAGACACCGCCTCACTGTTGGCGTAGCGGGCAGAGAGCCGTATACTCTCCTGCACACCTTCAATATCATAAACAAGGAGCAGGGTATCCTCATCTAAGGCTGTCTTCTCATCCGCAACAAGGAATGTAGTATAATCTACTATGGTGTCTGATGCATTCTCCTGTAGAAACTGGGCAATCTTGCCTATGTCCCAGCCGAGGAAAGGATACTGGAGGGACTCCACTGGCAGCTTGGTGACTGAGTCTTCTGTGTACTTCTGGAGTTCGGCCACGTCGGCCGTCATAATAAGAATTAGGTTTGGAGGTGAATCAATTTTACTTGAAGCCTTGTATGCTTTTGAAAGGATGGACGTGATAACCTATCACTGTCAGTTAAGATGTGCTTCTTCAACCCAGGGTCTGAGAGGGGTTCTGTACAGTAGGCGACACCTCGTGGGTGCAGATGATGGGAATAAGGCTCATTGTGAGTGATTTGCAGCTGTGATGTCTATTATTGATTCTAGAATTGTGAGAGAGGATGGAGGTATTGGGTGGAAGAATCAGAGGTAATATAGGGGTAGTAAGACGCTGTTGCCTATATTGCTTGAATAAACTGATTGTTGCCTGCTGATTAGTAATCACACAGGCTTGATAAATGCAACCCCATGAACGCCTATGATTGTTCATCAGGTCATCCACTTGCACTCTGGTGTGAACTAGATATTCTAAAGCATATCCTGAATCAGCACCGCATTGAATCGCATAGTGGATTAGAGACGCCTTTACCGATACCAACCTAAGCATGTAGACTCAATGCTACCATGTCTCCAGGCCCAGTGGTCCCAGTGTCTCCAAACAGTGGCGCACCTTCTGTATCCAGTCAGACTGATTGATTCAATGAAGTCTTCTGGATCGGCCCGGAAGATTGCTGATCATCAGGTGATGGTATCTCTTTTCGCCAAAGAGTTACTCTTACATAAACAGACTGAACGTATTCCAGAATTATCCAGTCAACGCAGCAAACCCTGAATAATTGTGAAACGTGATGGTCGCGAAGGATAAATGTTAATTTTGTCTCTCGGGTATACCAACCCAATATTGGAGAGTCAAATGCACCAGAACTGTTTCCAGCAAAGTGTCGAGTTCCGAGAAGAACGTCAGGTTGCACTCCAGGATAACTGACTGAAATGGGCTAGTCCGCCTACTGAAGACGCGGATGAGAGGCTAGTTGATACATTTCCTGACTCCTTCTGAAATACAAACACCATATATGATGGATGTGCAATCAATAATACTTGGCTGCACTAAAATTGATGCTTGTCTGACCAACAGTCTGACCCTGGCTAATGGCTTCGAACTTGAGTACACCGTCACGCGCACCAAAGGTGACTTTGAGATCATAGCTGAGGTCATATACTCGCTCGTCCTTGATCACTTTGGAGGGAAACATTGCCAAATTTACATTGGAAAAGTCCACAACGATGTTGCCAACCGTATACACAGCTGTGCCCTCGTTAGATGGGAGGATACGCTTCGGAAGTATACGAGACCAACCTTTGTGATCCTGGCGCTCCGGGGCTTCCTCCTGATCGCATGCGTACAATGTTGTGAATTTCCTCAGGCTCGAATGTTCATAGTGCGTCCAATGCACCGATACAGTGCGCCTGTAATTATCTGTGTACGTTGCTCCCTATTCACTAGCTATATCAACATGTTCCACAGACTGAGATCCAACAGGGCCGGTTCAGGAGCACCCACCTTAGCAATCATCCATTCCATGATGCCAGACACCATTTTTATGCCATCATATGAATCATAATAGGCATTAAGTTCACTGTCGATTCCAGCACGGAAGGTGATACCCCAACTGAAGCCGTAGTGTCGACGGCATCGCTTCGTTGTTGATTGGAGACCCTCCAAACCACGTAGTGCGGCTCCTTGGACAATTGCAGCTTGTCTAGATCATTTAACACCTTAGATATTGTGAAAGTACATCTTTGTCGCAAGAGGACAATGCTTACGGACTATCAGGGACGGTGATGGTGATCTTGCCTGTAGACTCAAACGAGGATCTAAAGGCTTTGCGAAGATACTCGGAGTCGCCAAATCCGCCAACCAAAACGATTCTCTGTTCTTCGTTAGTACCTGTATTATCAATTCAATCGAAAGATGAACTGAAGGATGTCAATGGATTCAAAGCCGAGGAGTGGCTGCGTAGTTGCGGAAGGGCAGAGTGAAGCGATCGGTCACTCAAGCATACATTAATGATATCTTTGCCAGTCTCCTTTCTAGCATCAGCGATCTGCTGTCGCACCAGACTGACAATTTTCTCTATGACAGGATCAAAGATGGAATGCAAGTCGGCACTAATACGAGTCAGCAGCACATTGATCGAGGTCAGTAAGGGTTCTTAACCTGGAAATAAGGACTAATCGCTCCTCTTCATCGAAGAACTCTGGATCTGGATTATCCACTGTCATATTCAGAGGCAACTCGAAAGTGGTCTCTTCGTCAGAATTTCCAAAGTCTCTCTTGATGATCTCAAACCTCTTCATAAATTCACTGCCAGGGCTCTTTCGTTTCGTGGGTAAACGGTCGAATGCATCGCCGAAACGGTCCGACATCAGCTTGTAGAAGTTGCGGTCGACCGCGGTCGACCCGCACTTGCCTCCTAAAGTTCATTTAGAGATAGGCCTACAGAGACCAAAAAATACTATTGGAGGAGGTATACCAGTTCCTGTGCACAATTCCTCAAACTTCAGTCTTGGAAAGACCTCCAGGACCAAATATGTGGTAATGTCCTGACAAGTGAGCATCTGAGTAGTCCAGCGCCTTCATCAACAGCTCTTACCACGGTGCCACCGCCACAGTCGCAGACAAGAACTCCATCTCCCGCCTGAAAACGGTAATGAGTCACGAATCTTGAACAAGTAACAAACAAGACTGGCACTGACCTTGACAGATCCTCCCATACTGCTGGTTGTGTACTTCTTCAGCGCTGTGACTGCCGCTGCTTCTGGCTCGCTGATCAGAAATATCTGGTCCATTGGCCGTGAGGAACTTTTCCCAAATCCAGCCCGTTGAGCAGCAGTCCTTGTAGCATCCAGTGCCCGATCAGACCAAATGGCAGGGACAGTGAGCCAAAACTCGAGTGGGGTAATACGCAGGTCTGCCTCTGTGATATTCTTGGAGATAGTTTTGAGTATATGCTGATAAACTTCGGATAAATAGTCAGCAACGACATCAACCGCTGTTTTCCCTTCTGGCAGTTTCAGAATGCCAGTCTGGGAAGCAGTTTCAAGGGTACTATCATCATATTGAGTTAGCGGGGTGCCCTGGTCCAACAGCAATTTTGTCCATGAGTATGATAACATCCCCGGCTCGACCTGGTAACCCCAGCGATTTGTTGTAACACGTGGATTATTTTCAGTGGCATATGCAATCCGGGACGGCGCCTTGAAGACGGTCTCAGTATCCCTCGAGGGTCCGGGCCAGGTGCTGATAAGTATGATATCGCTTAAACCACTTCCTTTGGAGCTCACGTAGCTCGCTCCTTTGTGCCCCTTTGTTAGTTATTCTTCGGTAGAGGCAGATTGTAATAACAGTACCTGTGAACGTGGTGCCATAGTCGACCCCCACGATTATCTTGTGCTTGGAGTCAAGGGCAAGCGAGCTAAGTTCGCTAACGATTGCTCTATCATAGGACATCTTAATGCTTCAGCTCGGAGTGAAGATTGGAATAGGCGATGAAAAGAAGCTGCTTCTTTGGTGAAGTGGGAAATAGGGGAATCCCTCTCCCCCTCTTACTCCCCCTCTACTTCTGCGACCCATGCATGGATGCAGGTAAGACTTTACTATTTTCGGCAGGAGACAGGGTTAGACAATGCGCGCCAATTGCTTAGAGCGATCCCGGTGGCTGAGCGGATGGTCGTACTTTCGTAGCGCCCGCCATGAGACCCATGTTCCAGACAACTCACTGTATCCCTTGGTTAAAGTCCCCCAAGATCCCGCACAAGATACTCTTTGCAAAATTTTTCAAGACGAATCACAACCAGGCTTCACGATCAAGCCAGTTCTTTGAAGTGATAAACGTGAGAATATGGACGTGACCGGTAACACGACGGAGGGCAAGGGGGTTTCCGCAAATAGACGAACCCGCCGAAGAGTGAGATACAATACTTGTCACTCGCTCAACTTTCACAGTCTCACTCGCTCATGGTACAGGTACCTACCCAAAGCCCGCGACAAGTTCATGACAGGGACCTCACACCGAAAGAAAGCGATATTGGGAAGGATCACCATTCAAAGTCTACATTACAGAAAAAGGGAAGTCACTGGGGAGTGCCAAGTGTTTTCAGAAAGGTCTGCTAGCAACTAGGCACTTAGTACAGGAGTGTTGCTGATTATAGGGCAGGTTTTGCTGCCATGGGGATCAGATTCAGCGAAAGATCCATTACCTGCTTCTGCGGAGCAACTCAGTCCGGAACACAACGCCTTGCCACAGCCTGCTCACGAGGCTCCATTGTCTCCGGTCACGGTGAATGAAGATGGTGGTGACTTAGAAGATGGAATCCATCCAAGAGATGCCAAATACCACCTTCAAACACGCCAGCCGAGTGCTCAAATTGACCAGATGGATGCGGAACACAGCCAATTGTTTCAGGAAAGCAAGGCTGCGATCCGACGCCTAGAGAATGAGTTAACCAGATACAGGACACGTATTAAGCAGCAAGAGGTTGAATTGAGCCACCGGGATGCGGTTATTTGGGAACTCCGAAGCAACCTAGCTCAGATACAAGATAAGCACCAAAAGTTGGAGGACATAGTTGTTGCACGGCAAGAAAATGCTCTCCAGTCAATGGTAGCAAACAATGGATACATTCCTAAGGAAGACCAGTCCATTAGGGATGAGCTGTCCAATTTGACAGAGAGCATACGGTCGTGGGCCAGAAAAAACTGTTTAATTTCCTTTGCAGATTTGGAGGATGTCCCCGAAACTGAGAAAGATATGGTCATCCGTCAATTAACCGAATACTGCTCCCAACCAGATTGGAACACAACGATGAGAGAGATCTCCATCCCGCAGAATAAAATCCCAATGGTTCTGTTACACGCCTTGTTAGCGAAAGATTTGTTTGAACAAATATTTACAGATCCCTTTTTTGCGTTCCCAAAGATCGACGGTGATCACACAATATTTGCAGCAGGGTACTTTCAAAGCATATACCGCATCATGATCCAAGGTACGTAGGATATATCAATCCTATAGCCGCTGACGGAAGCTAACAGGAACTGGCTAAGCAGCTGATGAGCAAAAAGCGCATACTTGGCGCTCGCTGACATTGCAAAATCTTTCCATCACAAGGGATCCCAACACAGAGACCTTTTTACAGGACATGACCAAGAAGCTAGTGAGAGGGCTTGTGACCAGATTCTTGAACAGTTCCGCTCGCACTCTTCTTCGCAATGTTGAAAATCATGAGGCTGGCAACCAACGGGCTCAGGAGCTCCAGTCACTGTATGATGGGGCCGCGCAGCTGGCACTCTCCCTGTGGACTCAACGGGCTTTCATGACCTGTCAAAGCCTGGAAGAGCTACCACCGTTTACAGTTTCAAACCCAATAATGCGTGCCCATCGGCTCCATCGGCTCGACGAAGATGATAAAAGGCTGGACGGGAAACGGATACTTCTTTGTGTTCAGCCAGCCATCCTAGCCTTTGGTTCTGAGAATGCCGAGCACTACAACCAACACAAGATATGGTCTCCAGCAGTTGTGGTGGTGCGTGAGAAGTAGTTCGACTCCTTACAGTGGCGTGTCAAAAGTTTGGATCCAGCGTATTCACCACTAGGCCTGATTAATGCAACCCTAATATTCTGTCCACAGATTCGAACTCCGATACCACTCTCAAATGATAATCAATATTATGGCTACTCACAAAGAATTATCTCCACAGATACGTTCACGTATCTATGAGCCCCATAGTATTAGATGGAGTCATTAGATTCGAATCTGCATATAAAATATCATGGTTACCAATCGGGCCTAGCGGTAAATACACTGGAATCACTGGATTCGAACTTTTGACGCGCTACTGTCGGATGCTATACTATTTATTATTAGCTCGGGGCGACGACGCCGCTAAGTATCACTGCGTCTCTTCAGATTAATATGATTGGGCTACCCATTTAGCGGTTCCATAAAGCGACGGAATATGCCGGCCTTCTTATCCAATCATTTATTCTAAGAATACCCCTCACAGATGAACCCGGTCGATTTAGTCTGGTATGTAACATGTAGCTGTGGAAGGAAATGCAAGTTGCCTGCGCCGCATACCAACTTCGCAGCCGCCAAGGCAGATTCTGTGGGAGAGGAGGAACACTACTTACCAGGGGGGGGGCGCGACCCAGAGGCTGTTATGGTCACCGGATGGCCCCTGTTGTATGCCAATGTTTCAGCTCGCCCTCGCCCTGTGTCTCGATCAAAGAGCTGCTATACAAGCCTGCATCCTCGCAATAAAACTTGCAAAAGAGGCAATCAGTACGCAATAGACTGTTATTGTTTTCACCTTGCATCCTCAACTCCCCAATGGCACCTTTGTCCCTTGAGCAGGCGCAGGCGATTGTGGACGACATCCAGGTGACAAACGGCGGCTTGCCTCCCGAGGTTCAGAAAGCGCTGCCGCAAGAGTCATTGAGAGCCTACAAGAATCTGCAGACTATAGCCGGAAGATCGATTGTACACGTGGCCGAAGACTGTACGACACGGACACGCGGTTCCTCTTCGAACTTATCCAGAACGCGGAAGATAATTGCTATGGCCATGCTGCTAGTCAAGCGGAGGAGCCATTTCTCCATCTCACTCTACATAAAGATTATATAACTGTGGACTCAAACGAGGACGGTTTTACTGAGAATGACGTGCGGGCTATATGCAGCATTCACCAGAGTTCAAAGAAACAAACTGGCGGCTATATCGGCCACAAAGGGATTGGCTTCAAATCTGTATTCAAGGTTGCATACAAAGTATCTATCCAGTCAGGGCCCTTTTCCTTCTTCTTTGAGCACCACCAGGGGGGTAGTGGGTTAGGCATGATCACTCCGTTCAACGAGGAGCCTCAGGAGCTACCCCCTGGTGTGAACACCCGAATAACCCTCTTTCTTACAAACATAAGCGACTTCGAGGCTTGTGCTTCAGAGCTGAGTGAGATCCCGGACACGATGCTGCTCTTTCTCCGTAAGCTGCAGAGGCTCACTATTGAGATCCCCCCCCTGCAGTCTCAGATATCTTTCAAGCGCCATGAGGACATGTCAAAGCACTTGATCACACTTACCAAAGAGACGAATGGAGAACAGTTGAAGAAATCTTACCATCTTGAAAAGACCACCCTTTCCAATCTCCCACAGCATCCCAGTCGCCCTGGGCAACCCGAGGTTGACCTAATCCTGGCGTTCCCAGTGCAGGAAGACTGCAGCCCTCTCATTCAGGCCCAGTATGTGTATTCCTTCCTCCCGATGCATGATGAGGGGTTCAATGTGAGTAATGTCTCTTGCTCAGGATTCTGATCAAAGACAGTCCGCTAATAGCCAAATAGTTTCTCATCCAATCGGACTTTATCACACAAGCCAGTCGACAAGGGATCCATCGTTGCGATAGAAACTATGCTATCCGCGAGGGTATTAGCCATTTGTTTCTCCAAGCTGTCGCCTACTTCTGTAAGCATACGTCGCTTAGATATGAATGGCTACAGTATCTTCCGGGGACGCACATTCGCGACCCCTTCTGGGCTTGTCTTCGAGAGATGATCTTCGACCGCCTAAAGGGATCCAAAATTCTATTTTCCCGCAGAGGTATCTTGAAATCCCCAACCCAGCTTGAACACCTGTCATCACAGCACTGCGATCGCCATGGCCACCCTCTGTTGGACGATATCGAACCCGAGGTTTACCTGGCGCAGTCATACAATTGGAACAGACATGCTGAGAATTTGATGGAACTTGGTGTGAGGAACCTGTCGTACCAATCCATCTTGGATCGTTTGGAACCATACCTTGAGGGCTCAGCGCCAAGGTTCCTAGATTCGAGTTTGGATGATGATTGGCATACCAGAATTGCAACTCTGCTTCTGCGCGCTCTAAAACGGCAGCCGGCAGGCTCTTCTCTGACTAAACGAATAAGAGAAATGGCCCTGATACCCACTTCAGACGGGTCCCTGTTACCGGCTTGGTCTTCTGCAGTCTATTTCCCAGATGATGAGAGAGGGATTCCTATCCCCGAGGGCCTAAAAGACATACGAATCGTTAAACGGAGCGTGCTAGAAGATAAAGCAAGACGGGAACTGCTCGAAACATTGGGAATAGCCCGTTGTGAGGCACAAAAAGTAGTGAAGTCTATTCTGAAGCTGTACGATGTACGCCATGGGGTCACGCTAGAGAAATCAGTCGACCATTTGAGGTATCTCTTCAAGACCCTGGGAAAAGACGAAACGCTAGACAATCGCATCTTCATCATGGACAAGTCTGGAAAACAGGTATACCGCGCATTTGTCACTTTCGGTGCCAAAATCATCAAGGACGACTTATACTTCGAGACCCTGGGAGAATATGGCACGAAACACCTCGCCCAGGAATTGCAGTGTGGGGTCAACAAGCAGAGTTGTCCTCCTTTTGAAATGCGTATTATCCACCACGCATATATTGAGGCTGTACCACCTGGGACGGTCAGTAACGGGCGCACCTGGGAGCAGTGGCTGGAAGAAGTGGCATCGGTTCGCCGCATCCCAAGGCTGAAAAGTCCCCGGACAGATGGATTATCCACGCTGTGTGCGCACATGTTGGAATATCGACCCATGACTCTGATAGGACTATTGAAAACATACTGGAGCAGCCTCCAATCAGATCTCACGCCGCGCGTGATCAGCGCCTTGAAAGATATGCAAGTTCCTTGCCGGAATCAATTCCAAACCTATCTAGATTGCACTTATTATCCATCTAAGGAGATGCAGCGGTTATGTTCCGACGCAACTCTCCAGGAGATTTTCGATAGATTCATAGACATTCCTGCTAACATAGCAACTGATGGTACCGATGGATGGGAGTTCTTAACCACATTTGGGGTTAAACTAGAGGCAGATATCAACTTTTTTGGGGAAATTTTCTGCGGCCTAGAGAGAAAAGCCAATCACACCATCCAGACACAGGCCGTCTTCTTCAGGATGTATAAGGAGCTCTTCATTCGGTTTTCCGATGGTCCCATCGGATTGCAGGAGTATGTATTTTGCTCAAACGCTGAGATTACCATTATTAACCAGCTTCATGCAGGATTTTCACAACTTGGAAAAGTGTCTGCATCCCCTCATGTTCAGGGGAGATACTAGAGTTAGCATTCCTCAGAGATTGTGTCTGGAACGGACACCCCTCTCTTCGGACGAAGCACCCTCTTGCTACTCACCCGGAATACTCCAACGATCCACATGTGGCATGTTTGTTTAAGGATATACTCTCTGTTCGTGATGCGGACGTCAGCACGTACCTCGACGAGCTTCAGTGGCGCAAAGACAACGCGGATGTTGCTCCGGACGACCTGAAGACGATTTACAACTGTATCTCGCAGAATATACAGAACCCTGATGATGGCGCTATGATACTGTACGAGTTATGCATGTGGCATGAAAGTTGGTGCGGGGCTAATCTAATCCTAGGAGCAAATTCATGGAACAGAAACTGGTCTATCTTCCGACAGAAGGATCTTGGGTTGCGCCTGAATCCTGTGTATGGACAGACGCTCCAAGAATTGGAGTACAGTATGGCATCAGCGCTGTGTACCGGGAGCTGGAGAGCTTCTTCCGCGGTTCTCTGAATGTGCAAACTCCGACAGCAGCGACTTACTTGGAGCAACTCAGGAGATTAGCATCTAATGAGGCTGTGGATATTGGTGCGGTCAAAACTGCCATCTATAACCTCAATGCTTTGCGACCAGGGTCAGATGAGCTCAGAGGTCTTTCACATCTTAGATTTTTGCCAGCAGCAATGCCCGATGGCACTGTGGAGATATTAAAACCCACCGATACATTTTTCATTGCAGACCGGGTTGAATATCTTTCCGCTTTTCGGGGCAAAGTTCCCATTCTGGACTTCTCTCTAGAAGAAGTCTGGCGCTTGCACCACCTCCTGGGGTGTATCGATCTGCAGAACCGATACATGTCAACGGCAGTCCTGGAGCAGACTGATGTCGATCAGCCATCCCACGAGCACTGCTCCAGGGAAACACGGCTGTTCCGCAAAAGGGCGACACACATTTACCGGTATGTTTAGTAGCCGTAGTTACCCGAGACGGTGCTAAAGAGACTATAGTTGCATCTTACATTACAGTGAGGACGGCCAAGAAAGTGTTGGCCAGAGGCTCCGACAACTGCAAAACATACTTGTTTATGAAAGCGCTGGTTTTAACAAAACACTTGTACTTCAATTAAACGAAGTGACGGCGAGAGTACAGAGTGATACGGGGTCGGTGCATATCGCGGACGTTAATGATGTGTTACACATTTACATCCCTAGGGACCAGAATGACCGTCGACGCTGCTACAGCCACGACCTTCCCCAGGCTCTGGGACGTTATTTTGGACTTCAGAGGGACTCTGCAGTACCATTGATTTTCACAGTGGTTTTTCTCACTCCGGAGGACTTCATCGATGAATGTCTAGACGGCCATGGAATCGTTCGGATTCCTCCTGACATCGCTCTACTACCAGAATCTGAAGTTATAGACACGACAATCTCACCCGGTCGTATTGAAGAAGACGACGTTTTCTCTGCGTCAGACGAGGCTCAGGAGAGTAGGGATGGTATGTACACACCTCGAGATTCATCACGCTCAAGCCCTGGAGCCGCCTTAGACCTACCGAGGACAATAATCGCCCACAACAGGACTTCAGCTCCACCCCCAAGGCTTTCCACTGTGCCATCTCCTGACTGGTCATCCCCGGACGGAGTGCCCAGGTCTTTCTCCGAGCATCATCCGTACACTCAGCTTCTCGATAAAATCATCGGACTGGCTCGTCCGCTCACACTTTCTGAAGTTTTGCAACGCCCAATGAGCACAGTGCAGAGTAGTGCAAATACTTCACATGAATCGGCTTTTGGAGTTCGATCTGAGAATCAACTTGCCCACGATATCAAGATCGGCGCTGCAGGAGAGTTATTTGTCAGACTCAGCCTTCTACATCCCTTCTGCTGCAACCCGAACTAACTAATTCGTAATATTTAGGTTTTTGAGCTCCTGTCGTCATCAAACCTTCCAGGGTTTAGCCGTGACAACTGGCGGAGCACCATTCGCAAGCATATCTCCGTCCATCCCGACTACCATGATCTTGCACCCTGGTATGGTTTCGAGACTGCAGACGTAGTTTACCGCGACACCAGCTCAACGTTAACCACCACTCTGATTGACGCTGGATATTTGCCTCACGCACGGTGGCATGGTTCAAATCCAACGTACTATATAGAAGTGAAGACGACGAGAGGGGAGTGCGACAGTGCTTTCTTCATGAGCAAGAGCCAGTACAGACGAGTAAGATTCAGGACCCTGGATCCTCCATCGTGCCCTATTGCAATAGGCATTTTACTAACAGTCACCCATAGATGCAGACAATGTGGACCGATCGTAATGTCGAACTGGAAGAGCCAGAGATCTACGTCGTTTTCAGAGTCTACTACTTGGGTTATGAGAGCATGGGGTTGAAAGTTTATGTTGATCCGGAAAGGCTACGACAAGAGCAGAGTTTAATTTTCTCGCCGGAGTCATACAGTGTTTATCCCAGTCTGGTCGCATAGTTGTGACCAACCTAGCATCTGGGAAGATTAGCTTAACTATGTGTGTCCCTTCTGACATAGCGACCAGTCAACATCAAGTTCAACTGATGCCGGAAGCCTAGCATAGCTGGCTATGTGGTGTTTGCGTTACGGGCACTATTCAAGTATCTATTGACACAGATCCTGGTTTGCATGAATGAATGATACGAATGTCATCGCAGCTATGTTAGAGCGCAGCAATATAGTCATGGTTACTCTCCTAGCCCCGCATATGCCTTTGATATCTCGAACACGCGACTTCGAAGGCAACATGCGGTATGTGCCTCTTCTTGATGTTTCCGAGCAACTTACAGTACACCAGTAATAAAGTCTTCATGTTGCAGGTGAGTAGCGACAGGAAGATGATCAGAACTGTTGCAAGCGTGAAGGTAGGGACTGCTGCAACTATATATGTCGCTTCGACCGCGTGGAAGCTCTAGTTCATGCTCAATTACCACGAACAAAATGAATGCGCTATATGCATATATACATCGGGTGAGAGACTTCCAAACAGACGATTATACATTAAAATTATATCAGGTCAAACAGGTGTCTGGGTTCCCGAAGTTCCCTCGATGGCGCCCCCAAAACGACTTCCTCGCTTCAACTTGGGGCGGAAGGGAGTCCACCACGTGTCCGAGTTTGGGGTCAAAAGCATCTCGTTTTGCTCAATCAGAATCGATGACTTCCATTTTTCCTTGAAAAACCCGCTGGAGTTACTCGACGACCCCGGTCCTCGAGCAACGTAGCTGCGGCTCTGGTACTTACCCAGCCAGAGCATTTGTTCATGTTCCCGGAGGTACCGATCACTCGAAAAATTGTTGTACACGTTCGAGCGACCCAGCATGCCAAGTTTTCGACGCTGCTCGGCCTTGTCGTACATACGCCTCGTGATCTGTTCTACCTCCTCACGCGAAGGGCGCAGGGATAAAGTTGGGGGTACATAGCCCTCCTCGTCCTCGGCAAAAGCGCTCCATTGGCCCAGTAATGCCAGCACCCTGATCTGAGCACTGGCAAGGGATATAGCGTCGTTGGGCGCAACCACTTCGCTGAACTTCTTACCAGTGGCGCGGTCAGTGACCACACAAAACGATGCACCGACGTCGGTGCAAACCACGGGGACACCAGTCAAGGCGGCCTCGCCCATGGCTAATGGAAGACCTTCGGAAATGGACGAGTTCATGAACAACCACTGTACTGGATCAGCCATATCGCCACAAAAAGGAAATGGCAGAATACAACTTACAGCGTCTTGGAGGACCACAGATGGATTTCCCAATCCTTTCAGGACAACATGCTCACGCAGGCCCTTCGATGCGATGATTTCCTGACATTCCGACGCATAGGCCGGCGCGCGCTCCATGTCTCCGTAGATGTGCAGCCGATAATCCTTGAAGCCCCAGATATTGACAATGAGGTCAGTTGCCATGATCGCTGTCTTGATGTCTTTGACATATCTGCCAGATGTCAGCTAACTAAATTCTGCGGTTCAAGTCTTGAAGGACATACCGAATATGTGACAACATGACTACAGTCGGGGTGGCCGTCTTGATCGTCTCAATTGGCTTATATTTGTCCATGTTAGTGATCCCGTTCACAACTGGGTCGATCTTTCGACGGAAGGTCCGGCGATGCTGGAGGGCACCTTCGCAGGTTCCTAGTTCGATTTCCCATCCCGGATTGAAGTATTCGGCACATGGAAGGACAACATCTGCGTGATGCTGGATCAGAACGCACGACAGATGCCCTAAGCCAATCAGAGTGGTATTGACAAAGGTCGAATCGAAGGACACAGCTGATGACAGGAATGTGGTCATCTCGCGGAAAGAGACGCAATGGTCCCAAACATGCAAGGCACATTGACGCTTTACCTTGCACAGGACGCCGTATGTAGCGCCCGTGAAATGATGCGAAACCTGGAAAACATCCGGGATCTTGTCGGGAACGGGGATGGAGAAGATGAAGAGATCTACGGCAGTCAGTGATCATGAATACAAGCCGGCGAGGGAATTATCAACAACTTACAGCGGTGCCACATGTCCAAGGCCGAGTCAAGCTGCAGTAGCGTGGGTCTCTCGGAATTCAACCATTGTGAAACAGGAACAGCGCCGGGCGTGTCTTCGCTGAGCCACATTTCTCTCCACGCCTGTTTGACAGTATCACTCATCCAGACATCGTTCCAACTGCGGGACGACTCAAAATACGTGTTCAAGTCCACCAGGGCACGTGTCGCTTCCTCGATATGCGAGCAGGTGAGCTGGACGGCTCGTGAACACCGAACTATGCTGGACAGAATGGGGAGGAAATTGCGTCGGATATCTGCCACCGTGGTGTCGTATGACTTCTCGACCACTGCGGAATCTAAACAATTTTGGAACACACCGTGTGTTGGGTTGAGGAAGTCCAGACCCCATTGCGGCAAAACAGTCAGCGACTGCACATTCCGTTCGATCTGGAATCGAGGGACGCCAAAGTCATTGGCCGCCTCAGCGAGGATGTGCCACCGGATATGCTTCAGATCGTTGACCATGTCCCTTCGGCATGCAGAGACACCTCCTGGCTCATTGGGCCAGGTGCCGGTGTCCATCGCCAAAACATGCAGTTCGCTATCGGTATCTTGTAGCTGAGTTGACAGTGTACGTGTGTTGATCCTTGCGTCACCCCCTTGGCCAAAACTGTACAGGTCGCTGATTTTGAAGGCCAGTTGTGTCCATGAACTGATTTCGGGATCAATATCGACACGAGCCAGAATGGTGTCTACCTGGGCGTCAAGATAGTTCGCTGCTGAGTCGAGACGACCCCAGTCACGCCGCCTCCAGTACGGACGGAGAATACGATCAGATCGAAGCAGAATCTCGTCTAGCCACCGTGCAGTAACCGCATCAAACTCCTTGGAGGCCTTCCATGATCTCCAAAGATGTGTCCGAGCACGCGAGGTTGGAATTGGATATTGCTTGACGTTCAATCGCAGATGGCGGGCAATAATGTTTGTTTTGGTGGAAGAAAACGAGACAAGGGGGTTGTCATGCAAGAAGGTGCACCCTGTTGGCTTCTCGAGAACATGGAACCAGTCGTCACAGATCATGGGCGGCGTGGGAATGTGTTCACCGTTCAGAGTGGTCGCAATGATTGGATGGAACTTGTGATCATACGTCCACTGAGCATTGTAGACATCGCCATCTTGGATGAACACAGCCTCGGTGACCCGTGGATACGGGATCCATTTGTCCAGGCGCTCCGGACGCGTCGGTGGAGGCATACTCCATGCGACCTTGATTTTGATATGCGGAAAGACATACTCGGCACGAAGCAACTCGTCGTCGAACTTGGCGTTCTTGCGGTACCAGTACTGGAACTGAACGGGATTGACGCCTCTCATGGCGGAGCCGGTGGTGATGTATCCGCGCTTGTCGTACTGTACTACTTGTCCCTCCAGCTCGCCAGCAAGACATTGCCGTTGCATGGGGAGCTTTGTCTTAGACGTCTCAGGATAATCATATACAAACTCGTTCAGCAGCGTTCCCTTGCCGTCATACTCTTCCCGACTGCGAAGAATGAGCTTGTCGGTGTATGTGTTGATGGCCACCAGATTCTGCCGTTGACTCGGTTCTTGCTCATGGCGACCGGAGTATTGGTAGAGACGAGAACAACCGTCTGGCTCCCTATGCATGAAACAAGTCGCGAGACCGTTCAAACTTTCAAGGACGATACGGTTCTTTTCCACCACCGTCTTCTGTCCTTTCATGTTTTTGTACAGGGCAGAAACCTTGTCTCGACCATGTAACTGCAGAATATTAGCTCAAGCCATGAATAGAGAAAGGATAACATACCAGAACGAGGGGGAGGATAAGGTCTTGCAAGGCCTTGCAGAAAGACCAAATCGCAGTCAGAATCCATGTGATGGGCCAAGAGATGACCAGCGCCTGCCCACGAAGGATATAATTCAATTCCCGCTGATACTCGGGATCTGCGACCAAGGAGAGCACAGTGAACTTGATACAGGTCTGAATCTTCTGAAGAAACCTCATGACTGTGACTCGGATAAACTTCATAAACCCCTTGTTCTTGAGCTCGATCTCGGATGACACCGTGGTAATCAGTTGATCATAGCTTGAGTCGCGGAAATCTGACCTGGGTCCAAAGTCCTCATCATGCGCAGCGATCGCTCCGGCGTACTGGCCTACAAGTACCGCCAGGGAAGTACCCAAGCTATACCTCGCAACGAGACAATGAAGCTCAACTGCGTCGGCTGTGCCAGCTCGACAACGGATCCACTCCACATCTGGTGCAGAAAGACGAGTTGGTTGGCCGCATACTCTCTCTATCAAGAAGGCGTGGATATGCCGAGGCATGAGATCCCATTCCCTGTCGGGGTCCATTCCCAGAAGCAGATGGCGCAGCATTGTCTTTTGAGCGTTGGCGATCACCCGTTTCCTTTCAAGCGAAGAGCTTTCGAGCTGGCGCTTGATGCCCTCGGGAACGGCAAGCGCACCACTGTCGTGATGCTGGGCTACCAAAAGTTCTGCTAGCATTGCATGATCACGCGAAAGTCCTAGTCGACTTTCAGCCGTGACTTGAACGAGAGTTTCAGCGATAGCTTGGCAATTGCGCCGGATGTTCACAACCCACTCATCCCCCACAAGGTCGAGGCTGATCAGAATGAAGATGTGAAGCCGATTTCCTGTTCTTTGTGTGATCGCGCGCATGGTAGGGTCCTGTGGCGGCAGCAAGAGATGACGTGCCGACACAAGCTCGACAACTGTTTCTCCTGACTGCCATAGCTCGGCTGCGCGATGCAATATTGTCTCTGATTGGGGAAAGGCTCGTTGCAAGCTGGGTGATGTCTTGGTCTCGCCCTTCGAACGGAGGATTTGCATCACCTCCGCGCCAGGGTGTTGAGAAGGATCCAACTTGTACCGGAGCTCGGGCGAAAGAGCACGGATCGCATCAAAAGTATTTGATAATGTGGTTTGTGAGAAATCAGGGTCTGGCTCCAATGTGCTGCAGGTGTACGTTACCGCATGCTTGTCCTTATCAACACCGGTCAATTTCTGCCCACGGGACCATGCAACGTCAGCCCTGAGGAAAGACACAATCGCCGTCGTCCAGGTGCCAACTGCCAGCCCGAGCACACCGCTGTAAGCAAACTCCCGCGGGAGGACTCGCAGCAGGATGCAAGCCAGGAAACCAACGATCGCACCAACGGTGAGTGCCCGATCCGATCGGGATCCAGTGTAAATTCTGTTATACTGATACCAAAGAAGACCCGTATATGCACCGATATACGCCAAATACATGATGGTGGCACTGCGGGAGCCTTCAAATGACCAGACCAGAGCGCAAGTGACTGCAATAGCCCAGATATGGAGGAAAGAGAACTTGAGCAGATTCCGCCAGTACAGCGCCCGTCGAGCGCGTGCGTCATTACGTGTGGCCTCTCGCAGAAACTCGAGAGAAGGAATTGGCTGAGGTGTCCTCTGATGTGCCAGCGTCCACAGCGGCTGTGAGACGCCGTCGAGGATGACAGCACCTATCAGATAGTAACATAGGCCGAAGCCTACAGCTAAGCGATATGTCTCACTTGACGCGGAGGATAGTCCGACCAGTCCTTCGCCAGTGAACAAGGCTGTCCACTTGTCCATGAGGGCGATGATGAAGTAAAGAATTCCGCCCCAGACGTCTTTCCCTGTGTGCCGCCAGTGAAGGAAAGCATTATGCAATTTGAGTCCCTTTTGCATGTCACCCATGGTATCAACGGCGGCTTTAAGCTGCAAGTTCCACGTAGGACTGTAGGCAAGAGGAAGCCTGGTCCTTGAGAATTTGCAGTACCAGACAAGCAGGAACATTGTCGCGGAATATTCTTCAGCAAGACGCTTGACAAACGGGTCAGCCGTGGATCTGATCCAGAACCAACGTCTTCGTTCCTTCAGCACGCAGGCCAACAATGTCTGCCGGGCCAGGGCAGTGGATGCCAATTCCTTATCGGCATCATCAGTAGACGTACTGGCGAGATACGTCTTCTGGTACCAGTCGACTACCTGGCCGTCGGTGATGCAGGGAATATGGAGATACCAATTGTTCCACTTGGCAATTACACGTCGAGCACCGAGCAATAGTGCTGTCAAAAAGACGGCCAGTACGCAGGGATAGATGATTATGTCATGTTGAAGCCAAATCGTAAGGACGGGGGAAACGAAAAGAATAGGAATGCAGCTCATAATCACCGTGCGGCCCTGAACACGTCAGTATCTATCCCTGTTATCCTGTGCATGCAAAAACTTACCGACTGGAACTGGAATCCAGGGAGCTGATAGATTGACAGTGCAGACAGCGTCATCAGATATATCGTCAGCATCACCAGGTATGCGGTAAAGACAACACCAGACACAAAGCCTTTTGCAATTCCTATCCCAATGAATGCAAAGATACCTCCGACGGAGACAACTGCTACACCGGCGATGAAGCGGGTTAAGACGAACATGCTCATCGCGGGAAAGGCCATGGCATATAGATAGTAGCTGCCTCCCGAGCTGATCCAGCCGCCGAAGCCACCGCAGAGTAGCAACGCAACCATCAATGCAGTGGTCGCCAATGTTTTATCATCATTGCTCATGAACGTTGTGAGATACAGGCCTCGTCCGATGGTCGTCAGGAGAGTGATATCGATCAGCGCTGGAACCGCAAAGATGCCAAGGAACGTAAAGCGGTAAGATAATGGGAGGTCCTCCTGTCCTCCATTGGGATCCAGATCGATATCCATGGACGCATAAGCAGTGGGAAGCTCGGTGAAAGCTTCCTCCCGCCTAGGTGGTTGGTGCTGGCGATAGTATGCGCGGATACGATCGGACAGGATTTTGCCAATGGCCTTGGGCGTCATGTCGATGTAAGCATCACATCTGGCCCCGACCGCATAATTTTCAGCAAAGCAAGATGTTTGCACATGGTGAAGGTTCAGACGAGGGTTACGATCAAGAACCTCGAGATAAATCTCGTTCACGGCCAGCTTACGAAAAGCGCAGAAGACGGACAGGGCCAGAAAGTCTGCCCTGACATCAATCTGGCCCGGTTGCAGAATAGCCTCCATGACCTCGGTAATCTTTGCCAGACTCGTGCTGTCTGCCTCGATGAGTACCTCAGGAAGACGAGCGTCAATCTCTTCGAACAGCGCCAGAGCACTTCTGGGTTCGAGGGATGCGCAGCCCTGGTCATGATACCAGGCCAGACGCCCTTCAACAAGCTGCTTGGCCGACACTTCCCCGCTTAGATAACCGGTCGAAGTCATAGCTCGTAACTGGCTCAGAGTTGGGACTTCCAGCAGCTGATATTCACAGCAAGTGCGGACTTTAGCTACTAAAGCGGACGACTCTTTGCATGTCGACAATGTCAACCGCTGCATCCAGAGCAAGGCCTCTGCGGGACTAAGGTCTTCGATGTCGTTCACCAGTCGAGGCGGGAGGTCCCATTTGGAAGAAAGAGTGTTTCTGGCATCCGCGAGGGCGATTTCCGCTTTGAGGCATTCGTACCGGCTGAATTTGCGACGCGATAGGAAAGTGTGCAAGATGGTCCCTGTCCTATCGACCGTCTTTCCGGATATGAAAATATCCAACGAGCCCGTGAGGGCATCAGCCTCGTACATGCCCCAGACCTGGGTCTCACTGCGCGTGCGAAATCCGGAGTGTAAACCGACCCAGATCCGAAGCTTGTCATTTTCTGCACCGTTTCCAGAAGAAAGCAGATCAATCAATTCTTGGATCGTGGCAGACATGGCACCTGCACTGATGGAAGCTTTCTGCGATTTCAGGAGAGCACGCAGGTCCGCCGCCATACGGCGCAGCTCCTCTACTTGAATCCGGTCGAGAAGATCTAGGTCGCGAATGCTGCGTTGCGCCTCGAGAAGGTCACTGATGTCTTTTTCAGAGCAGTCATGACCCATTTGGAAACAGCCCAGACCGGTGTAGTCAACACCATCGGCAGAGACAGAGAAGGGATTCATGTGTGCGTAGTCCATTTTTGATGGCCAATCAACCGCATCGATGTCAATCGAGCGCGCATCAACCAGTGACCGATTTGTGGGAGGAACAATGGTCATTTTCTCAAGGAGAGCCGGTATGAAGGTCCTTAGGTCTTCGTAGCGAGCATCATGTTCAGCTGAGACAGTGGTCACCTGCACGTACGTCAGCCTTAGCATCTGCTACAATGGAGTGGATACTCACCTTGTCATTGAAGCGCCAGTTGTCGTGGGCCTTGAGCACAATATCGTCCTTCAACCACATCAATGCACCTAGGGGCTCATTCTTGATTGTCCGACGAGCGGCAACTTCGGCGTCTATCAGAGCGGACCGAGGACCAATCCAGGTCATGGCGCTGTTGTAACCGCACCACTTGAAGGTCCGTCCGAGGACATGGTGGGAGACATCCACGTCATCCTCGACTGTCTCCCACATGGCGTGAGTGCAGCCTCCCATGGCTTTTTGGGCAGCGACAACTCGCATAACCGTCCGCATCTTTTCCATCTGAAAGTAGTCGCGCTGGTTGCCGTCGGGAAATATTGTACCGTTGCGGTAGACAACGCCGCGAATGCGGCTTACGTCGATGTCGCGGCATTCACGTTCGCTGAGATAGTCAGGTGGTGACATCTCCAGCCATACGTCAAGGCCAATACCATTGAGGTATTGGACCAATTGGTTGAGTACAACTGGTTGGAAATGCTTCTGCCAGTCTGCGAGGAGGACTCCGTGAAGTGGTGACTCCCTCCCTTGCGGATGGCTGAAGTTCGAGATGACTGTCTGGGCAACGACACACAAGCCTTGAATCACTTCATCGATTGTGATGCTTGTCTCGATGTTTACCAAACTTTGAACATGCAGCCGACCAAGGACGTGGGCGGAGGAACAATAATTGTATATGCCGCTCACCACGCCATGTTGAAGAGGGTCGACCACGATAACGTCCCATCGCGACAGTATGGACAATTGCTCTGAGCTGGGAGGGCTGGGTATGGACCCAAGGTAGACTCCGAATGTCTTTAGTTCTACCTTTGCAGGGCTCTGCGAACGGAGAGGTTTCGTTTCCCTCTTCAAGCGGTCAAGATAACGAGTGACGGCCACGGGGGCGGCTGATAGTTGGCGTCTCCCCTATATCAGGTGGTCAGTATTTATGATGAGGGAGAGAGATGGGAACATACCTTCCAGCGAGCATGAAGCTTCTTGCCAATAATGAACAGGATGTATAGACAGCCCAGGACGATGGTGGTCAACAGTAGTACGGCAAGTACTTTGTCCCACCAGGTCTTGAGCATTCCATGCCATCCAATGGCATGGAGACCCAGATATTCTGTCCCCATGGCAAATGAACTGGGGATCAGGGACGCGATAACGAGTGATATGCACAAGACTACAGGTGCATGGGCGTGCGGATCTATATGACGATGATATAAGGCCGAAGCCACCACCCTGCCAGCTGACTATCCTAAGTAGAGCCTGACGAACTCAGTGATGCATCTCTATGACAGATACTCGCCGACTGGACGGTGGCTGAGCTACAGAGTGCCTGCCTGGGCTAAAGAAGCAAGAGAATTCAGTTTTGATTTCAGCTCGGGTTCTGGCGCCCAAATTTACGATAGGAAACAGACCAAATTACACCGGCGCTAGTGCTGCAGTGGTTCGATCCAAAAATAATTCTTTATCAGGAACGAGTCTATGACTCTGCGATCAGTGTCTGAGTTTGGACTTGGCATACGTCTAGCGAGTCAAGGGTCTGGATGTGTCTTGGTCTTAGCCGCTAATTCTCGTCAGAAGTTGCCATTACTCTTGGCCGTCCGGTGGGATCGGGCTGGAGAGGCGAGGAAGGTTCGTTCTCAAGTATTTGTAGAGAATCGATATCGCTTGAATTGTTGCTGGAGATCCGCCTCTGCGTGTTACCATCACTGTCGAGAGGCTTACGTGCTCTTCACTCCAATCGTTCCACCACGCTCACCTACAATGGCTGCTTCCAAAATTAAAGGACGACGCAATCTGTGGATTGGTATCGGAATCGCCATTGCCATTGTGGTTATTATTGTCATTGTGGTGCCATTGGCAGTTCTCCTGCCTAAAAAGCATCATGGCAAGAAGGCTACTATTCTGTTCCCCCTCTATATCTGGCCAGAGACCGACAGTACGTGGGACCCGCTGTACGAGGAGTAAGTTTGCCCTTGTCAGATCCAGAAGAGTTGGTGGATTGATGTCGTCAGAGTGAACAACTACCCCAATCTCAACTTTACCATCATCATCAATCCCAGCAGTGGTCCGGGAAACAGCTCGCAGCCTAGCTCGCAGTATGCACACCAGATCCAGCGGCTGAATGCATACCCAAATGTGCGGACGGTCGGATACGTGCGCACAGGGTATGCCAGCCGGAATCTGACCACCGTGCTGCAAGAGGTGGGCATCTACTCCGGCTGGGCAGCGGTATCGCCAACTCTTGCCATGCGTGGGATCTTTTTCGACGAGGTGCCCAGCGAGTATACGACGTCCGCGGCCGAATACCTGGCTACGATCAATGAAGCGGTCAAGAACGCCTCTGGGCTGAGGCCAGACCGAACGGTGAGCATGTCTCTGTTTTCGTATTTGTGTTTCAGTACGCTGTCCAGGCCTGGCCTCAAAGTTTCCGAGTGTACGAGACATGCTTTGAGGCTCAACTAATGATTCATCATTAGGTGATCCATAACCCGGGCGCGATCCCAGACTCCCGATATAGTAACATTGACGGGACCGATGTGACAGTTGTCTTTGAACAGTCCTATCAGGAGTATCAGACCAAGCATGCGAGTCTGATGGCGCTTCCTGCGAACCGGACGGCTTACAGCTACATGATCCACTCGGTGCCTTCCATGAATAATGGCACACTCCGCGGTCTGGTCCAGGATCTAAGCGAGCGCGCGGAATATGTGTTTCTCACAACGCTGAGCCAGAATTTCTACGAGAGCTTTGACCCACAGTTACCCACTTTATGTGCTGTCATGCCCAGTTGACGTGGGTGAAACCATGGGTATTGGATGCGGGGAGACATGTTTTGACTTTGGACTTTTGATATCACATCCAGGTAATCACAGGTAATCAATTAGCTTTGTCAAGATTCCGGAAATACTGGATAGTTAAGTGACTGGCAGGCTGAGACATCGTATTGACCAAGCTTTGATAGGCAGTGTCGGGCATCGGGCATAGAAGGAAAATGTGATACCACGGCTGGTTATCAACGGCACCACATGGCTCGATCTCTGCATATCGTCAGCACTAGGCTATCTCCTAGTGGGAGCCTGTAGACTAGTAGATAGATAGATAGATAGACATGTGCGGTCGCAGGTCGCCCCTGTCAGTCAGGGCATCTGTTTAGCTTTCATCACTATCGCTTGACTAATCTGACCGATTACTAGCCTGGATCAATCGCCATCATTTCGCCATTTTACTGAATCTTACGACTCCATCACCGTCGGCACAATGCCCCCAAAATCGGGAGTTCTCGTCCCATTGTACATTTACCCTCTATCAACGACGACATGGGCTCCACTATACGACGCGTGAGTCCACCAATCTGATTCCTAAAATCTATTATACAAATTACAATACTGAATTGGTATTCACTTCGTCAGTATAACTGCCCACCCCGACCTAGACTTCCTGGTGGTCGTCAACCCCAACAGCGGACCGGGCGACCTCCCCTCCCCGAACAAGGATTACGCCCGCGAGGTCCCCAAGCTCAACGCTTTCCCGAACGTCTACACCGTCGGCTACATTCGTATCCACTACTGCGATAAGCCTCTAGAGGAGGTCTACGAGGAGATCGACCGGTATGCTAGTTGGTCGGCCTGCGATGGTTTAGGATTAGGTGGAATTCTACTCGATGAAACGCCAAACCATTATTCGGAGGAGAGGGAGGAGTACCTGCGTGCTTGTACAGGGTTTATCAAGGGGAACGGGGGAATTCTGCGCGATCGGATGGTAAGTTTTTATTTCCTTTCTTTTCTTTTTTTAGTTTTTGGGTTTTTCTTTTTCCATGGGATTGCTGCTGACAGGGCTGATGCTGGTAGGTCGTCCATAACCCAGGCACACCCCCCGACACCGGGTTGGCCGACACCTGTCCGGATCTGATTCTGACCTGCGAAGAGCCGTACGAGAGGTACAGCTCCGACGAGGTGCAGCGTCGACTCGCCGAACTGCCCTATGATCGGGCCCGATGCGGGTACATGATCAGTGCGGTGCCTGTGCGCGAGTTGACGGACCTGGTGCGCGAATTGCGCGATCGCGCGGCGTATCTGTTTGTCACGGAGGTGGAGGGGGATTTTTACGAGCGATTTGGACCAACCAGTTGGATGCAATTGATGCCTGCGCTGAAACGCGATTCAGATTCGGAGGTAGTGTAGACTAGAGTCTAGAATCTAGATCCTGGTCTAGAGCCTAAGGCTAGCATGGATCGAATAGATCTGTCATTTTTGCGGGTTTAGCTGTCACTGGTGCCAAAGTTAGCACGCCCTAGTGGAAGCCACCATAGCTGGGCGCCACAATGAATCGCTGGGTCGCACTTTTGGCTCTGTGCCGTGGATAAGATGGTGCAATTGGTCGATAACGGTGAGACATGCACCGACGCCTCATTGATATGGCGTTGGATATCCGTAGTTGCCTACTTGGCATCGCCAGCGCATCGGCAGAAGCTGACTGCGGCTGCATAGTCCATGACGGTGAGACTGGCATTAGGCAAATAATGGCGGTGCGATAAGGAAAGTATATTCCTCGTATGAATCGAATCCTTCAGATGTAAGGTACGGAGTACGGTACTTACGGTATGTATTTATGGCGTACGAGTCATGGCCTGACATATCAGAATCCAGATACAGCCATGTCTCGGCTATCATATCCAGCTGGATTGCTGGAGATGAAAATAGTATCATCGACATGAAGTCATGGAAACGTGGATGCCATGTTCATGACGAGGATGACTGCGAACCATTGACTTATTGTCTGCGATGAGCCTCGGGCTGTAGACTGTAGTAAGTCGCTCCTTTGGTTGCTGTGATACGGTATACCTTCCCCAGTATGACTTCAAGTTCACATTCTGAAGGAAGCCCATCTGCTTCTCCTCGGATCTTTTCTGAAGTCCCGACCCCAGACAGCGAGGCGGATGGGTTTGATACCTTGACACCTGTCAGTGATGGCGAGGAGTATGTCCTTGTCACTGGCGGCCTAGGATTCATCGGCAGCCACACCTGTCTGGAGCTGCTGAAAGCGGGATACAATGTGCTCATCGTCGACGACCTGAGTAACAGCTACCGCCATGTATTCTCCCGGATCCTGCTGGCCGCGAAACTGCACTTTGACAGTACGGATGGCCACTGTCCCAAGGCGACGCTGTACGATGTCGACTACCGCGACATGTCCGCCATGAGGAACCTCCTCGACGCATATCAGCTCGACCTATCCACAAGACAATCGAGAATCATTGGAGTCATCCACTTCGCAGCCTTCAAGCAGGTCGAAGAGAGCATCCACACCCCCCTCAAGTACTACCGCAACAACATCAACGGGCTCGTCGACCTCCTCTTCCTGCTAGACCAGTACCGCATCACCACCTTCATCTTTTCCTCGTCAGCCAACGTCTACGGCAAACTAGCCGAGAACCGTCCCATCCTCCACGAAGAAGAATGCACCCACCAACCTGAACCCAACCAGTTAGGTGCGCCTCACCCCGCGGAAATCAACATCTCCCAAATCACAAACCCCTACGGCCGCACCAAACTCTTCGGCGAAGCCATCCTCGCCGACGTGGCCCGCGCAAACCCCGCCTGGACCATCGTCGCCCTGCGCTACTTCAACCCAATCGGCTGCGACGCGTCGGGCCTACTAGGCGAAGACCCAAAGATCAATCCCTCGAACCTCGTCCCCGCCCTCGTGGATATCCTCACCGGTAGACGAGACGAGCTCCTCATCTACGGGAGTGACTGGGATACGCCTGACGGCACCCCGATCCGGGATTTCATCCATGTTACGGACGTGGCGAGGGGCCATACGGCTGCGTTGGCTGCGGCGCGGGAGGGCCGCGTGCGGGATGGGTTCCGCACGTTTAATCTCGGGACGGGGCGTGGGCATTCGGTGTTGGAGCTAGTGCGGACGCTGGAAAATGTGTCCGGGCGGACGATTCCGAGACGGGTGGTGGGGAGGAGAGCGGGGGATGTTGGGTCGTGTGTTGCCAGTGCGGAGCGGGCGGCGGTGGAGTTGGGGTGGACGACGGAGAAGTCGTTGAGGGATGCTTGTGAGGATCTGTGGGGTTATCTGCAGGAGTAATAGGAGGTATATTCTACATAGATCACTAATATCATAGCCAATGTGGATTTGTTTCCTAAACAGCAGGTATAACCGTGTAGCAATATGTAGTTATATATATTTGCTAGCTCGTGGATTTACCCATGGTAGGCTACTGCTATTTTATAAATATATATTTAGTAATATGTAGCACTAACGTCTAACTGTCTATAAAGTGCTATATATAATATATCTATCAGAGTGACTGATCATTGTCTGGTGGAAAATTCCTATGTTCATGATATATGACGTCATTCATCTCAGTGCCTTTCCATAGCATTATCCTCTCTCTCTCCATATCCACCTATATTTCCACCTGAGTGAAGCAGTTGATTGGCCAATTAATTGCCACTGATCCGGGGTTGGCCTGAGCACGTTCCCATGCCTCCACTCTGATTGGTTGACTCCACAGATGGCCTGAGGGTTGCCTGATTGGGTCCAGATTGGGTCTAGATTGGACAACTGAAGAATGTTCGCTGCATGCGCACGTGTTTCTCCTGGAGCTTATCTATCTTTTGCTGTCTGTCCCTTTCTTGTCCTGTAATCATCTTTCTTTAGTCACCTATCCCTCCAGCTGTCGCAATGAACGTCTTTAACGAACAGAGAGGGCGCATCGCCCTCTACACCTCACCACGGACCAAAGAGGGTGCCACCATCGCCATGCTGATCGAGCTCATCGGGTATGCTATGCGTGGCATGCTGCAGATGCTAGTACTAACGGCACAGACAACCGCATTGCATCCACCTCGTCCACAGCATCAAAGAAATCAAACACGACGATGCAAGCGCATACACCAGCCTCCCTGTCCTCTTCGATGTAACCAGCGAAGGGAAAAAGGCTAGTGCATCCAGCTTGTCGGATATCACCCGCTACCTTCTCACGAAATACGACGCTGAGCACCACTTTTCATACAAAGAGGGGTCCAAGGAAGCAGAGGAGGTGAAGAACTGGATTGCGTTCCTGAACAAGACAATCCACGGCGATAGTCCTGGGGAAACCTTTACGCGGAAGGCCCTGCGGTTGTATTTGCATCTCGAGGAGCATTTGCAGAAGGCGCAGAGTCCGTATCTCGTTGGCAAGAAGTGGTATGTCTGTTGCCTACCATCAACTGTGAAGCGTGCTAACAGATGCAGTACACTGGCGGATTTGGTTGTTTTCCCGTATGTAGCCGGTGCGAGTCAGGCAAACTTGGACCTTGAGCGCTTCCCCGAGTTGACGACCTGGCATGATCGACTGGTCCGGAATCCTCATGTGGCCAAGGGCATGAAAGATGTATATTTGGAGGCGTAGTCTCGTTAAATTATGGCGTATACATGATACATGTATTAATTTGCATATAATGGTTAAAGTCAACTAACCCCCCGCCACAGCATCAAGAATGTCGGTCACCTTCTTAATATCCTTATTCTCCACCTCAATATAATGCCTCATCGCCAGCGCCGTCACAACTACCATCTCCACGAACCGCTCGTCCCCTTGCATAAACACTTCAATCTGCTGCCCCTGCCCTTTCAAAGATAGCTTCTTGTGGTATCTCGCCAACAACCGCCGCTCACTGTCAAACAGCTCCAGCTTACTCCCTCCCCATGCATCTGGCTTCCATTTGAAGTGCCCTAGAGGCGGGTAATCGAAGTGGTGATTATCGCTCTTGAGGAGATCGCGCTTGAGCAGGAATTCGTGCCCGTGAAGTGTGATGTCCACCTTGCTAGAGGGGAACTTGTGGACGGTGCAGGTTCCGATGGGGATAGGCGCTGGAGACCATGGCCCTGGCGGTGGGAGACGCGAGACGGTGAGATGTGGTTTTGATTTCTGGGTCGCAAGCTGGAAGACTGGTCTGTCTGCGCAGGTGATTGTCTCCGCCGAGCTGTCGAGGGTAAAGGTGTAGACGGGCTGGAGGGATTTATTTTTGGAGAATAGTTTGTCCATGACTGGTTTGGTTATGTTATTGGAGCTGTTCGCTGAATTGAATTTTCAGTTGGAATGGCCTTTGAAGTGCTGGAACCTGTATATATACATTATGGAAGTGAATTTCTCCATACAATGCTTTTGATCCTGCCGTGGCTATGACATGATGGTATGCCCTTTTTGGCAATGGTCGATTCTAGGCTAGTCCCAAAAGGGTAATTAATGTGCATCCCGCTGCGTGCCAAGAGCTGATCATCCGTATTTCTGCACTGCCTGACAGCGCCTTGGCCCATGGATGGATGCACAGAAATTACTGTTTTGGGATAGTCAATGATCCTTAGACAATATTGTCCGCTTAGTCTAATCTAAATCAGGCGAGTCACTCGCCACAGCACCGAGGCTCAGTATTGGAAATGTTGTTCCCCGTTATGGCCACTGCTCAACACGGCCTTATGGCGGGTGCCTCTTCACCCGCTCAGCAATCCTCTGAATCTGGATTACTTTTTGAGTCAGTTGAGATAATAGAAGCGATATCTCAGCGATCGTTCGTTCAGTCTGTTGAAGCTGTCGGTACACCTGGCAGTCTCACAAATCCCGTCAGCGATCTCCAGCAGAGCGGCGGCACTTACTGAAAAATTGGCCTAAAAATACAAAATACCGAAGAGCTTGGTCAACTGGACAGACAATGGCGTATCCCTCCCCGATACGTATCGCACCAATATCCTTGTCATGTCGCATGCGACCCGTCAATCTCGGTAAGTTCATGATATCCAGCGCGACCATGGGTAGAAATTGTTCAAAAGGCTCTCAACGACAACATTAAAGTATTTTTTGAAATCTTGACCAAAGACATCTTCATCTTCTTCGTCAGGGGTGAGCTCGGGACATGGATAGTGCGCGACCTGGAGACTGCAACCACATATAGGATCTTCTTCCTGTCCTCAGAGGCGCTGAAGAAGCAAGTGGTGAGTTGAGGACCGCCTCCAGAGCCGCAGGAGTCACCATGGACAGGCGCGGTGAGTCCAGTGGAAGATCCCGTAACATCTCGTAGAAGCGGCTATTCCGTTAGAATAGAGAATAGAATGATGTACAATGGAAGACATGCCGAGAAACTTCAACCAGCGACGCCCCTTCCCACGACGGATCCTTCACCCACCGAAACCGCAGCAATTCAATCGCCCTATCGCGGCAATTCATTACGCGCTCGTAGTCCCAGCCGGGAGGATAGAATGACATGTTTCCTTCTTTTCCTTTGCATTATCTTTCATCGGGGATGGAAAGTGAATGATGAAAGGAACTTGACATGATGAGAGGGGAAATACCGGGTTGATCGTGATGATTAAACTGGTGATATCGGATGTCAACTCCTTAGTACTGGGAGGCGGGGCTGTCATCACAGTCTCATGAACACTTGAACACTTGAAGAGGCATAGGGGACATCAGATAAGGGACAGTAAAACAGCTTTTATTTAAACTAGAAAGAGGCAGTGCTATCTATGATATTTAGGATTGGTAACGATATGGAAGTAGTATACTACTAACAAGATCAACCTCAGAGGCACTTCGGACTGTTGAACAGTCATCCGTATATACGCGAGAACCAGGTTTATAAATTACTAAGGTCTTAGACTAAGACATTACATCCACCAATATAATAAGAGGACAGGGATCCAGACTCAAACTATGTATAATTATGAAGAGGACAACCAAGCTCCAAAGATCCAGTCAAGTCCGTCACTTGAATCCACCAAAAAGATGACAGACAACATCGAAACCACTACCTCAAGCAGTCGACAACTTCCCCAGCAAGAACCGCGCCGCATCGCCCGTATTCGCCCCGTACGTGAAATGCGCCGCCGTCACAATCAACGTGCCATCACACACCAAATCCCCCATAGCACAGTAAATCTTGACCTTGTCCTTCGGGAAATTGGCAATCTGCCCCCTCTCCTGCGCATTGCGCGTATATCCAAACAGCACAACACCCTTGATCTTCTCCTTGACCTCGTCAGGAAGCCGCTTGATAGACCCGTCCATCACCGCCGTGCCTTGGCTGTATCCCCCAGCTACAATCTGCGTATCTGGGCATTTCGACGCAGCTTGCTTGAATAAGTCCACGGCTTCATTGATAGCTGCCGGGGAGGTGTTCTCGGGGAGTGCGTTGGACCCCAGATCAGCTGTGTAGGCTGGTCCGACGCCTTGGCAGGCTACCTGCCCTGGTTTGGCGGCTTTGAGGTTGTTGCAGACTGCTGGGCCGGTGGACATCCCCTGTTTATGTTAGTTCTGTTGCTATTGGATAGCATGCGGGAGTTCTTACGAGGAGCCCTGGCTCCGTGGATGCACGGGCGAAGATGAAGGTGATGGGCTTGCAGGCTCCATCGCGGAGTTCGTTCCCGGAGGAAACTAAAGTCTGTTAGACACGACCACGACGCAGAGACGGAGGGTAGGTACGTACATTGTCTCTCCTGGATGGCAACTGGACTTGCGGCGGCGAGGCCGGCGAGGGCAAGGGTCAATAGGCGCAGGTTCATCTTGTCTTGGGCCTTTGTCTTGGGAGAGTTGCTAATCACAATCCTTGCCCTGACAGGGGTCTTTATATATACGGTCCTTGGCTTGATAGAGACTCATCCTCGGCAGTTGCCCAGAATAAGAATCCGATGAGAGGTCCAGGCAGAACATTCAGGAACTAAGGTCAGATCCCATTGGGGTCTATTCCCTCACAGTTTCAGAATGTCTTGGATAGTTCGTTCTTGATCTGATACAGATTGAGAGTCTGAGTCTCCTGCCAAGTCCTGAGTACCGTCCCTGAACGTGCCGAGGACCTGTTTGTGATGTGGGCCATGTCTCATAATAGTGTTGTTGATACTCCGTGGTTCGCCCGAAATTTGGGGAATCCCGGACGATTTTCCCAATGCGGTTTGAACTCGCCCAAAGTCCCAAGATTTGGACTCATAATTGGAGAGAATACTTGATTTTAACCGACCTGAAACAATAATCGATTCATCCAGCCCTACACTACATGACTCACGGGATCAGAATGAAAAAAGACAAACGCTGATCACCGAACGTGCCCACCAACGACTCATTCAAGCCAGATTCTGCAGATTGACCAACTCAAAATACCGTCCTCGCTTCCGAAGCAGGTCATCATGCGTCCCTGACTCCACCACCTCCCCCTGATCCAGCACGTAGATCACATCCGCCCGCTGGATGGTACTTAACCGATGCGCCACGGCAATAGTCGTCCGGCCCTGTGCCGCCGCGTCCAGCGCAGCCTGCACCACCTTTTCAGACTCCGAGTCCAGCGCAGAGGTTGCCTCATCTAGAAGTAAGATCCGTGGATCACGGATGAGGGCGCGCGCAATGGCGATGCGCTGCTTCTGGCCGCCGGAGAGCATGCCGCCTTTTGTGCCGACAATCGTATCGAAGCCTTGTCTGTTCTTCATTAGCGACCCATAACTACATGAGGATTTGGGGTTGACGTACGGGAGGGAAATGATAAAATCGTAGATATTTGCGTCCTTGCACGCATTGATCAGCTCGTTTTCACTGTTGTACGGCCTGGTACTCCCCAGAAGGATATTCTCGCGGATCGTCCCCTGGAATAAAGCCGGTTCCTGGCTGACCAGCGCCAGGTGGCTTCGGTACGAGGTTAGATCCCAGGTAGCAATATTTCTGCCGTCGACGTAGATTCCCCCAGTCATAGGGTTGTAGAATCGTTCCAGCAGTGAGATGATCGTGCTCTTCCCGCTGCCGCTGGCGCCGACCAGGGCGACGAACTGGCCGGGTTTGACGGTTAAATTCAGTCTGCGAAGCACCGGTTGGTCCATCCGGCTCGGATACCGGAAGGAGACATCGCGGAATTCAATCAGCCCGCGCATATCTGGCTGGGGTTTTTGGCGTGCAGCCCCGCAATTCGACTGCATGGTCTCGCCGCTGAAGAGCCGCTTGAATTCCCCCGCGGCGTGCTTTGCCTTTCCCATATCCGGTGCGTGAGAGAAAACAGTGCCAGCCGCCTGTGCGCCGAAGATCACCTCGCTGAAGCAGACATAAAACTGGAAGAGGGAGTACTCTCCATGCCCCAGAAGCGTCCCACCGTACCAGAATCCCAGCGCCATGCACAAGAACGGCAGGGCTTGGGAGCTGGCGTACAGCAGCGACGATTTGACGATGGGGAGGATATCCCGCTTGAGCTGGTCCTGCAGCTGGGTTTGATACGAGTCTAAAACCTCCCCCTCCATCGTCAACGAAGCGACCGTGCGAATCGCCGAGGCCGCTTCGCAGGCTGAGCTGGCGGACTGCTGATACGCTGCCTTTGCGCGCCGCTGGAATTTATCCAGCATCCAGACGCGGATAAAGCCGCAGAGCAGGAGTACAGGGACAGCGGAGATGCAGACTAGTGCGAGCTTCCAGCCCATGATTATTGCAATACCCAGCGAAGCGACCAGGTTTACCGAGACGATGAGCAGGGTGCCGAGGGTGACACCGCTGATGCCGGCCAGTTGTTTTGTTTCTGCGCTCAGGGTAGCTGTTAACGCGCCCGTGGTGTTCTCCGGCACGTCGAAAAAGGATATGTCCTGGTGGAGCATTACGCGGAAGGCCTGGCTGCGGGCCCGATAGACCATTTTTTCGGAGCAGTAGGCGAAGAGGCTTCCTTGGAAGGCATACAGAATAAATGTGACCAGGCCGAGCATGAGGAACATGAGCGACCAGAAGCTCGCATCGTGCCGTAGCTTGGGATATTCCCAGGGCGGGAGGCTCAGCGTGCTGACGGCTTTGGCGAAAAGGACGGCCTGCGAGGGCTGGATGCCTCCGGCTAGGACGGATGCAGCCAATCCCAGCCCGAGAAGCGGCCATTCGGGGCGGTTGAACGAGGCGAGGAATTTAAACAGCGTCCAGAGTGAGTAGGATATCTCTTTGGCTTTGTGCAGGTGCACCGGTAGCGCTGATATCGACATGCGAGACATCCGCTGTTTCAGTCTCTCTCCCGTCTTCAGCCCGACATCAGACGCGTCGTCCTGAGCATCATACTCCGAGACGTCATCGTCTGTAGGATAGTCCAGGTCAAGGAAGAACGTCTGCATCGGGCTTCGAGGCATCTGGCTCATCCGCGTGAGCCGTTTCTTGATCTGCTGCGCCTTGACCATGCCGTAGTACACGCCCTTTCTGTCCATGAGACGATCATGCGAGCCCTGCTCGACGATGCATCCATTGTTCAAGACGACGATATTATGCGCTTCTTTGATGGTGGACAGCCGGTGCGCAATCACCACGGTAGTCCGGCCCTGCGACGCCTTATCCAGAGCAGCCTGTACCAGCCCCTCGGATTTTGTATCTAGAGCGGAGGTCGCCTCGTCCAGCAACAGGATCTTGGGGTCTTTGACTATGGCCCTCGCAATCGCGATGCGCTGCTTCTGGCCCCCGGATAGGGAGAAACCCGCAATGTTGGTTTCGTACCCGTCCGGCAGGCCCATGATGAAATCGTGCGCATTCGCCATGCGGGCTGCATCCTCGATCCGTTTTTGTATCTGCTGAGGCGGTTCGTGTTCATGTTTCGAGCCGATCAGCCCAACGCGGATGTTCTCTGCGATTGTGGCGGCGAAGAGCCGTGGTTCCTGCGAAACGAGAGACATTTGCTGGCGCAGCCAGCGCAGATTCAAATGCTGGATACCATGTCCGTCGAGCAGGATATTCCCCGCTACAGGGCTGTAGAACCGTTCGATGAGTCCTATGATGGTGCTTTTGCCGGATCCTGAGGGCCCGACAAAGGCTGTGGTTTTGCCGGCTGGAATATAGACGCTCAGGTCGTGCGCGACGATGACCTCCGGCCGAGATGGGTAGACGTGGCGGATATTTTGCAAAACAATATTTCCGCGGACATGGCCCAAGGTGATGCCCTTGTCTAGTGACGCGTCCAGAGGAGATTGCCGATCGATCGTGCTATACAGCTTGGTTGCGGCCGCCACAGCAGTGGACAGCGCCTGGGTATTGGGCGCAATATTGCCCAGATTGTACGATCCGAGAATGATAGCCATAAGGATAGTTAGCACATCACCGGCCTTGACATGGCTCCCGTCGTCGACCAGGAACCGCGATCCCATCCAAAATCCCAGCCCGTAGTTAAGATACATGACACACAGCAGAGCCCCAACCATCAGCGCGAAGATCATCTGCGCCCTCATCCCCGGTCTCTCTGCATCCTTGAGGTGTTTCTCGTATTTAGTGGCTAGCGTCTCCTGTGCGTCGAATGCGACCACTGTTCGGATCGAATCGAGAATATCCTCTGCTAGACTTGCGCCTTGGCCTTGGGAAGCCAACGCGCGCTTGTTGAAGCCGAGCATGGCTGTGGAGCAGCCACCCATGATTAGCAGCAATGCGACCAGGGTGGCGCTACAGATCAGCGCCAGCTTCCAGCTTTTGATGTATGCGATAATGAACGCCGTGACGAACGTTGATAGTCCAGTCAAGGCTAGACCGACCTTTTCGGAGATTCCATCTTGGATGAGGTTCGTGTCGGCCGTGATCCTGGTCGTAATTTCTCCCGCGCCAAGTGTATCGAAGAAGGCGATGTTCTGTCGTAGAATGGCGCGCAGGTACTCGACGCGGATCTGCTGCACAATGTGGTCGCCGGTGTAGATGAAACCCACAGTGGCGAGGTAGATGGTTGCGAACTCTCCGATGGCCAGGTAGACAAAGTAGACGACGTACTTGGTGAGTTCATGGTGGAAGTGCTGGTAGGTGATTTGTCCGCTGACGATGTCTTGAAAGGTTGAGGTCAAGTTGCCAAAGAGGACCTATCTCGTCAGTTGCAATCATAGGTGACGGGGTATTGGATACCTGCAGTGAATAGAGGCAGTGCAGCACCGCCTATGATGGCGCAGGCCGAGCTGACGACGAGGATGGCAATGTCCCATCGCGAAGCATATCGATATATCCCAAAGAAGCCTACATGCGACTCTGATGCATCGATCTGTCTGTGCAGGATGGCTTTCTCCGCTTCAGACAGACAGAGTGTTGCTGAACTTCCTCCGGGAGACTACTTCATTAGTTGCAGCTGTCAAAGTATGCAGTGTACTTACTTTAGGTAGGTCCTCTAGCTCTATGTCCTCCTTCGACTTCATCGTGTATGTTCTCTTCGCTCTGGACTGGACATCTTAGCTACGACATATCTGGTATGTAGGAATGTGGCTGTCGACAGGAGACTGAGACGGGCCATCTCTGAGACCATGTGATACTCTCTCGCAGTCGTTACTCAAAGCATCATTGTGGAACGTTTCACCGGCAGGGGTGTCGACCAGTTTCAAAAATCAGACGACACGCGAACTGACAGCCCTCGGACTTCAACTGCCGAAGCCTAAGTGCCGTAGCCTCGGTGATTGCTTGACGATCAGTGACCGACTTATGAGACCGTGCTCAGTCACATCATAAAAGTCAAATGGTTGCTTAACTTGCTGGTCACGGAGATCGACAGTTGAAGCAACTAGAGTCTCACTTGGCTAATACCACGGGACCTTTTCTTCAGCTGGTATCAATCTAATTATTGGAAACTACTTGAGTTCCAGCCTTCCAGGTTCCCGAAAGTATGTAAATCTGATGGAAGCGTGTTTGCGATAGATGAAATGATAGGGCAAGATGATACCTCAATTCCTAGGTGTCGACGTTCCATGGTTCAAACAGCCGGTGTTTATAGCAGCGAACGATGAAACAGTCTGAAATTTGGGTCCAACGCGAAAACTCAATTAACAGCCTAAAGTCGACCGATCTAGACTTAGATTAGCACATCAATAACGCTGCTCTTAAGGTTTGTGCGAAACTTGTCAGTGGGCCTGGGGATCGCGCCGTTAGACTTAATTCCTGAATCTGTGCACACAAGTACTCCTAGCCCTACACGGTTCATTAAGGTTGAAGGTCAAACAACTAATCATACTAACTGAATATGGGTATGAGATACATCACACTAATTAAAAGAAAAGACAAACAGTACAATTTATCAGTTAACCAGTCTCTTCCTCAGTTTCACCTTGAGGTCCGGCACTTCCCAAAACGCATAACACCGAGACTGCCGCTGCCAGTCCTTGACCTTGCCCACATACTCGGCCTCAAACTCTAAGAAGAAGCCGGCCAGAGTCAATTGTAGCATCTGTTTGGCAAAATACTTGGCAATACAAGCTCGGCTTCCGACCAGGAATGGCTGGACCGCCTCTTTCCTGTCTGTCGATCCAGGCTCTGTCCATCGCTCCGGGATGAATTCGTAGGGACAGCTGAAGTACTCCGGATTGTGATGCAGCGCAAACAACGACGTACAGATCTCAGTCTATATCACGTTAGCGTAGGACTAAAGTCTGAAACTGAAGAATGTACTCACCCCCGCAGGGATATACACCCCATCCACATACGCCCCAGGTGAAACACGCGGACCCCCCAATGGCACAGGCGGATACAAGCGCAACGCCTCCGTAATTACAGCATTGAGATAGGGCAGCTGCGCCGCAACATCCCCCGAGATATCGTCGGCCGAAGCAAACGCCGCCTGTAACTCCTGCACCAGCTTCACATGCGCCTCCGGGTGGGTCAGCACCAAGTAAATGACCGCGCAGAGGGCGTTCTGCGTCGTGTGGAAGCCAGCCAGCATGATCGCCGAGAAGTTCTCGGCGACCTCGTCCTCGGGGAGATCGCTGCCCCCCGACCGCTCCATCACCTCGACCATGATATCGCGGCGGGTGTGTGATGCGCGCAGTTGTCTGATACGTTAGCTTGTTTCGCGTCAATTGCCGGAAACAGAACCTACTCGTTGATGAGTCGCATGCGGGCTTGCTCCGCGCGGAGGCGGATCCCCTTGCGCAGAAACCGACGAAGCAGCCACTTGATTGCCGTTGGGATGCCGGAGCCCTCGAACTGGTCTCGGATTGTTGCCCAGTAGAAGATACGCGGCAGTTGCTCGGTCCAGAAATAGGGCTTGCCGCGTTTCAGGCAGCCCAGTGGCTTGCCTAGTAGGACCTCGGAGACGGTATCTACCGAGTGGCAGTAGAGAAGTTCGTTCAGCGAAATGGTGTTTTGCGTCTCAAGTTTGCCTCGGATCACCTCGTGCAAGCGAAGGATGCACTCGCGGATGACCCCTGCGTGGACATGCATAGAGCCAGGGGTAAACGAGGGGCCGAACAGCTTGCGAACCGACGCATGGTAGACGGGATCTGCAGCGGTGAAGACGTTTCGACGGGAGATATTTCGGTAGAAGCCAGTTTTTAGGAATGCAGCGCCTTTGCCAGTGCCGGTGCTGTAGATCTGACGTAGGGCTTTGACGGTGTTGGTGGTGGCTTGACCGGGTGCGAATCGGACGGTGTTGCCTGGTTTGTTAGACTCAATCACTCAATCACTAACAAGTTATGCAGTACGTACCGTAGGACAGATGAAGGGAATGAAAGTGGTATGCACTTCGGCCGGAGATGAAGGCAAGCTTGGTGCCAATCTGCGGATATGAGATGCGGTTCTACTTGTCAGAGGACGGACTTACACCGCAGAGATATAGGTCAACGAATGATCCGGGTACGCCTTTGATGACCGGTCCCTTTGGCGCCAGGCGTATTGCCAGTAGCACAAGGCATGGCACTAGAAGGACAGCAAGAATCGGAAATGGGACGACCGGGTAGGCGAGTTCGGGGAAAGGCCCCGAGGGCAGCGACATCGCAACGAGGACCATATTGAGAATGCAGTGAATGAGTGTTGGGATGATGATCCTATTGAGCGTCCAGAACATCCTCTACTATTTATCCTTTCTACAATCTCATTCCTCCGTATCAGATCAGCTAGGGCTAGATTGGGGTAAGCAGTGCGAAGACTTGCTCACCTGAGTTTCGGGTGGAAATTGCTCATAATGTGATACACTGCCTCGGCTTTTGTCCGGATTTTCTCATCTAACACTTCTCTATGATGTGATGGTTGGTGTGAAGACTCGATGCCGATCTGCGCTTCGTCTGGCAGTGGTGGATCCGCCGGCGATGGACATATGAAACGAACCCTGGATACAAAGTCGCGAAAATCAGATCCCCAATTTTGATCACCGAATTAAGGTCAGGAGGTTCTCCTGAACACTGGTGTTACATTTGCGGTCACTTACCTGAATCACACGGATTGATTCGGTCGATTGATTGGCATATAAAAACCTGTCCCACTACGTACCACCTTGTCTCCATCCCTAACATCTTGCCTCAATCACTTCGATGGCTACTCCTACCCAGGTATTATTCCTCGCGAATAGCGAACATGGCCAGACGAATATCATCCTGGCCATCACCCATGAGCTGCTTGTCAGAGGAGACGTCGACGTCCATATTGCCTCATTCCCTGCGTTGGAAAGACGGGTGAACAAACTCTTGAATGACAATGCCCCTTCATATAATGACTCGTTTCGATCGCGCATCCATTTCCACCCTATTCGCGGCCCCTCCAATACAGACGTGTTCATTCGCACGGGCAAACGAGGAGCGTTCCATCCTCCTGGGTACAGCGGCGCCGTGCTTGGCTTCCAGTCGCTATGCGAAGACATCTGGGGCTGGACAGAAGACGAATATGTCGATATCTACCAGTGCTGTATGGAAATCATCAAATCTGTACAGCCTTCGGTAATTGCAGCCGACTTTTTCTTCCTGCAGGGCCGCGATGCCGCTTTCAACGCTGGCTACACGGCCATCTTGATCAATACCACATCGCTCACTCATATCGTCCTGGGCCTGCAGCCACACTCCGCTGCTCTGTGGAAGTACCCTTTGTAAGTCCTTCGCCCAGCATAGCCGGATCTGTACTGACTGCATAGACCCGGAACTGGATTCCCCTACCCGCTTCCTCCGCACCTCATCCCGCTCAACACACTGGCCGTGCTCAAAACAGCCAAAATGTACCATGGCAGCGGTCGCCGTCGCGAAATCCGCGAATGGCGCATCCGGCACAAAATCCATGGTCGGTTCCCTTTTGCTGATGCCTGGCGACCGGACCGATTCCACCTGTCACCAGCGCTGAAAGAGCTGGACTGGCCCATGGACGTGCCGGACAACATCCTCCCGTGCGGACCAATTCTCCTTCCCACCGCATCGGTAGAAAAGCAGGACCCGGAACTCGCAAGCTGGCTGCGCAAGGCGCCGACTGTCTTGGTTAATCTGGGAACGCTGTACGCGCCAGACCCAAAGGTAGCGGAGAATATTGCGAGCGGATTGAAAATGTTCCTCACTTCCTGGAAGGGAGAGAAGGTTCAGATTCTGTGGAAGTTGCCTAAACATCCACATGACGAGGAGAATGTCTATGCTCAGTCGATCAAGCCCCTTCAGGCTGAGGTAGAGGCAGACAGCGCGCGCATCCGACCTTGGTTCGAGGTTGAGCCGATGGCTATGCTGCAGACGGGTCAGATCGTCTGCTCTGTTCATCATGGAGGTGCGAACTCGTGGTATGAAGCAATTCAGTAAGTCTCCACTTCTGTCACAGTGTTCCAGACTAACGGTATAGAAATGGTGTGCCTCACGTGGTGCTGCCTGCGTGGCAAGACTGTTACGAGAATGCAGCTCGAGCGGAATGGCTCGGAATTGGTGTCTATGGCAATAAGAGCCGTGCGCCTAACATTGATGCCAAAGAACTGAGCAAGGCGTTGCTCAAGGTCATGGGAAACAAGTCGTACAAAACCAAGGCACTCGAATTGGCCAAGCTTTGCAAAAAGAAGGAAGGCCGTGTAGCGGCTGCCGAGAAGATTGTCGAGCTGGCGCTCAACCCAGACAGAATGGCCATGCACATGCCAGAGGTGAAGGTCGAAGACACCAAGCGCCCCCTCTACGAGATCAAGAATCGTGCTGGGATGGTCCTCGAAACCGCTCAACCCTCTGAAACCAAGGGCAAATCCGCCCGTGTACCGGTTCTTCGAGATATCAAAGAAACCCTCGTCGTGACTACACTATGCAACGCCTGGTTTCTCTTCCCACTACTGGGATACTCTCTTCTCCTCGTCCCTCGACTGCGTCTCTTCGTCTTCCTCTACATCCTCTACATCAAATATCTCGCCAAAGCACACAAAACCGGCACCTTATCTCTCCGCAACGACCGCCTCCGCACATCCTGGATCTGGAAAGCCTACGCCTCCTACTTCCCCCTCCGCCTCTACCGCTCGGCACCCCTCTCCCCCCGCAAAAAGTACATCTTCGGCTACCATCCCCACGGCATCGCCCTCCGAGGCGCAGTCGGGACCCTAGCCGCCGACGCAGCCGGATTCTCCGATCTCTTCCCCGGCCTCACGAACACGCTCCTGATGAAAGACGAGGCGTTCTACCAGCCTCTGTACAGGGAGTACCTCCTCTCCAGCGGGATTAGCGGCGTGTCCCGCTCGTCGTGTATCCGACACCTTACCCGCGGGGGACATGATGGGCAGGGTATGGGCCGGGCGATTACCATCACCGTCGGCGGAAGTCGCGAGTATAACCTTGCCCGGCCGGGGACGATGTGTGTGGTCGTCCGCATCCGCAAGGGGTTTGTCCGGGTGGCGGTTGAGACGGGGGCAGATCTCGTTCCTGTTATTGCCTTCGGGGAGAATGAGCTCTTCGATTGTGTGGATGTGTCCTCGTCGACTGTGCTGGGGGTTGTGGCTAGAGTCTGGGAATGGGCTGTTGGACACAAGGTCGCGTTTTCGACTGGTCGGTTCAACATCTTCTGTCCGTATCGGCGGCCGGTGGATGTTGTTGTTGGGGAGCCGATTCCTGTGATGCAGCAGCGGTGGGATCCGGATCAGAAGTATATTGATCGGTTGCATGAGGAGTATATCAAGGCACTGCAGAAGTTGTGGGATGATTGGAGGGATGCATTTGGTGTAGACCGGTCTGTGAGGTTTCAGATTGTTGAATGATTCTTTGATGCCTTTCAGCTATTATGGGTATAATAGCAGGTAATATCAGCCATGTCTATGCAATGTAATTACCATCAGCTAGGATCTTTGGAAAGCCAGCTGTCCAGCATTTCCACAAAATCCAGCTTGTACAACCACTCCGAATCAAACAGCTCATTGTCTGCCTCCTCAAAGGAATGGCTAAGCATTTACCATCATTAGCCATCAATAGAACAAGGTTGATGGGTGTCTTGGGACTGACCTCTTGTAAGTCGAAATCCAATAACCTCGCGCGACTTCGATCTAATGCGTAATCCATAATCCGCCCATTGCTGCGAATATAGATTACACTTTTTCAGAATGTGGTCAAGATCAAAGTTGTCCGTTGTAACCGCATGTCCGACGCTGGTTAAGGGCATGTGCAATCTCTGGTAAGATGTCGTAATGAATACGATTAAACTCGAAACTCTAGTACCATATGAACTTTCTTCTCACGTTGTAACGACAATAGATCACGATCCTCAGCATATCTTGTCTTCCATACGGCATGACAGTCAAGTAGGTCTCATTATGGATATCGATAATCCCATCAGCTTCCTGGATCTCCCGCCGGAGTTACGTCTCCAGATCTACAAAGACCTTATTTGGACATATCCTGGTGTCCCTATACACTTTCAGCTACAAAATTCTACGAAGAATAGCTCAATCAAGCAGAGTACCACAGAGACAAGAAGGCTCCACGCCGCAGTTCGTTACAAAGATTCCGCTTGAACTTGTTCCTCACCAACAAGCAAGTCTATCTGGAAGGTGCTCACGTGTTCTACACACACACCCTATTCAAAGCCTCCATTAAACTCGGAGAGAAAGACTGGCAGACGCTATACAAGTGGCTTGTGATGATCGGTCCGCACAACCGGAGAAACCTCAGGAGGATCGAAATACGCTATTGCTGTCTGGAATGGGCTCCCATACTGGAAGATGGACAGCCAGGTAAAAGGTGGGTGACCAACCTACGTGATTTAGATGTATACAAGCCTCTTGACTGGGGAAACCTGTAGCCAACGGGTGAATGGGTGGAGTACATCAGTCCAACGATCGAGAAGATATTCAAGCTGCTTGGCGAGTGTCGCAATGTCATAGTCACGATCGACTGCTGCGCAAATGAGCTTGGTGACAGAGTGTTGTCCCCTGAACTCTACGTCGCGGAGCAAGGGACTGGGTACCCAAATTCTAGGTGGTTTGATATGTCATTCCAGTATTGGTATAAGCTCTATATTTCCTGTAAGGAGCAACCGGATATCGACTTTGATGGGGACCTCTACGGTGAGTATGACTTCTTAGGACCACTTGATAAGTCGTTGATACCAGATCTGGTGGAGCTCTATCGGACTCGGTACGGCGAGGATTCCATCAGCGTGTTGTGAACGGGTGAAATAATGATTTCGGCAACAGAGGAGAGGAGCTGGAGCATCAACATAATTGAGCGTTTCGGATGGGACATACTGAAGCAGTCGGGATGTCGTTTTTTGAGATCTAGCTCTTCAATTCCGACGACGGAAGTGGTAACTATGCAGTTGCAAAGAAGGTCGAAGAATCTACAGGAGTTAGCTACACAATTGTCTGGAGATCCTGAAGCTGATATCGATCTGTGTATCCGGTGCTCTGATGATGCGGACTAGAATACGTGGGACTTGCTCGAGTCGTTATATATATCTGTCGACACGGGCTGGCTATACCTGTGATACCTTCCATTGTTGCTGACAAATTTGATCAATTGAATGACTTGATACTTTTGCTGATATTGAACCAAAGACTCTGTTGCCAGCATTGAATATTTTGTTCATTCCAGAATCTACCATTTTAAATCAGGGTGTCCTTTCCAGAATCTTGTGATATTGACGCAGACCCCAAGACGCACAGCTGAGATATTCGCAGGTAAAGGCCGATGACAATGAATCAGAGACCGAAGCATGAACAGATTCATAACCATGTCCGACGACAGACTTCGACAATCACTGCGTGTTTGCCAGTATTAGGATTGCTGAAGGTATAATGATCAAAGAGATATAAAACAACTGGGACACTGCATTCATTTTATTGCACCATCCAAGCATTGTATCCGGCAGGTGTGATAATGCGACCGTGAGGTCCGTAGTGCAATCTACCATGTTCATTCCTTACCGCGAACCTTCAAAGAAGAAAGACACCAACACGCGACGAGCAATCAATGCGTTCGTGGCAGCAGAGGCAAGCACAAGACGGCGCAAGCGAGGGGGAGAAGAGGTCAAGCACAGAGGGAGGCAGGGGACCCTGCGGTGGTTCCATATTCCAGATCGTCCCGATTCAAAGGAGACAATAACACGAAAGGGACCAGCCTCCATAAGATGATGGTCAGGCACAAAGGAAGCCGACGTCAAAAGCTCTGATTGTTCCCACACGTGTCGGGGGTGGCAGGTTCTACCATTTTGCGAATTCGCATCGAAAGGTCCTTTGACTGCGCGCGCTCTCAGCTATTGTGAGTGATTTCCCCATCCTGTTTGGATTCCAGGGACTTACTGGCGAGAAGTGGAAGCACAAGTTTAGCACCAAGGAAGCCATTCCTGCTTTGAAGGAGGCGTGGGAAAATGGTGAAGCGTGGGCAGGATATGGCCTGATCAACATCGGTTTTACCAAGGGTACCTACAGTGCCCACTTTGAGCCGACCAGGCAATCAAGAACAAGGAGCTAGGGCTGCTGGAGAAGAATCTTGAGGAGGTGGTGAAGGAGGCTTTGGCTGAGGTCGGACATGCTGGTTTTTCATAATTCAATAACTGCGTATGTACGGATGACTTACGGCTACGGGGAGATCAGTGTACTGGGGTTGACGCTGAATGCGTAGAAGGAAGGATGTTGATTTGCAAACTAAAATCAGAATCTGAAACAAGGCAGTCAAGAGATGTAACAGAATAGCAGTAAAGCAGAAACAACAATCAAGCAATCTAACAGACATTGATTCAAGTCCTCTCCGTCTCACGATGGATTCATCTAAGTAGCGTTGGGCTTGGGAAGAGCGTGGTAGCTGACATCGTTATCGCCAATCTGCCAGGTTCCGCCCTTGGTGTCCTTGTTCTTGCTGCCGTAGCATTTGGAGCTGGAATCGGCCATCTTCATGAGGTATGTCTCGCAGTCAGCCTGGTTGGGAGTGTGATCTCCATCCTTCATCTTGTTGTGGATTTCAACTATATGCTCAGTCAGCCAGTATCACTGTAACTCAGATCAAGGAGTCTCACAGTCCACACCGGCAGGAACATCCCCCTTGAGATAGTATCCGTTCTTGACAATCGCCGCGTGCTTCTGTCCCGCTCCGATGACAGTTGGCAGCCCGTCCTGGCTATGGGTGACATGGTAGCAGTACTGCTCGACAGCAGACTTGTAGCCGGAGTGGCTCTTGCTCTTGTCGTCCGCGATGGGCATCCAGTTGTCGCCACAGCTGGAAATGTAGTTGCTCTTTCCACGCTTTTCGAGGTCATCATATCCGTCGTTGGTCACACCGAGGTCAATAATATCGCGCTTTTCGACGTCTCCGGCGCTCAGAGGAGTCACGCCGAGGTCGACGATCTCTCGGACAACGATGGGAGAGCGCTCCTCGAAGGATCTGGGAGCGGCAGTCGCGGCGGTGGCCAGGAGGGCAAGAGAGATGGCAATCTTGGAGAAATGCATTGTATTGATGAGTATCTTAGAAAAGATCAAAGATGAGTTTTTGAGTTGCTGTTGTGAATCTGTGGTTGTTGCTGTTGTTGATGATAATGCCAGAGGACTGGGAGATGCCATGGCTTTATATCTTTCGCTTTCATTGACCTCCTCTGATTGAATGCTTGAGATGATGCCTTGAACTGTCTCTACGGAGCACAGCCATTTTCCAACCAACTCGGTCGCTTCGTCTCCACGTCTTCGTCGCGCCTCCATCCATTTCCTCAATAGACTCCCTCAATGCAAGGAAAAAATGCCTCAACTGATGGCGAAGTCGATCTTCAGTCTCTGGTTGTTGGTGTTGGGGGCTACAGCGAGGCATAGTCACATCTCCTACAGATGATCTATTCCTGGAGATCAACCAACATTACGTCAACTCACAGCGGAATAAGGATAGCAAGGCTTTCTGATAAGAGCTCATAAATAGGGCTATCGCATGAACCCATGGACCAACAAGGAATCCTTTGTTGGGGGCGGCGGGTTTCATACCTACTGCAGGTTATTGACCCTGCGGGATGTTATAGAATGTCAAGTGCAAGTATTCTGTATGACCTCCGGTAGCATCGCCTCTCCGATGATCTCAAGCATATGCAGCGTTAATATGAAACAACCGTCGGGATGAGACGCGGGTCATCGCGGCCCCATCCAACAGCCAAGCCCTAAGCCTCCCCGGGCTTTTGACCAGGGCCGCTGGAGAAGACTCCAACATGTTGGTCTTGGCAGGGATATAGTCTCTGATCATCTGGAACAGCCTTGTTTGCCCCTTTAGATGGCCCCTTAACGCTAAGGCTTTCGAGGAGTAAAGTTGGTTTACTTTGCAGTCAATACCCAACTGATGGCATTGCTGCAACCCATGAATCAGCTGCCGTTGGGAGTAAAAGAACGCCTTGCAAAGACCTCTTTTCCTTCCAACCAACATCGCATGGGGGCGAGAATAATGTAGATGTGTAGAGTCGTAGAAGCTTTACAGTCTCGAGCTTTATATAAAGGGATAGAATTCAGTTGTAATTGAGAATCCACCACGATTCCAACAACATCAAGCTCTTACTCCTATCATTTTCACAAACCACATCTCACTCAGGACCACAGTATCAAACCTTACAATGAAAGCCTTCAGCTCCATCCTTATCCTCCTCTTTGCGATCTTCAGCCTCTGCCTCGCAGAACAGCACCCAGACAGGTTCCCCGATCAGAATGTGGTCGACAAAGACAACTACGAGGCCGTGACCCTAGCCGCAGCGGCAGAGCGTGTCCAGCTCGAGCACGGCAAACGCTACGCCTTCCGCGAGAAATGGGCCCCCGCCTACGGCGAATACAGGTGTCTGCCCGACTACTCGCACGTGCGGCTCATCGTCGGCCAGTTCTTCAACTCTCCCACGCGCTCTGGACGGCAGGGTTTCTCCGCCAAAGCCTTTGAGATGATCAGCGACGAGGCAGAGACGAAGCTCGGGCAGACACCCGTCGGTGGAAAGGTAGAGTCTCAGGTGACTGAGAATTGGTGGGCGAACCACTATTACAACTACAAGAAGAAAGAATGGGTGCGCGTCAGCAAGGACAGTAAGTACGAGTATCTCGGGGAAACGACGGCGACGGATGCGTTTATCGAGAACCAAGGTATGTGTATTCGACTGTTTCCTGAGGTGGCTTTCTGAAGGTATCTGACTTTTGCAGGTCTGAAGTACGCTCGCGAAAACCCTAGTTACAATCTCGCCTGGAACAACTGCATGGTTTACACCAACAAGGTGTGGGACAAAATTAACTGAGACTTACAGTACTTGTAAGGAGCACAGAAGGACGAGTTGATATTAATGGATGCTGTTGGGTTCGTGAATATTTAGAATCGAGTGCATGTGGAATGTTCCGCCTTTGCTGTCTCTTCTGTTACTGAATCTTCATAATCCGTATCAATTGCGATTTTGACTTGCTGCTCGCTTTGCTGGATGAAACTCCTCACCTCTACCTACCTTCTCTACACTTAACAGTTAGTTGCAAAGTGTTGAATTGTTTATACTTGGATTCTCATGCCCCAGGCAGAAACGCCTCAAGCCGCTTTTGTAATTTATGAGGTGTCCACGTCGAGCATGCAAGGACACAGAACTCGTAATCATCTTTTTATGAGCTGAGCATAACAGTTCTACCGTCTCTATCATGTCCATCTCCTGAGACAGTGGTGGACAACACTCGTTCAGGAATCACTTGGTTCGATGAGGGTAAGTAGATAGGGTCCTATCTCACGTTTGTGAATCCTTAGCAGTCGAGATGGATTATCGATCGGAAGCTTGCAGAGAATGAAGACCTAGCCACCGAGGACGATGCCAAGGAGTGCATGATGCCCTCCGAGGCCCGTGGCATCTTTGTATGTTCAAACGTCGATGTCCCAAGTCAAGAAGCTGTTGTTAAGAGTCGCATACAGGATGTTCCTTGTCCATTGTAATACACTCATGTTCTGATTGCATTTAGGATGCCGTACTTCAATACGGCCGCATGAGCAGAGTAGAATGTGATTAACTTTGGGAATCGTTCAAGGAAGCATGGAAGTAAGTTGTCGACTTCCATTGATGAACGGTCACGTCTTGAGCAGGAGAGAAATATGGATACTTAGCTGACTACCCTGGAAGAGAATGCGTTTTCCTATGGCAGAGTTCACGAAGACTACGGTATTCGAACTTGTCTGGAATCATGAAAAGCAGAAATGGTAAATAAGCACTCCATTCTCGTTTTGCTATGATGTATGGCTTGCAGTTTCACTCAGTTTGTTGACCACCCCTGCACTACAGTCACATTGTAGATTGGGGCGGTGGAGGTAAAGCACCGACAACGATGTTTGGCAAATGCCGAGTACATTTCATGGAATCTGGCGTGGGTTAGGAGTCATAATTACGATGATATGTCAACATGGACACTAGGATGGGACAATATATTTAGACTGTTTAACGCAATCCGCAAATCCATATGCAGCCGCAGCCAATCCACAAAATGGGCGCATTGGTTCTGGTTCCGCGGTTCGGTTGCACCTAGGAGAAAGTATACATCTGGAGACTTGATCTACTTGTTAGAGAGAGAGAGAAAGAGTAACCTTAGTAGCTATCCTGACTGGAATAGTGATTTTGGGCCATCTGATTTGAGCAACCGCCTACAAGACAAATACCCGGCGCCAAAGCCAACACTGTCACCATTTCGGCCAAAAATAACTCTCGCCAACAAACAGAAAGCCAACAGACGTGACACAGCCGCCTTGACAATGCATCGCCAAGAAGACCGTCAAAAGAATGAGCCTCTAAAGAGCGGCCTTGCGCCACAAATTAATTAGCGTGAAACCTAGCCCGTCTCTCATGAACCGCCAATAGGCCGCCCGCTGCTCGACAGACGTGATCGCCCATCCAAGGATCCAACAGGCTCCGATCGCGAGTCCGGCAAGAAGGCGCTTGAGGGGGCTATCGCCGCATACGGTGAGAGTAAGAATAATACCGGCCAGGGTAGAGCGCAATGCGTTCAAATTCGTTATCGGAAGAGGCTGGGCGATAGAAGGCTCGGCGATACACCATGTGAAGAACAGCGTGCTTGTATTCACCGCGAAAGCGAACATTTTATCGACCTCATCGGTGACGGGATTCGAGAATGGAAACAAATAGGATAGACGGAGGGACTTGAGTTGTCGGAGTGCAGTGAGCGCCAGGCCGATTGCTAGAGCCCGTCGAAGATAGAGTGGTGTCGACGATTCTTGCTCCATGGTGAAGGCCAAATGCTTTGACAATTGAAAGCGAGGTATGAAAACTAGCTTGACTCCTCTGAGACTGCGGAAGGAATAAGGATGCAAGAAGTAATGGAGCACAAGCGCTATGATGGGGTGGCGGGGCTTAATATATAGCTTAGCAAGGCCAGATGTGAATTTCTTACAAGTCAACAGTGCTGATCATGACACAAGTACAGCCACAATAATAAACAACTAAGAAAATATAACCTGCAAATAAAACTGCAACATGAAACCAACAAGATCCCCAGATCACCTGAACTGCCTTCCCTTCAAACTTGCGGCGCAGGCCTGGCATTGAACATAAGACATTGCACATTGTAAACAAAGTTGCAAGCGTAAGCTGCTGCAACGCCAAAACTGACGAGCACCAGTCCCTGGCGCTGCTCGTCGGTCCATTCATTGCTTGTCCATCCCATCCCTATCTCAGCGATCCCCTTTTGCAGCACCGCCCCCGCGGCCCAACAGCAGGTTTGGCCCTGGTCAATGCGACGATCCAAAGTCCCTGCGCCAGTATGCTCGAACACATCATACACGATCGTATCAGTGAAGTCCGGATGATTCAGTGAGTGCAAGTCCTCGGTACTCCGGATCAGGTGGTACGGAGCGTCACCGACCAGCAACGCTCGTTTGTCGAGTAGATTGGGATTTTCTCGAATCGCATCTAGCTGAGATCGATAATAGGCTTCCTCGTCCATCGAGTCACGCTTGGTCAGGCCCACGCGGTCGAAGTAGTCATTCAGACAGACCTTGGATTTGCTGCTGCAGGAAGAGGTGCAGCAGTGATCCTGAAAGACAAACTCGGTGCACTGATCGCGACAGGCGCGGTACTCGCTGCTGCTGGGATTGAAGGCCTCTTTGCATTTATTGAAGCAGCCGAGACGGATATTGTCCTCGTTCTGATTGAGGCATTTGCTGCAACCGGTTGCACTGACGATAGAGGCAAAGATGGCCACGTAGATGAATGAGAACAGGTGGAGACGCATCCTGTATAGCAGTGATGAAGTAGACTTGTGAATCAGAGAATGAGATGATGGATAATGCTCAGTGCCAGAGGCGAAGAGAGAGGCTTAAATTGATGTCGTACTGATTGATGTCGACATATTCACCTTCGTGAAAGCACGGCCCCCATACATCGAAACATCACAGCCACATCACCCCGTCATCGCAGATTGCAATATGTTGGTTATCTTCTGGCGATCGTTTTCCACGGCCAGATTGACCAGGTTGCAGATGTTGGATGCACCACGGATACTGACGGGCAACAACACCTCTGTTGGTTGATGGGGCCAGAATTGCTCGGCATCAGGGATCTTCAGATGTTGGTTTTTCCCCCACCAAGAGCGATCAGAATTGTTCCAGAGAGTGGACGCAGTTGTTAAGACAAGGCAGACTCGACAACTTCACTTCATCATTGTCTGGTCACCTGATCTGGCGGTCTCATCCTTGCTAAATGCCATCAACCATCATTCCCCTCTCTTCTCCCGATATCCCATACTTCTCCATTGACTTCCATCTCGTTTTCATCAAACTCCAAATTAGAAATCTTAGAACTCTTTTCTGATTGCTGTCGAGTCTGAGCCATGGGTCAGACTGCAACCAAAGAATCTCCTGACGAGTTTCTCCCGCTAGTTCAAACCCGGGGTAGGGCGATCTCCATCCATTGCGGCAGCGAATACTGACCGTCCCCAGAGGAACTTTACGAGAGATTTAAATGGTGCCTCTGGAAAGATTGTCTGGGTGATGCTAAGCATGAATGGTTTCAAACCATTTTCCAGATCTTCTGTACCGAGTCAGAATCGGAGAATTGTACGTCTGAGTGCATTGTTGATCCACTTCATGGGAGTAACATTCTATAGTCTGGACGGTGTCAGACCTGCAGGAATTCATGATCAGCACCTTTCCACCAGAGTTGGCAGCGTGTGTCCGTGAAGCTGCCCCAATTCTACATCGCTGCCTCCTGCGACTGGGATCGTTTCCATACCACAACGATCCACGACGTATTATGTCGCAGGACGTCCTGCGCACAGGAATGATCATCCTACTAAGATTGAATGGAGGAAAGCTTCTTGAACAAGATGACGGCAAAGCGTCACTCATCTACCCCGATCGCCTCAATGCCGCACAACGCACCTTATTGTTTCAGAGCATGGCAGACATGCAAGCAACTACCAGTGATACACATCGCAATGCGGAAGATGACTTTCATCTTCAGAAAGCGCTCGATCTGATCACTTATGGTAATTTCAGTCGCAATCCGTGGTTTCCGACCGCTGTGACCAAAGGGCCTGAGTATCCTCCCGCTGAACATTTCCCGTCGTCCAACTCAACGTTGACAAACGGATCTATCCCCTTGAAGGACTTTAGATCCTTGCTACGGTTGATGCTTCTGACGCAGTTACATGTAGCCGGTATTGAACCGGATGAGTTCACCTCCTGTCTAGCGCAGGTTGAAACTGTGACCGACTGCCTGCTGGCCGCATTTCAAGAGCGAAATGCCACGGATTCTACCGGTATATCGTTCGCTACTTTTGACCAAGTACTTGGCAGGTCACTGGTGGGTATCAAGATGCTCTGTTTGACAAAAGGATTATATGCTAACACGGATTAGCAAAACCTTTTCTTGGGACTGCCCCGAGTGTTCGGGCCGTTACACTCGGTCAAACCTTTGCCGTCTGAGAAGCTCCCCTCATCAGTTGGAGACGCACAAATGCTGCTGAGAAAACTGTTTGCTTCTTCAACCAAGACACAGCCTCCTCCAGAGGGGTTGATCACGAATCTCCCCCTCCTAAGTCTGCTCTCAATGGCCTTGCCCCAAGACTTTCCCATCGAAGCACAAAAGAGGCTCTATTCTTCTGGGGAGATAGATATTCAGCAGGTACACACTTGCGTGTCCCTAATCAGCACAGCAAAAATTATGCTTGTGTCAGGCAAGAGTGCATCGGAATCTGTCATCTTCGGCGCATACTTTCCCAAGGGCTCCTCACTCAGCGGGGTTGCCAAGTCAAACCTCATTTTCCAGCTTGCGCCAGTTCCCAGAGTCTTCTATAGCTCTGAGGAGATGTTGCAGATCAACCCGGACTTCTCTACAACAGACAGTCGATTGGAAGTCTCGGTGAAGGATGATGTCCTGGGCTTCATTATTCTGGCGTTGCAGTCGGACTCGACAGGCGTCTTTACAGCACGTGAAAAAGGCGACATCAGTCTGACATTTGACATTAACGCGGTGGAAGTTTTCAGTTATGAGGGAGAATTTGTGCGTGTTAATACTTTCAACTAGTTTTGTCTTACATGTGTTCTTCCGCGTCAGACCTTCGTTGTACATCCTTGACAGATGGAATATGAGTACCTGTGAAAGTTATATGCACACAAGTATACCAGTAAAGCCGGGCACCTACAACCCCTGCGGTAGTTACTTACGTGATATGTGTTATATAAACATTCAGTTTATGCTTCCAGGCTTGAGCCGTCGTGCCATTCGGAAGTAGGCTGTATGGAAGTGCGTCTTTGAGTCGACAGCATGGTAGATATTGGTATACTCTTTTCATTAATTCGCCCAGCTAAACTAAACAAATCCTATCACGGAGTTTTGATAAGAGATTTTTGGTAATATAGCAGCTGAGTTTCGCATTTTAGTAAAATCTTGCATGCACAAACATGCTTGCTTCATCCTGGGCGACCCCCGTTGTTATGAGCTAGCCCTCGGTGTCTCTCTGCCCTTAGGAGGAACATAGCTTCCTCCGTGGCTACCACGCTCGAAAGTCATTCATGCAGGACCGCATTTAACGGCCAAGGTCTGATTTAATTGATTATGATCATGGGTATCTTCCATATGCGTCATAGGCAAACGTGGCTTAGAGCCTCTTCGCCTAAAGCAACTAACATGACTAGAAAACCAACATCTTGGCATATAATTGACAGGGTATTGCATCAGTACAAGATAAAACGGCCCCAAAGATCAACACAACACTAACCCCGCCACAATACACCAGTCCCAGTTCCACCTCGTCGCCTCAACCACATCATCTACATTCAACATGCCGACCCCACTATCCACCAGAAACCGCCATAGCCTCATGCGCAGGCTGACAGGCCAGGAGGGGATACTCCAGAACCGAGAGAGTAGCCCTCTTTCCGAGGCAGCGCTGATCATCTTCTGCATGGCCTGTTTCTGGTTGTCCGTTGGGCCCCAGGGCCATACAACGCCGACGGCTTTTTGGAGCGAGACGCTAGCGTAGTAACTGTTTTCTGTTTTGTAGGTGGAGTTCTGCGCAAGCTTGTCTAGCGGGGCGTCGAAGAAGACGTAGCGATCTTCCTCTGCCAGTACCAAATCAAAGACCGTATTTCCGGTTCCAACAACCGTGACAGGCCCACTGACAAGGGTTTTGCTCGTCCCGTTCCAGTGGGATAGCCATCCACCAGAGCGTAGAGGAGCCAGTTGGTCGAGGAGGACGGGCCAAGTTGCATTTCCGTCAGATTTGATATCGACCAGGAGAGTAAGGCTGGTTGTGGGATCGACCTCGAATACGCCTTCTGAGCTGTTGGCGGATGAGTTTGCGTTTACGTTCGAGAGGATAGTTGTCAACGGCTCGATATAGAGACTCCTTAATGTACGATCAGGAGTCAGAGAGCGCTTCCCGTGACCAACGAGCAGATCGCTGCCCTCAAGCCAGACGTCTGCCTCGACGCCTGTGCAGCCTGCCGCGATGGCCTCGTATAGAGGCACTGAGCGCCAATAGTCGTTGTGAGAATGGCATTGGACCGGTGTTATGCCTTGACTGAAGTCTTTCGGCCAGGGAGATAGTGCGGCGAGTGAGTCTGCCGGGCCTTTCCATGTTTTGACGATCCTCTGTAGACCGTTCGATGAGACGGTAGGTGTGAGCCGATCGATCAATGTGAGGACAAGTGAGAACCAAACCCTAGAAGTGTCAGGACAATGGGTTTTAGTTATGATGACAATACCTACAGTACCGCAATACCACCGAATGCAAGGACAAGAGCAACGACAACAAGGACACGATTTCTCCTGGCTTTCTTCTTTCCCACGACTGTAGGATCGAGTCTGGATCTGAAGCTCGTAACCCACCGGCGAGGAGCTTTCTGGTTTGGCTCATGGTAAGTATGTAGAGACTTGTTGGAAAGATCAGAAAGCCGTCGTTCTGTTAGGGTCGTGTCACTGAGCGAATCTGAGCGCCGCGAGGAGAGACGCGAGAATAAAGGTAGGCCAGTCATGATTTGATACTTGTAATGGAGCTTTTCGGGTGTAAACAGCTCTTTAACAGTCCCTCGCTTCGTTGGTGAAACTAATGGACATATGGAGACCATTGCCGAAGCATTATGTAGGTGCCTCAATCACCCATGATTCCCAAGGCTGACACAAATCAGTATAACAATTCGCAATACATACATTACCCTGATAACAATTAGCCAACATGTTGGCTTTTCGAAAGTTGGGGGTTGCATGGATGCGACTCAGCCTCGATAACCATGCCAAGGGGCCAAAATATCAGGGTCCATATTTAACCTGTTGGTGGCGGCGGCTACAGTTGATGAAACCAACAACTTTGAAACGCAGGATCGACAAGGCAGACATGATGATTGACATAAGAATAGCCATACAAAGATCTCTCTCCTCGGTTTGCCCTAGACTCAGACCCTAGCACGCAGAATTGTACAGTTGGAAGTAAGAGCAGAATTATTGCGCTACAATATTGCCTTTTTGTGCTACGAGTCTACAGAATATACCTCACTAATTGTAAGCGATTTAATAACTGAATACAGAACATGGTCATGCAGTTTATCATGGCTCCATGAATAACGACGGCAGCAGGTTGACAAATGTGCTTTTCAAGATTGGGCCCTTGGAAGGTTTCCACGTCCTGTCAACCCAGTTGTGCAACTTCATCTGGAATATTGAGGCTGATGTCGCCCTCAAGCATCTTCTATGATGAGCATCCTACCATGGAATTCAGATGCAAGTGAGACGGCTACTTTAACAGTCAGGAGATCTATCCACATCGCGGACAAATACGTACGACTACTAGACACTTGTTCTACAGGGACTTGGCTTTAATATTCACAATGGGCACATATCCTGGCAAGTGCTTCCAGGATCCAAGACTGTGTGCGATTAGCCCTCCAAGAGAAGGCTGGCGAAGTACTCGACCCAGACAAAGCATATTCTGAGGGAGCTCTGATGAAGAAGTTCATCGACTCTGCCTCGTTCCACATTCTGGTCATATGGAGGATTTTGTTATACCACCTCACTCAACCATGCTTCAGCGAGGTCAGTTCAGGATGCTTATTGAGTCTAGTATGAGAGACTGATAGACTTGTGGCTACTCATTTTTGGCGTATTTGCTGGATATAGTCACTAAAATCACAAATCAAATCAAGTCCAGTCATTTTTGGGTGCGACTTGGCACCATATCCTATCAAGCTTCATCACTGTGCACTTTCGAAGTCAGGACTAGGTCTATGTGCTTCATTTTAGTGTGAGGAGAAGGACTTGAGAGATATTGTGTGTTTGTCGAGGCAGCCATAGCAAGTTTTTTTGTGCCAAAGCTTATCCAATGCTTAGACGAACATTCCAATCTTGAAGTATAGTATTATAGGAGGAGCAGGAGTAGCATTCATACCTGTATATCGGCGCCCTCCGTAGGCTCGGAGTCGTCTCTATAAGCTAAGGTACTTACTAACCGAGGCTAGATGCCGTAAGATGATTGTAGAAGCAAGAAAAACAAAAGCCAGACTGTGCGAGCAAGGAGTGATATATAATGGAAGAAGAGGGTCCATCATCTTACAGCTGCGTATCTCGTGCTTGACACCTCTAAGGCTTGTGTGGAGGCCATATCAACGTGATGACGCGAAGTTTCCCCAGCATACGAACTACCTTCCATCTCAGTGCTCGTCTTGATATTCATGACTAAAATTCAGATTCAGTGGACTCCATGCCAATATGTCAAGTAGTCTCAACTGCTCTTCTCTGCAGGTGAAACACTCGATATATATCTGTCCGCATGAGTCATGTGCCAACCAATGAGAAGGGGGTTTTAGTCGTGTAGGTAGAAATGGTCAATTCGGTGTAGTGTTGTCTGTCTGTTCATAATAAGAGTGTGTTGGTCGGCTGCGAGTAGCAGGCGAAAAGGTGAAAGAATTCTAGCCTGGCGGGATTCGAACGCTTGATTATTTCAACAGCCGAACTTCTTCGGCATTCGATCCAATCAGATTGTGATACGCTTCCTCTGTCATCTGCTGGTGCATGTCTCAGAGCCAATCTCTGAATTGGACCCTATTTATAACGGCCATCTTCCCGCTGACATTAGGCCACCTGTATCATTATTATAGCTGAGCTGATCAATGAAAGACAGCAACATCATTCGGTGATCAAGACATCATAGACCACGTGACCCTGTCGATGAAAGGGAGTGATCTCATGTTGTCGGATCTTCACCATAGGTTGCCCAATTGGGACACCTGCTGTGCAAGGTAGCTTTGCAGGAGGCCTCAAATTGTGAGACCTACTGGAACTCATCGAATGATCTCCCTTTTATTTTTGCATCTTCGATGCTTGGATGTATACGCAAATTTGACGACAGGATGTCCTGCGGACTATAAGAACCATCAACAACCCAGCCTCTTCAGACTGATCTAGCAGGAACAACAAATCATTGTCGCTTTAACCTCAGCACGCGAGATTCCGTGGAATTGCTATTTTTCGCCATGAAGGTCCCTTACTTCCTTCTATTCCTTGCGGCGACTGTGTCTGCCCAAAATGTCGCCATCGGTTTGCCCGCCGAAGGAGAGAACTTGGCTCCTGGGAGTTCGACTGTGGTACAGATTCAAAGACCGGTATGTTTCTGACAGCCCCCAGCAAAAGAATAGAGCTGAGTAGATGGTTTCTAGAATTCCCTCACCGGGTCTCAGGAAATAGCCGTTGCGATCGGCCTATCTTCTTGCGCGGACTCCAAGTGTTATTCTTCAGAAGATGTCATGGGCACTATTTTATATAACGGTCCCTTCAAGCCAGAGTATCATGAATCCGGCCTGCCGCCTTATCAGAACTTCAGCGTGAATATTCCCGAATCTATTGGAAAAGGGACGGCGCAGCTCAATATTGCTCATGTTTCCTTGGTTGGTGTAAGTTGCCTCAATTTTTGATCGATGGGGCGAGTGGTGCTGACTAGATCCCGCAGGCTGGCCCTTTCCCATTTATGGAGACATTGAACCGGACGGTCCTTATTGCTTAGCACTATGCAGTTCAGGCAAAGTCTTTGATTCATTAAATTTGTTTGAAGAAAGTCCGATATGTGGTGGATGCATCCTCATTACATTCTTCGTTATCATCAGTATTAATATGAGATGTTGTTAAAGCTCTAATATTACAACTTTTAGTACTGTTCACTCTATTGACCCATCTAACCATTTCTGACATCCGCTTCATGGCAGTTATGCGCTATTCTTCGTCTCAACAGAAGCGGCAGCCCGATCCATTTCCTCTCCTTTATCCAACTGCAGTCCGAGACGAGTATAGTCACCCGGCTTTGTAGATCCATTTGGGATATGGAATCGCTTGTCGATCCGACTGAAGGTCAAAAGGCAAAGGATAAGGATCTCGAGGACAAAGTTGAACACGTAAAAGGGGGCCTTGGAATCGAACCAGGCGGGGTTGGTGACCGGTCGAGGTGTACTCCAGTTTGCGCCAGCCTTGAAGCCCGCGATAAGGATGCACAGCGCAGACGATAGGATCACGATGACGGCTTTGCTGGCCATGCTCCCTTTCCCGAAGGATTCCTCCTGGTCGGATCGTGCGAACAAAAACGCAACGAGGAGATGCAGGATAGGAAGACAGGTAATGACGAGAAGAAGGGTTATGGCTGCCAGTTGGACATCGCGGCATTGCGACTGCGTATGCCTGTCGAGGGTATAAACGCTGACAACAGTAGCCGTGATGACCATGATCAAGGCTGCAGCGACGAGGGCGTAAAGGATCTTGTAGGCAACCCGCAAAATGGGATTCCAACCGATTCGAGGCTGCTTCGCTCGGAGGATACGCTGTGCGAGAAGCAAGTTGATGATGTATACTAGGAGCACACCAGCGTTGACAAAGATATTGGCGGCAATGGCGAGTCGGACGTTATGCTGTCGATTGGCCCAGACGATGCGCAAGACTAGGGTAGTGATCCGTGCCATACAAAAGCCAAATAGCATTCCCGACATAAGGAACTTGTGGCTTCTGCGACGATTTATCTGCAGGATGGTCATGTTTGTAGCTGCAAATCCGATGTAGAGGGCGAGGAAGACGGCACAGATGGGGATGTCGGGGATGACACTGGGTAAACCCCCAAGTCCAGCGTTGGGCGACGCATACGGCCCTCCTCGTTTGTCAAGCATCATGGATACTGTCTCATCGATATGGTGCCCTGACTTTGGTAAGATTTGATGTTGAGACTTTATGCCCAAGCAGTGTCCCCATCACGCTATAATATATACATGGCTCCAGATGCCCATCGAGGACCGGGATCGGTGGTCGGCGAGTTGGGCGCCGACAACGTGAATGATGGTCATTATCCATTGCTTAGCTCCCAGCCAGCTCGTAATAAACCCCTATTGCCAACAATCTAGTTGGACTTTGCGTGGAGAGGTCCTTTGGGATGACAGAAAGAGAAGCCAATCAGGTGACAGGGGCGGCGCCATCGGCTCGCACTTTTCGTCGGCGGCCCAAAATTTCGTCCGCGACCGAACAAGACTCTTGCCTCTTCAGCTCCCCATCTCCCTATTTTCCGCTACATCATCTCGGAGATAACGCTCCGAGGAAATTATGTCTCAGTATTTCCCGATGATTTATCACAAACAGTAATAGAAGCCAGTCATTTCGGCAATGTCGAGTCCTCAAAGCGATCTCACCGCGCTGCGGAAAGGAACGAAAAGCTGCACAGAGTGTAAGCGACCATGAGACAACATCATCCAGGTTTCATCTATTTAATCAACAAGGCAGGCAGACGGCGTAAAGTTCGATGCGTCCGAATCTCCGAAGATGCTAAGTCCTGTCGGCAATGTGAAGAGCGAGGTTCGGCCTGTGTTGCCCAGCTTCCGACCAGACTGAGGTCCTCTCGAGCACGGTTCTCGTCTCGACAAAGGATTACACAGCTGGAATTTCAGGTCACTCAGCTCACGAAAATTGTCAACAGCCTTGAAGTCAAGCTTGGGAGCAAACCGTCTCGAGTAATATACTCTGACACTGTTCAAGCTCCTGATGCGCAAGAGTCCGATGCCGAAAGTAGCGGGTCGGATTTTCCCATGACAGATCGTCCATCCCATCTACGCTCACTCTTCCAGAATGACTGGCTCAGTTTTGACACCTCGCAAAATGAGAACAAAGCGCAGGGAAAAGTCTCCACACACTTCTCGCGTCTCGTGAGGCCTCGTCTGCAGAGTCTAATCCCCCCAAAGGATGAGGTGATCGAGATTGCAGGATCCTCATTTGATTGGCTGACCATGCTACATACCCTTTTACCGCAACCCTGCACAGTTGTCTCACAGCAAGATCTCGTCGTCAGGTACGAGGAGATGTGTAGTCCTGATGTGAACATCCTTACTCTGGCATCGTGGCTCCTAGCGCTGGCGATCATGGCCCAACAACTTCCGCAACAGACCGAAAATCGCGAAGATCAGCTCAGGAAATGCCAGAAGCGGTCTGACCTTTGTCGCAAAATTATAAATACCATGGAGAGTACGCTATTGTGCCATGATCGATTGCTTGCAACGGGAGAAGGACTTGCAATGGCCGTACATTTTGCCCGACTGTGAGATTCGCATCTATGACTCGATCGAGCGAGATGAACACATGCTAATTCTGTAGTCACCTCGGGCTAGGAAACTTACAGAAGTCGTGGTTGACAATACGGCGGCTCATCGCCATTGCAGAACTGATGGGCTTGCCTCGAATACATCAGGCAGTTCGGCTCGACAAGATCAGCGGAACCGATGACCAGCATTCTTACCGCATGGCCCAACTTTGGGAATTGCTCTGCAACATTGAGAGACTGTCCGGAATGATTTTGAATCTCCCACCTGACACTCGGCGCTACCAACCCTCACCCAGTCTACGACTTATCGTCGACGGCGTTGTTCAGCCTGACATATATGTCACGAAGTTGCTGCATATCGCCGTTCGAATACACGAGATAGATGAATCTAGTGCCATTCAGGGACCCGCACCAGAACTCCACATGACTGCTCTGGAGATGGCTCGGGACCTGGGCACCCTTGCTGCTCAGACGCCTAGCACATGGTGGCTTGTCAACGAGGCATCCCCGGTCACCGCCACCCACCTAGTACAGTTCTTTCACTATACAATCTTGATGAGAGTATACATTCCTATGGCATTGCGTCAAGATTCGCGAGAGGAGTATCTATACAGTCGGCTACCATGCATGGACGCTTGCGCTGCCGTGGCAAGGCGCTATATCTTCCTCAGACGCAAACTGCCTCCAGGTGTGTTCGTCGGACGAGTAATAGACTTGCAGGCTTTCACAGCTACAGCGGTTCTCTTGCTCTTGTCCCGCAACACCTTCCCGACGGACCGGCGTAGCTTTCATGTCGACACCAGTCAAATTCAGGGCGTGATTGCCGAAGTAATCAAGATTATGGGGCAAAGATCCAAGGACCCCACGGGCTTTGAGTTTGCTGAACAAGCCTTTGATACGCTCTGTGCCCTTAATCGGCTTCTACGACAGGAAGAAAATACTGCCTCTGAGCAGACACTGACCTTGCAAGTTCCTCTACTCGGGAGGCTGCACATCCGTCGCAATGTGAAGTCCACACAGTCGACTGCGACCAACGTGAAAGCGTCGTCCCCGTTGGCTCCTTCTTCTCAAGCTCAGAGTCAAGTCGATATGTCCGCCTCCTTCCTACAGGGTCCGGTCGGCTATCAAATGCCCACTGTCATGGACGGCGCGACTGCTGTCCCAAATGGATGGGGATGGAACGACTTTTCCTGGTCTATCGAAGATACCCATGAGAGCCTATTCAATGATGCTTTCATGGGCGACAGTATGGAACAGGCTGCTTTGTGGTATAATACACCTAATAATTCACTTTCCACGTGGAATATGTTCAATATATTCTGAGAAGTCGACATCCACGACTACTGGGTGCTACGACTCCAGATAGAAACAAAGGAAAACGTTCTCATATTTTAGGCTTCTGATGGGCCAGCCAGCCAACTCAACATGGACGGAATCGAAGAAGAATCTCCGCCCTCGATCATGCCTCGCCAATGGTGGGTTTAGCTTTCCGTCCTTCGATGACTATGACAGGGGTGATTGTGAGGATCAGAACCGCAACAACTACCGCCACCTGTGTTCCAAAAACTGCCGCAGTCCCGTCTTTCACAATCCAGGAGGGCTGGAAGTATCCGACAGAGAAGCCACTGGCTGTACGCCAGGCATTGATGATGGCTGAGACTACTGTTGACTGGTCGGGATATTTCTCCAGATTGTATGCCGTGATCGAGCTATTTAATACAGCAATTAGCTCATCAAGTCATACTGTGGGTAAAGGCAGACTCACACTGTACTGGAGATCATGCCAAATACGACCATTAGCCAGCCAAATGCGAGACCAATCCAATGCTTATGGTAGTTCAGGGTCATGCCGTATGTGAGCAGTCCACAAGCCATGACTCCAATGGCGACCCAGACACCGTGCAGTCGATACTCGGGACGCCACTTCTGCTGACGGGATTTCTCAATCCAGCCATTAAACCAGTAGCCAAATGCATATCCTAACAGAGTCAGGACCTCTATCAGGGATCCGGGGATGCTGCTCACCAAGTAAGCCTCCGATGATTGGGGCCCACCGCAGTGATGCCGACTGGACTGTGTCGAAAAGGTAGGGAGGCTGCGCAACAAACGTGGAAACGGTCACAGTTATACCTTGCAGCTGTCAGATATACCTTTATGTTGCGGAATCAGAACCCACCGATTGGCCAGCAAAAGTTGACCATTGTTGCGATTCCGGTCAGGAGGAGCGGGAACTTGAAGATGTATATGGCAAGGATCTTGGTCCAGTAGGCCAGAGTGCGCCCGACAGGTAGGCTGTGATTTTTGATTCCAAACATTGACTGCAGGCGCGAATTACGCTGACATTGATGTCCTCTAGCATAGTAAGTCTCGTATCCGAAGAGAAAGATCAGGATTGTCGACAGTGCGTAGAAGCCCGTCAGGACGCCAAACGAGGCCTTCCAATTGCTGCCGGCACCGATATATCCGGCCAGGGCAGGGCCTAGAAAGGGCCCGATCAGGAAGGTAGTGCCCCTGAAGCCAGTTAGTAAATTTCGATGTAAATGCGCTAATGTTCGATCCTACCAGATATTGATCATTTGAGGCCAGTCTGGAAGCAATTGTTAGCTACGGCCATGTTGAATTAGGTTGGATGAATTCGAAATTTGCATACCTTTCGGCTCGTACATATCATGAATAATCGGCAAACCGACCACTTGTGGGATCGTGCCAAAGAGACCCTGGAGAGAGCGAAAGGCAGTGAAGGTGCTATAGTTGTTGGATAACGTCGCTCCGAGGACCATGAACGTGGTGATGAATTGCGGCCATAGCCATACCGGGAGACTATTCGTCGTGTTAGTACACGTCATTTCTGCCGATGGACTGAGTGAAGACATACCGTCCATATGCCTCTATCAATGGTATGGCCATCAGACCACCAACACCCTGTAACAGCATGCCGTAGTTCATACTAGTTGCGGAATGATCAACGCTGACTCCCCACTCCAACGCTTGAGGCACGATTAATGTCGCACCCCAAGTCATTCCTCTGTTTTCGGATCGATCAGGATATGATAACACAGGGATTATGCAATCAGACAGCAACGTACCCATCAGCCAAGATGGAGCTGGACATGAGTGCGATAAACACAAGAAGCTTCTTTCTTGGGCTCCATTTCCGAGGATCTCGCCCATCCTCGTCATCAATCTCGGTGACGTGACTTTCTAACTTTGCCTGAGTGATATCCTTACTCACATGGGGCTTTTCGCCTGCATCGACTGAGTCCTCGAGTCTGGACTCACTCATGATGACCAACACAGCAGACGAGACGTGCTGCAAGATCAAATGCTCAAAGGGACTCAACTGTACTGCAGAATTAGAACAAGGATAGGATATAAGTCTGACAAGGACTCACATTACTAGAAAGCGAAAAATTATCAGGAGGCAGTTAACAACAAGAGACGCCACGCGGCCGGAGGAATGTGCTGTTCGAATTGCCCAATAACATCCACCATGAGGATAAAAAGCCTCGCGCAAGCAACCACCTGGACGACTCAAATCGTATTAATTATCTTGGCAAGGAATAGTCCCGGCCGGTTTGTCTTCCATGGGATCTAGAACCGACCGCAGAAGTGATTATCACCAGAGGGGCAATCATGGCAAATGGTCATTATGATGGGGGCAGGCAATCTACGGCGCAGCCCACTAAATTGATAGTGAATACTAGTACTGCGTAGCGTGAAAGTGACAGCAGGGATCGGGTAGACCCAACCTTGTAGGTTTAATAATGTTGAAACTAGGCTAAGTTAGTGCGCAACCAGCACTTTTAATGTGCCTCTAGTGCAATTATACTTCGGATCAGGAAGGAGCCAAAACCAATGGGATAATTCCACACAAGCTGCGAGATCGTGATAAAGATATCTATTCCATGCCACAGCCATCTGCAGCAGCACCCGCTAGTTCTCCTCCGTCAAGCACCATGTCTTCGCCTGCTGCAGCTGCAGCTCTTGCGAGCACAGTGACCTCGGTCGGTCCAAGATCCCCGGAAGCCGGTATGCGATACTGATGCTTGACTATATAGGCTGCGGCCTTCGGCTTTGTTCCTGTTGCGGTTCGCTTTCAGCTTTTCGATATCTTGGCAGATCTTGAAAAGCCAGTGAGCGGACAAGATGTCTTGACGGTCCTCCAAAGCCGGTCCAGCGACAAAAACAGACAGGATGTACCATGTATGTACCATGCCTTGTCCTGATGAACAGCGCCGCTCTGACCTGTTACACCTGCAACCAGGTTTACTTCTAATTCGTGAGATGGCCTCATATAGACAAGAGGAATCGAATCGACGTTGACTTCTTCGTCTAGAGGACACACTGTATGCCATGTCCGGTTTGGGCTTTGTTGATTTTGCCGGAGAGAATCTGTACCGTGCCAATGCCATAACCAAGCATTTGGCTGCCACTCCGTCCGCCCAACACGGAGCTGTGCACTTGTATGCTTGATCCTATTTTGGTTTCTATTCATTGGATTTACCGTTGCTAACTGTTGGTAGTACAACCGAAGCCCTTCTCGCCGGTGCATTCCTGATGCGAAAACTCGAGGCAGAAAACTTTCAGTATCCATTCAAAGAGCAGGAGACGCCATTTCAGTTTGCCTACAAATCAATGGGCCAAGAGGAGCTCGCAAAGGAACATACTTATTCCATCATGGCTGCAGAAGGCCGGATGGACAGTTTCAATCACTTCATGGTGGGCAAGTTTATGAAAACAAACACTGCTCCTGACCGTCTCCGTGCCCTAGGGTACGATCTGGAATCGGTCCTTAACGACGCACATGCTTCTACTCCGCTGACCATGGTGGACATCGGCGGAGGTCGCGGGGAGATGATTCTCGATTTCAAGGCTGCATTTCCCCAGCTTCAGACTTCGGACCTGATCGTCCAAGAGTTCAATCATGATATCACAGATATCCCTGGGGTTACCCTGGCTACATGGAACTACAAGGATGAAAGTCCCCAACCGATCAAAGGCGCGCTGATCTACCATCTGGCGCATATTCTACACAATCTCTCAGACTTGGAAGCTTTGCGCCTGCTGAAGAAGATATCGGAGGCTATGGCTCCTCAATCGCGATTGCTGATTCATGAGTTTGCGAAGAATGTCAATTACGCGAAGATGCACGCTGCCATGATTGCCTTGTATGGAGGTCGAGAGAGAAGTTCGACCGAATGGCATCAAATGGCGGACTTGGCTGGGCTTCGGGTGACATTCGAGGCTTATCCGCCGTTTGGAGAGGGCTTGGTTGAAATGAGGAAGGCGGAAAGCTCTGTTTAGATAGATATTACTTGCCAACTGCGGAAAATAGAAAATTAATGGAACTACCTGTCTCTATGATTCTTGTCTCTCTCAGACTACTGCAGTGGATATCTCCCTGGGTGAAGTCTGTTGCAGATGATTCTCATTTGTCATAGCGCGTTCTCAGCTATAACCGACTCCAGCAAAATACCATAACTGGTGGACCTTTTTGTAATTAGGGAACGAATTTGTGTATACTCTTATGTCTGGGATTGATTCGATCTGATTGTGGCAGCATGATTTGAGGGCTACTAAACTCTTATGTAACTAAAGCGGGCCCACTATCGGGATTTGCTTGTGGCCTGATCCTGTCCTTGTCCTTCATATCCCTAGAACAGATAAGTCTGAATCAGTGTTAAGACCACTAAGAATACCGTGCTACTTAGCGGCTCATCATCCCTGTAGTTTAATTCCACCACTGGCACGGATTCGTTGACCCATGCACATAGTGGATGCCATGCACCAATGAGGATGTCGTGTGTATATTGATCAGACAAGTGCTCACTGCCAAGGAGGCTTCCAAGTTTCTGCCTCGAGGCTTGCTCTCTTGATATTTTCCATCCCGGCATTACTCCGTAGCTATCTTCCGGGTATCAGTCGATTTTATCGGACCATCCCGAATAGGCTCGACGGGCTACTCTCCGGAACGATTTTCTCATCCGTGGTCTGTCTACATTACCCGGTTTTGGTTATTGCTGCTTCAATGATCCTTGCTCTATAGTTACGATACTATTTGTACACGTTGTCTTGATAGCTGTTGCATATGATCGTGGTGGGGACCAGAGGTAATCACCAGTGCTAGTCAGGAGTAACTTGGTGACGAGTAGGAGTATTGGCCTGCAGTACCAACAGACAATGTCTCAAGATCACCTCTCGACTGTCTCTTTGTCTCTTTGTGCGATAATGGTTAAAGCCAAGCATATGAGTTCACTATGCTGGATCTCTATTAGCCGTTTTCCTGTTCAAAATTTGCTCGAATCTCCTAGTCCGGAGTTCACTGAAATTTGGCATCCCACGGAAAGACTTACCTATTCTTGTAAACATGCATTTCCTCAGTTGCCCTGTGAATAGCACCGCTCAAGGCACTGCTCAGCCGTGACCATAAAATGTCCACTGCATTAGGGAACGATACCAACTACGGTGAGTGTCTATCCTTTGACTCTTGGTTGAGAAAGCACAGAGCGATGTATAGATGTGATACTGATACTTAAGGCGATTCGTCAAACAGCTGGTCCGTACATCTATGCAGCGTGGGTTAGTTGCTGCTATCCTTCCCTGTGCTCAGGAGAGATAACTGACAGAATCGTGCTCAGGCTTTGACAGGCGTCGCAGGACTAGCCTTGGCCTTTCGGTATACGACCAAGACATGGATTCGATGGATGCTGCCTCGTGTTAGTTCCCCCGAAAGAGTATGGGGCTTGGAGGATATTCTGTACGGCGCTGCATATGGGTTTGATATCGCGCATATGGTCTATATTCAGCGCAGGTTGGTGTTCTGACCAGAACCCTCACCGGATCCTTCTGACACATTGACAAGCTTTGAAAATGGTCTCGGGAGGCACATGTGGTTCCTGTCGGATGCGGAAAGGAACCTCGCGTTGAAGAACGAGTTTATTTCCCAGCCTCTAGGTGAGTGGTCTTCCTTATCGGGTGATGTAGAAACTCACAGCTGTCTTCTAGCTGTTACTGCCTCCATGCTGAGCCGCTCCGGCATGATGTGTTTCCTCTACACGTGCTTTAGCAGCGTTGATAAGCAGATCCGCCTATCCATCATTGTATGCATGGCAATACAGGTCGTGGTAAACTCGGTGACTGCCGTTCAGATTATCGTGCAGTGCGGCCCCAATCCCTACCATGCAGTACGTGAACTCCCTCTCCTAGTTCCTGACAATAGCTGACCGGTGTAACTCCCTGGTATCAATAGGTCAATCGAGTCAGCTATTTCCACTACATGTGGGATAACCCACCAGCCGATGGCTCCGTGGTCTGTCAATCACCGGCAGTACAAACGACAATAGGATTCGTTCAGGGTGGTATGACGCCAGCTGCCTTCTTCAGTATATATCGTACTGATGGATGGTCAGGCTTCAACACGACGATCGATTTCTTTTTGACGGCACTCTCAGCGGTCCAACTCTGGCGTTACACAATAAGGGCAACGGACTCGGCTCCAGCACAGCACAAGCCGCTGTTCAGTCGGATTCGGCGAATGCCACGACAGGCGCTCTTTCGTCGAATCTGGCAGACTGTTAGCCTCAGCGGGCCGTTGCTGCTATCGGGAATTGCCTCTATTGTGAAGACATATGTACGCAGCCGTCGACAGGAATTATTCCCTTGCTGACGGAATGGAGTAGTTGCTCAAAACCCTTGGGGAGCGGAACGATATTACACGTGAGTTGTCGCTGACATATTGTTGGAGGCAATGCTAACGATCCACAGATAACACTGTCCCCTTTATTCTGTGGGTCAAGTAAGTATACTTCCGAAATCTTCTAGTGCAGCATGGTCTAACACCCCAAAGGATAGAGAACTACAGCATCCTCCTCGCCACGTTCGCACCGATGATACGCCTGTTCATGTCAATGGTATCCACAGACACAGGACAAAGTGGTGGATACTGGTCGAACAGTCGGTCCAAGAATAGCCACCCCGGCCTGGAACTGGATTCCCAACCACATACGCAAAGAAAGGGAGCGGTGGTCATGTCCGTCTCTGCAGCGGAGGAGGCGGCGCAGCGTACGGATGATGAGTGGAAAAGAGCCAGCAGTAGAGCACACCAGAGACGTCGCAGGAGTGACCTGCAGGATGGCTCTAATGGAGTGACTATCCAAACGGAGATTGTTGTCCGGGTGTCATCGGATAAGGCTTCGACAGAGAGACTGGTCGTTTGAGGATCAGCTTTCTCTATGCATTCGCCCTATCAGCGAAAGTGATGGATTCTTTGTTACTGCTCTTGGGGTGGGAAGGGGAGTTCCCGGACTATCTCATGGAACGGGTGTGCAAAATCTGAAATATGACTGATTCCCTGCTATATCACAACTAAATTATCTCTACTTATCCTAGAGACCGCCATGCACATGTCATCTGTGTCTTCAAATAGGCTTGCAGATCTACATTGTTATTGATCTGCCCCGCCTCGTCGTGCGCAAAGCTAAGTGACCCGCTCCTAGAGAAATGAGGTTGCTGTCACCTTCTGAGCTTCCTCTGGACTTAATAGATTCAGAAGTTGTTAAGAAAATGCAATTTGATTCTGATGAACTACTAGATCTGTTAGCTCCTCAGTATATAGATCCTTATCCTGTGACGCACGTTTGGGAAGATGCCGGAAAATCAATATGGAAATGTAGGCCGGCTCAAGTGCTTCTAACTAGATGTTCCAATATCTCCCTCATTTGGTTCACCACAATGCTTGCGTGTGTCTCATCCTCCAGCCTGAGATATGCTCTACCACCCAGCCGGGCGGCTATCTGCACACCATGATTGGGTGGAACAAAAGTATCAAGCTTCCCGTACCATAATTGCACAGGTAGTTCAGGACGAATATCCTCTAATCGAAAACCATAGTCCATGCACACCAACCTACCATCCTGCCACACCCCATGAAACCCTTGTGCGAAGCTTTCTCGAGTCGACCGCAAAGATAACCGGGGCCAGTCCGTCTTCATAAAGTCAATGTCCTTCTCATGAGCGATTGGCTTCTGGAGCAGAAGCTCAAGACGCCTCTCGTCACTGAGATCTAAGCGTCCCGATCCCTCTAGCTTCCAAAACCACCGGACAACACTGAGGGGCGCATAGAGAAATCCCAGTGGGAATCCAAGTCTGTGCACCCAATCTGCTCCACTCATACCGATGTCAGGCGGCCCTAGGCCGCAGACAATCGAAACACACTTGAGCTTTTCATAGGGTAATGCCGCGGCGCAAGCAAGTGCATATGGCCCGCCTCCTGATATTCCCTATCCAGCGGCGGCAGCAAACGGTGTTAGCAAACAGTCTCGGTCATTCTCAGGAGTAATACTCTCTCCGTACCAAAACACTATAATGATCCAACTCAAGGTGCTGCGCGAGGCGTTCTAAGTCTTTTGGATGATCAAGGAGTGTTCGACCGGGGTGTGGTGAACTCCATCCTATACCAGGTCTGTCCACAGCAATGACACGGGCGCCTAATTCTAGTCCCAGCTCATGAAAACCTGCTGCCTCTAGGCGAGAGCCCGGGAGGCCATGTAGGTAAAAAATAGGTCTTCCGGTCAGCGAACCATATTGTGCATAACCGAGGTTTCGTCCATCTGGGAGGGTCAGGGTGTCTGAACTGTCGTTGTCCGTACGGAAATGCGGCCTCGGATGTTCATCTGTAAGAGCTGCTGGAGCGCTGACTGGGTTGCAGGTAGCTGTGAAGCTGGCAAATAGACGAAAAATATATGCTTTCAAGTCCGATATTGGAGACATGGTAGATGCAAGAAGTTGCTGAACATATTGCATAAAGGAACTATCAACAGCTGACCGGAAGTGCGTATTAACTGCTGATACTCTAGTATGACTGACTCGTAAAATTGTGCTATGGACTAATGGTGTTAGAGGGCCTGTCGGTCAGGTGAGAGATAATAATGAAGGTCGATTTGGAAGTAGTATCCCCATAAGCACAGAGAGTGAGTTATATGAGTTCCGTTTTGCTAGAGATTTAGCCCTATTCACTATGTAACCATGCAGGAGCGGGGTAGTATGTCAGACTGTTTCTTATGGTGGGCACTAAGCCCTGATGGAGGATGATTATTTGCTTATATCTCTGCAACAACTAGATATTCAATATTTATATAGTATAATATTGAATCACCATAGTATCAATATCAAATCCTCATCTAATAGGAATAATGAATACCATATAGTGGTCTAGTATCAATATCAGATTCTCATCTGTTGTCTTTCCTTGGTCTTCCCGTACCTCTAGACACGTCTGCGTGTGTCCAGGATCAACCCGAGAGGGGCAACTGCCCACGTGACATCATCTCACATCATGCTTCACGGTTCGGATTCAGGCATTCTCTCCATTTACCATATTTTAATCAGACATACGGATGCCTGGCAACCATGAGCTCTACCGACCACGAGATCATCTCTTTGAGTGAGATACCGACCCGTCGTTCTTCCCATGACGTGACTTCGTCTGAGATAGAACAACCCTCGCTGCCCCCCGCAGATGGAGGCAAAGCTGCCTGGCGACTGCTGGCGTCATGCTGTCTCATTCAGCTACCAGTCTGGGGTTTGTACTAAGCGCGAATGACCGGGGTTTATCAACGACTGATTTGGCACGCCAGGATTCTCGACTGTTTTCGGTATTTTCCAAGAATACTACAGCACGCATGATGTCTTACAGGGCAATAAAGGCGACCTTGCTACCGTGGGAACTACATCAACTGTATTGGAAAGGCACCACACACATGTCATTAGATTCAATATAGTCTAACGCAATCGGATAGGGTCTCCTGTACCTCTTATCACCTGTGACATTTACACTTTTGACGCGGTATCCACACCTCCAGGCTTGGTGCATTCCGACAGGGCTATGTATCACCGTGATCGGCTCGCTTCTATCGTCCTTCTCGCAGCAAGTATGGCATCTCATTGCAACTCAGGGTATTATGTGCGCCATCGGCAATGCGCTCATGTTCAGCCCATCATCTCTGTATATGGACCAGTGGTTCATCCAGAAAAAAGGCCTTGCCCTCGGGATCATGTGGGCAGCCAAGAGCGTAACTGGTGTTGCATTGCCCTTTGCGGCAAATGCTTGTTTGCACAAATTCGGTTCTAGTACAACCTTCAGAGCTTGGACTGTCACTACGGTATGATGCCCGGGTACATTGCTACCTTTTGTTCCCGACTGCACATTTGTTGCGACACTATGGAGGCGAACCAACTTGGGTAGCGTCTGTAACTGTCGGATTGCATCCAGTGCTAACATCGAATCACAGTTGCTTACTACCCTAGTGTCTTTGCCGTTCATGAAGCCTCGAATCCCTGTCTCGCCTTCTGCATCAGCCCGGCGTCTGGACCTCAGGTTCCTCCGCCTGGCCGTCTTCTGGACGCTCCAGGCAGGCAATATCATCCAAAGCTTTGGATACTTCTTACCATCCACGTATCTGCCATCGTATTCGACCACAACAGTTGGTCTGTCAAGAACGATGGGCACAATGCTAGTCTCGCTCTTCAACGCGACTTCTATTGTCGGTGGTATCAGCATGGGAATGCTTTGTGATCGTTTCGCAGTATCGAATATTCTGCTTTTCTCCTCGATAGGCTCAGCACTATCCGTGTTCCTTCTGTGGGGCATGGCATCATCTCCGGAGTCCGAATCGCCTCAGACGGGCATTGCTTTGCTCACTCTGTTCTCCATCTTCTATGGATTCTTCGCGGGTGGTTTCAGTTCCACTTGGTCGGGTGTCATCAAACAAATCAAGCGTGACTCTTCCACCTCCTTGGAGACAGGGTTAGTCTTTGGTTTGCTGGCGGGAGGGCGGGGAATTGGCAATGTCATCAGTGGTCCGCTGAGCACGGCACTAATCAAGCAGGGATCGCTGAGTGGCTCGCAAACCAACAACGCTGGAACTGGCTTTAGCACTCAATATGGGACTTTGATTCTCTTCACTGGTATCACGGCAGTGTTCGGAGCTTGGAGCTCGATGTGGGGTTATATCAGCTCCGGCGTGCGCTGTGTGAGCTGCTGAGAGCAGGCTGTATGTTTGACTGCAGGACACGACGTTGGTTTTCTGGGTTTTCGACTCATTCCAAGATTGATATTGGTTTGAAGATGAAATAAATCCCTACTTGATTAGCGCCGTGCTCAGCGGACCACTGATGATCTCTAATCATGGCTTCCCCAGAGGCGCATTGGGCTCCCGGCCTCCACTGGAGGCTCCTCCACCTCCGGTATTTCCCATGGAGTAGACAATCTGACGGCGTTAACAATGCCTACAATTTCCAGTTAGACGAATATGGCCCCGTTATCATTGACCCTCGCCAGGCCGTAATGAATATGTTATTCGTCATTAATACACCCATGAGATCCCCACAGACGTCAAGAATTTCGCTTTTGAGATGGCCACGTCTGAGTTCACTTGGGTTCAGCTTCTCGCACCTATATGTGGCGAGTAGAATATGGATATTCTGGAAGATCCCACACAAAACAATACCCCCCTAAGGAGGACGACCCATCATCCCTCCACTTTACTACAATTACCCGGGTCTAAGCCCCTGCCCCAATAATAGGTTTCATTAAAGTGAAGGCTACTCTCTCGGCTACGCCGCCAGATTTAGGCTTAGAGCGACAGACAATTTATCTTCCGCTTCGTGGTAGATAACTTCATCTCAGATAGCTCGAATATCATTATTATAGATGCTAATATGCATTGGGTGGCAGTAATACAATCAAGACCCGCTCAGTAGTCTACTCATCCGGAGCCTGACCAAACTGCTGCTTGTATTTCTCAGCAGCGCTGCGTTTGCCCTCCTCTGAGATACCAGGGTTACGGGTGGCACTAAATGAAGTTAGTCTAGCAAGCTTCGGCGTGCACGGGGGGGAACATACGCCTTCAATCCAGCCTGGACTCTGTTAGGGTCCTTCTGGTCGTCACCTCGTTGCTGATAGAAGTCATCATGGACCTGCTCGCCGCCCAGTTCGTTGTCAATGACCTCCTGAGCGTGCCGCTTGGCTTCATCTGAGACATTGGGGTTGTTCAGAGTACTACCATCTTGTTAGGCTATTCAATAATTTGAAGGGTCGGACCAGGATCAACCTACGCCTTGTAGCCACGGAGGGCGTTGATGCGATCTTCGGCCATGGTGCTTTGAAAAGAATTCCTGATAGTGTAATCAACTGTGTGGTTTGCGTTCTCGTTTGTGTTTGTCCCGCTAATGCAAAAGTATTGCAGTTGCTTCTTATAGCTTCTTGTATCCTTTCGCCACAGCTGATGTCAGCATTTCATCAAACCTAAACTCGGGACTCCACACATTCGCACACCTTGTTTTCCATAGAATGAAGCGCCGAGAACAACCAATCGCGGTGGTTGATACTCCACAAATTGCATTTACAGAACGTCAAATCAAACCTCATCGAGTGATGATTGACCAGTCTCAGAATGCCCTCACTGACACTGTCCAGCTCCAGGGCAGCTGGCTGCATTCTTCGCTTTGTGAATGAGGTACATCATTGAGAAACGTCGTCGACGTCATGGGATTTGACGTATCTCACAATATTTGGGATGGAATACGCACCCCAGGGCTAGCCCATCGGATGGGTCAGATCGAGGAGTGAATATCTATATCCGAAGTTTCCGGAAACAGGTTTCTAGACAGACTTCGAGCGATCTTTGAAGAATTAGGTATCCCTAGGGTAATAATGATATAGTGAACAGATCCTGTCAATATGCTGATTAGGACCTGTCTGGCAAGTCATCATCTTGGACCTGAGGGATATCTCTGCGCTCTTCTCTTTGAATGCAGCCTCAGGCGGATATACTACTCAAGCCTATATTTCTCTCAAAACCAATCATCTCCTAGCGAGCAGAGCTTCCTGAGAGCCATCTGAAAGATCCATGGTCCCTTCAGCTGACTAATCTCTCATCCTCCCCCAACCATGTAGCACTCTCTGATAACGGCATATTTACACATGGTGTTGATAGCCTATCTAAGCATAGGCTGCAGCCGTGCAAACGCCATCACTGTGCATATCACCAATCTTTGCGTAGGTATCCAAGTCCATTCTATGTCTCCATGCCGACTGAAACAGACTCGGGACACTGGAATTTATGAATTTCATGGGTGCTGCAGCTTCAGCTGCATTGATATTGCATAGGTGTCAGCCATGTCCACATTTATAAGCCCAAGAAACCGTCAACGACACCTGCTTGAACAGTGCGTCTTCAGTTGATTGGCGCAAAATTAGTGTCTGAAGGGAGGATGGACTGGTGTTTTTATTTGCTTGTTTCATTTGTTTACCGCTACATTCTACCTTAGTCGCTTGGCACGCTTTTTGGTCGTTCAAAAATTCAGACCGTCAATGTCTGGGTTATTGAGTTCTCACTAACCGATGGCTCTTGTTCCTACAAGGCCGAACCCAGCCAGACGCGAGTCAAACCAAGAGTGGAACTTGAAACAAATTTAATGAGACTATTGATCATATTCGTGGCTATGTGGATACATAGTATCAGGGGTGAAGTCCACAATCATTGATCGTTGTGGCGCGGGCCGGACGCCACGAGCTTAACAACAAATAGACGGTTCTCACGGGTACTGGGATCCAAGTTTAGTGGCTGTTAGTGTACCTACTAATGCATCGTGACTGCGGCAAGGCTGGAGCTGAGAATAGCGGCGGCAGACAAAGTTCCGAGTAGCCGCGTACAGTATGGACTTAAATTCAAGGGGCTCCCCTTGGCCGGGACAAAGAGAACAAGGGAAGAGGCAGAATCTGTAGCAGCGTTGCCATCGTGAGTATCCTACCAAAGCCGTCACTATGGGAAAACGTGTGCGTCACTTTGTCGGAGTCGAAAGCTCAGAGCAGCTGGCGTTCATTGATGAGCTCCAGGAGCTAGGGCTAAGCAGCACAATTGATCTGCCCGAGGTAGGCTAAGTGGCCGCAGCTTAATGGTGACATGGCCATGGCTAACGATATCAGCTTGTGGTGGTGGGAGACCAGAGTACCGGCAAGAGCTCGGTGCTCCAAGCCATAACCGAGGTTTCCTTTCCGGTCAAGGACACCATGTGCACTCGGTTTCCAATCCAGATTTCGTTCAGACAGACCTCCGCCTCAAATAAATACCCAGTTAAGGCTACTATTGTTCCGGGGCGACTGTCCGAGAATGACGAGGCGCTTCTCCTTCGCATACAAGACTTTATCATCGAAAAGGAAGAGCTGACTTCGGAAGTGATGGAAGAGATCATCGAGGAGGTATGTTGGATAAATATCGGCTGATCTGGCTCATCGCTGATGCAGCTAGGCCACGGAGTGCATTTTCGGCGAGCGGAAGCCAGGGAAGCAATTGAGTCTGAGCGACGCCACACTCCGAATTGAGCGGTCCGGCCCGGACGAGATGCACTGGACGATTGTCGATCTCCCGGGTCTCATTCGGAAAGGGCAAAAAAGTAAGAAGCAAAATGGTGTATCAGAGGAAGAAGCACTTGCGCAGCCTAATGCGGCAGTTGCGTGGGAACTAGCTCGAAGCTACCTAGCGAATGAGCGGAATATCGTTCTGTACTGAGCCAGACGAGATCCGTAGTTAAATTACAAAGCTAACAACTGGGGTCCAGGGTGGTCATCGACAATGTGGACGTGGAGCGGCACAAGACTTTCGAATTAATTGAAGACATACCGGGCCTGGAAAGCCGGTGCATTGGCGTGCTCACAAAATGCGATCGCAAGCAGGAAGGCTCCGACGATTGGGTATGTATAACCGCTCGGCCATTTCTAGGTGCGTTATGTTGCTAAAGTGCTCCCTTATCCTAGATGGTCAAACTCCTGCAGAATGATTTGCCTACTGTCCCTCATCTCGACCACGGCTGGTTCGGATTGCGGAACAGAATACCTGCCGAAGCCCATATCACAGACGCCGAGCGCGACGAAAGAGAGATAAAGGAGTTCGCCCAGCCGGCTTGGGAGGGAGTGGGCAAAGATAGGACAGGCATACGCTCGTTGATCAAGTACGTCGACAAGGAGCGGCGGGCCCAAATTCAGTCAGGCCTGCCCCAGATCATCGCGGAAATTCGTCGGAAACTTCAAGATTGCGAGTCAGACCTTAGCAGAATGGGAGAGGCCCGTGATAGCCCCAAAGCCCAGCGATACTTCGTCTTCCAATTCTGCAATGAAATGCAGAAGATGGCCAATGCGAGTTTGATAGGCCAATATCAAGACATACCCTCAGAGGATCCGAGGATCATGCTTCGATACCGAGTGCAACGTCGTCTTGATCAATTCTATGACGAGATGGTGAATCTAGATAACATGCCCATTCTCTTTTCGAACTATCAGGACGACCTGAAAATACTCAGCTCGATGAATCCGGAAGAATGGGAAGAAAAGGTCATGAATGCCCCTGGTATGTATTCCGAGATATACAAGGAAGCCAAAATCAGCGAGGGGCGCAGCCTCCCAGGGAGCATTCACCCAGATGTGGAGGAGAGGATGTTTCGGAAGCTGACCACCCATTGGGAGAGGATTGCTCGAAGCTTTGTGGAAGACGTGAAGGACCTCGCAAAGGACTGCCACGATGTGCTTGCGAGGATAGCCATACCCAATAGCAAAGTGCGACTTGAAGTGAGTCGCGTTGTTGGGAAGACGCTGGAAGAGTGGAACAGAGATGCAGATGCGGCTCTCTGGGAACTCATCAAGGATAACCAAGCCCGGCCGCTCGTCACTCGCCATCCCCTGTTGATCTCTGAGACGATAGCTGCAGATAAACAACGCGGCGAAATCTTACTCGGGAAGAAGACGACAAAGGCAACGAATGGGGAGAGTGAGGGGATCCCCAACGCCATAAGCGGGGGCCATCAACCACGTTTTATCTCGACTTTGCTGAGCCAGGTGCTGTTTGTCCGTGCAAGGCTGGAGTCGTACTACAAAATTGCGCTGTATCGATTCATTGACAATGTAGCGATGCAGGTCGTCGAGCGACATGTGCTGGGACCGAAATGCCCCATGCTCACCGTCTCTGTCAAGACCTTTGCAAATTTGAATGACGGAGAACTGAATAGCGTGGCCGGGGAAGACGAAACGGATATTCGTATTCGCGCGAGGCTGGAAAAGGTGCGGTCTCGATATGTCCAGGCGTTGGAAAAGTGGGAGAGATTGAGAGTACTTTAGCATGGATTAAGCAGCAACAGTCTGGTTAGAATGATTGCAGGCTAAAAGGCGACTGTATAAGCACGACTTCTCGAGACTTTTCTATCCCTCGTCCAAAGGGTCATCAAGAACTGCTTTATAGATATGCAGCCAATCGTGGATAACCACTGTGATTCAAAGAAGATTATCAGAAGATTATCAAGCATCCCTCATTCGACCGAGAAACAGATTGATAATGATCATAACGATCATAATGACCATATATCTCATAAAAATATTAACCTCTATACGAATGCTGGAGAGGCCAACCGTCCAGACATATGGACTCCTATCAAAAAAATAAGAGACTAGAGAATTGTAAGTGGCTCATAGCTAATTCAATCATGAATAGTGCGGAATCTCTTTCACCATATAAACCATCTTAAAAACTTATGATTATGCTTTCATGATAGTAAACCCTATCGGTCCGATCTGCGCCTCTGTGAGGAAGGTGACTAGTCCCCGTGTCGCAGGCGAATTCGAAGACATGTGCTGCAGAGACTCGCAGTGTCGGGCATTGCCCACGGAACGCAGCAAGTGGCATGAAATACAAGACAGATCGATAACAATCATTCAGGATCATCAGGCAGGGACGCCTTTCATTCACCCACCATTCTATCCAGGTCCTCACCAACTGCAATTTGGCCCCTCTCCTTGTCAAGAAACCTTAGATTCTTTTTTGGACATGGCCAGGGAAGATTTTCAAGGAATATATACCTAAATATTCTCTCCTTGATACTGAAAGAGAGCCTGAATTAGATCATCCTCAGACTCTGGGATATGAGATTCAAGCCCTCTGATCTTAAGGTCATCGAGGCTTAGTGAGAGCTCGTAGAACAGCTTAACCATCTGCTTGCTGGTTAAGTCCTCATGTATAAAGAGGAAACAGCAGAGAGTTCAGGTTCTTCAAGGCCCTTTGCATTGTGTTCCTCCACAATCCAAAAGACTGACAGAGCTAAGCCCAGAATGTCTGGTTTCCGCAGTGGTGTTCCAATCACAGTTACTGACGCGGATGTCTCGGTCATCAATGCACTTGGGCTCCACAACAATATGCGCCATGATGTTCTCGCTGTTGATGTACTTTACAGAAGTGGTCTGCCTGATAAAGGCATTAGACAGCTGGAGGCAATCTCATAAATAGTACTCACAATTGTCCTTTCTTTGAAAGTAGGCATTTTATCAGTTAATGAAGTAAGGTTGTCTTCACTCTGTCTGTCCTCATTGGTGCTGTTATACCTCAGAACCTTCTGCCATAATGGTATGCATGAGAGTAAGGCTCTATACCAAGCTATACCAGAAATCATGCAGTGATCTGGAAATGAAGAAGGGTTAATAAAAGTCTGCATTAGTCCATGCTAAATTATAGTAAGTATCTAGGACAAGGCTGGTGCTTTTAAAGGCCACGCTGTGCTCCTGAAATACTTTCTATTACTTATTCTAGTAGTATTAGTTAAGAATAGAGCAGAGGAGATTTGCTGTTGCTAGCCTATCCCTAGTCTTGACTTTTAGTAAAATAAAGTTTATAATCTCTGTACATGCTAACTTACCCTATAATAGATTGACTAACTTATAACAAAATAAGTAATAATACAGGGATACTTATAGGCTGCTAATATAGTTAATTATATTATGTAGATGGGTGATAATGGGTAGTAGTGGGCCATGATGAGCAGCAGTGGGCAAGTGTGGGTGATTGTAAAGCTATAGTGCCTAGAATAGCCCTTAACCCTATTTAATTACTTTTCCAAAGCAAAACTTTTAGAAAATACTGGGAAACACTAACTTCTGCGTTCTCATTCTAGACTTGTGATGCTCTAAAGACTCTGGGCAAAGTAACTATTCTGCACAGAAGTCTCATGTGTAACTCTCAATGTCCTCTTTATTATCCACACTCTTGGGCCATTCGTTCGGCCAAACCAAGAGAGGAGGGTATCATGTGATTGAATTCTACCCATTTTTTATCAATCTGGCAGTCATGACGTGGGGCTAACTGTTGTTACCACCAGCTGTGTGTGCTTTTAATAGTCACCTAGCTAGCCAATTAGACTGCTCGCATAAACGCTGTACGCCTGGCATCTGGATAGCCAGGAAGCGACCTGACTCCGCTTCTCACAAGCTTATGAAAGCATTTAATATACAGCTATCTCCCCGAGACCTTCCCGCTTTGAGTGTGCTTTCTCCAGCTCTACTAAACTCTTCGTGGCGTGGCATAGGATTTTTGAGCAACGTCATTGGTCTTTTGCGCAAAGCAGGGCTTCTTGGTCCAACCGCCCCACTGCTTCTGGGCATCTATAGTGTCTGTCTTATCGCGAAATGTCCGGCCAGCGTTACTTATGGTGGTCGTGGGACGAGCCCCTGCTATCCCGGGGTTTTCTTGCCAACCGCCAGATGTAAGCCAGTCACGCTTCTTCTCGACTTGGCATATGACAGTAGAGGATCAGCCCAATCAAGAGCGCATAAACCTCTATTGCCATAGTAGTTGTACGCAGGTGTTGATACCTCTCTCCTGTTTACCTGGAGCCTTGTCCGCAGAAGAATAAATGGCTCAGAAATATAAATACCCAACATTCAAGCTGATCAAGGAGCTACCGAACATTCCTTTACATATTCTTCACTTACCTCACTACAGCTACACCCTCACTACAATGTTCCAGTCAACGACACGACATCTTTACTAACTGATTGGTAAAACCAAGTTGACTGATCTTCCTCCCGAATGGCAAGCCCCAGTGTCCCAGGTTCTCGAGGCCGAAGAAAAGGCTGTCAGTGAACCCATCGAATTACGATTTGTTTTCTACTAACAAGCCATATTAGGATCCAGATTTCAAAAACGTCGAGATAAGGTATGATCCTCTCAGAAAAACTTTCGCCTGGTGTCGGTGTTGTGGTAATGGGAGACTGTAGGGGCTCTAGACCACATCCCTCACACGACGACCCCAGCGACAAGGAAGATGTTATATCAGTCCGCCTCAAAGATGGAGACAATAAAACTATGAGAAGGCTCCACATCCACCAAGATGGTTCGGTCAAGAAAATCAATGTTGGTTGAGTGTCGGTCCATAGCTTGGGTGGGAGCAATACATGATTTGAACCTGTTGCAGCTTCCTGGTGATTCCCATTCGGGCACATTCTGCTTTTCCAAATCCTGTCTCGTTAATTCTGGAAATAAGTACTTCAAATACCTAAAAAAAAGGCGGCTTGATCCATTAAAAATGTAAGTTCTGTGCGGCGCCCCCTGGTTTGCGCAGCAAGCCCCTAGATGGATCTCATAGACCAATGAAGGCCCATTTTAACAATATGAGGTGCCTTGTATCCATGACTTAGCCACCCACACCAGAACAAGGCACCTCCCAACGCTAAGCATTCACTCCAAGCGTCCAGCTTCTAAAATCCACATCCATTCAATAGTCTCTGAAAAGAACAGAGTGTTACCCATTGTGCATTGGGGCAGGAGCATGTCAATCAAATAAACGACATAGTTATGACTCAACCTTTTAATAAGCAGAGTACCCAGCCTCAGCCTCAGCTCTAAGGGGTGAGCGCCGAGAAACGATCAAACTCACGTGATCTATCAGCCGCCAAGTCCCGTCAAATAAAGAAGTCGCATTATCCCTATATATAATCATTCTCGAGCTTCGCACCGCGACAACGATGTTTCGCCTATCGCGCCGACTACTTAAGGGTCCCCTGTTCCAGCGTGCTGTGTCACCAGCGCGACAATATACTCAATCTAATTTTCTTCTTCTCGATTCAACCGAAAAAATCGAGGAGGAGACACTTCCATGGTACTCGCAAGAACGCTTTTATCCTGTCAAAATCGGGGAAATCTTTCAGTCGAGGTACCAAGTGGTTGGGAAGCTAGGCTTCGGGGCATATTCCACTGTGTGGCTTTGCCGGGATCTACAGTAAACCAAACTGATGTTAGTATTACTGTTCAATGGAGATTAACTCTGTATCAGGCAACATATGTACGTCACATTGAAAGTGTGCGAGCGGGATTCTCCGGAGGGTATAAGAGAAATGGAAGTCTACGGTCATCTCAAAGCCGTCAAAACACGCCATGGCGGTGCCATGCTTGTGCGTAGCGCTCTGAATGCTTTCCAGATTGGCTCTCCCAAAGGCAACTACCGGTGCCTTATTCATCCTCCATTGGGCATAAGTCTATTTGATTTTCGGAATCAACCCGCGGCTAAAGTTCTTCCTGAGAACATACTTAAACTAACTTTGCTACATCTCCTTCTTGCTCTTGATTTCCTCCACACTGAAGCAGGCATCGTCCATACTGGTATGAACCGCTCACTCTTCCCCGAGAGCTCCTTCTAATATTTTTCTCTATTAGATATACAAGAGAAGAATATCATGTTTGGTATTGAAGACAACTCAATCTTGACTGATTTTGAAGAGGGCGAGAAATCCAATCCCAGCCCACGCAAGATAGTTGGGGATCAGGTGATATATGCTTCTCGCAAACTCGGAAGAACCAAACATCATGGCCGACCTGTATTATGTGACTTTGGACAGGCTCGCTTTGGCTTGACTAAATACTGCGGGGATATCCAGCCTTACATATACCGTGCTCCCGAAGTACTCTTGCGGATGCCTTGGGATCAGAAAGTCGATATCTGGAATGTGGCAGTAGTGGTATGTGACATTCTTCTTCCAGCATTGCCTCTTTCTTTACTCATCATGATAACGACCTGATCTACCCAGACTAACAATGAAACTTTTTGCAGACGTGGGACCTTTTCCAAAAAGGACATCTATTCTATGCGCGGGATCAAAACAAGCAAAATTCTGACAGCCATCACCTTGCTGAGATGATTGCGCTTTTGAGGCCGCCACCAAAAGATATGCTTCGACAGAGCGAGTATGCTTCAGAATTCTCTGATAGTGAAGGTGTGTTTGCCCGTATGCACGTCTATTTCGACTACTGACCATGGAACGCCCAGGAAATTGGAAAGGAAGAGTTCAGATTCCCACACTGTCTTTGGAGAATCTGGAAGGGAACTTGCAAGGCGAACATAAAAAGTTATTTCTTGAATTCATGCGCAAGATGCTTCGATGGCGACCGGAAGAGAGAGAATCGGCAAGAAATCTGTTATCAGATCCATGGTTGAGGTCACCATAAACAGGTAACTAGATATCGGACCACTCCTGATGGGGCAAGTCCAGGACCTTGTAGCTGTCCAAAAGTAGACGCTTCGTCCTTCAGTCGAGACGTAATATCCTCTAGGATGCTTTAATGTCCTTCCATTTTATAGAGCAGCGGCGTAGAACAACACTCTTGCGTCCCTATGGAAGGCAATAATTACCATCGTTAACTTCTTTGTCCAGAGTCAAAGAAGCTGTTCTGAATCGGAGGGCTGGCGAGAAGTGATCATCCTGATAGAAGCTTGTTGTTACAAAATAGAAACCCTATCACCACAAATATCTGTGTCTATTACTAGTAGGTGACTTATAGGTGCTGACGTTTTGGCAAGACAGTAACTAGATTCATTTATTTCCACAAGACTTTCTAAGATATATATTAGATAGGGCATGTATATAGACTGAAAAATCATCTTTACCTAATAAAGTAGGGATTTTTGGTGGATTTAATTGACGGCTTTGTTTAGCGCGTGTCTGGTTATCCGGCATAGTGATTATAAGAAAAGACCATACTGTGTAGGGCGGTCCAGAAGTGGAGCTAGTACATTGCAAACCCCCAGACAGCATTAGCAGTATAGGGAAAGCCTCCTGAAAAGATGTGAACAATGGCACATGCTAACTTGAGTATGACTGCAGTGTGGGCCGTCGACTATGGCACTACAGTAAAACCTTGCTATAGCGAGATATTCCAGACAGACCAAATTACTCGTTATATTGAGGTTCTCGTTATATCAAGGATAATACTTACCCTTGCTAAACCTTCTCTCTGTAATTAGATAGTTATATTAGGCAGAGTGTACGGGAAACTCGGCTGGCTCACTACAGACCTATCTAGAATGCAGAGCTTTAAGTACCCGTAGCACACCGTCAACACCTTTGACCTGATCAGTGATTCCAATGACATATTTAGGAACCGCATTAGTGATGAGGGATGAGTTTCATTACCGGCTATTTGAGCGAAGCGTAGTTTGTAATTTCGAATGATTGAAGTAGCCCGAGTCTACAAGCAAATATCGATTTCTTGCCTAGCTAACATGGTTCTCTACCACCCAATTTTTTTTTCTTACATACGCTCCGAAGCCGATGATTGGCCTTCGCAAGCCAGTAAGTACCTAAGGTAGTTTAGTACTCCATACTGTAATTGCAAGTAGGTAAAACTCTAAGAAAGGGGGTGCGCATCCACTGCGTCGCGTAGCTATCCCCCGGGATAAGGATGTACCCTGAAAAGGTTGTGAATCCCAAGTTGCTTATTTCGTTTCTGTCTTGGACCCCTCCAATTTTGTCAGTAGCTCACTCTGTGAATATTCATCTTTCCATCGTCTCCTGGGCAGTTCGAATATGGAAGTAACCCGCCCATAAGAGACGCCACCCAGCTGCCCCAAGGGCCGCAATTTATTCAGGTCAATGTGCCTGAACTCTGCGTCAACAGCATCCTCTTGGACCCAGAATCGGGTCGCCCTGATAAGCACCAGTGAGGCAATGCTCATCCCAGGCTTGACATGGTCTTCGAACTCTTTGATATCAACCACTAGCCCTTCTATGGAGAACACAGACTCCTGAACACGGCCAGGCTTAACTGTCGTTGTGGGCGCCTCGTGCAGACCTGATATTTCCCACTCGGAAACACCATACGGCGCATCGATGGAAGTTGCATTGACTGCCTCGATCATGCTCTCCGAGACTGTATTGATGACCACCTCGCCTGTTTCTTTCAAATTGCGGAAAGTATCCTTGACCCGGCCCGGCCGCGAGGAGAATCCAACGATAAACATGGGTGGGTCGTGGTCAATGACCTGAAAATAGCTGAACGGGGCGAGGTTCTTGGTCTTTCCGTCGCCGGACACGGTGCTCAGGAATCCAATCGGGCGCGGCGCAATGCCAGAGATAAGCAGATGATAGTTATTGATCATTGGGCGGTCCGGCGCATAGGGGTCGATCTCGCGGTGCTTTTTAGTAGCACTTGCACCGCTGTCAGGGACTCCTTGCCCGTATTCCCAGTTTGGGTTGGGAGATTTGGTGACTTCGATAGGCCTATTCGAGTGGTCGAAGTCTGGTCGTTTGGCTTGGATAGAGTCGAAATCGCCAACTTCAGCGATGATCTGGTAATTTGCTTCTGCACTCGCAGTCGCGGTGTTATTCTTTTCAGGCCCAGTAGCAGCCACAGCGGCTGATGATGAAGACACTCTCGGATCGTTCATATTGCAGCCTGCTCTGGTGCGGAAAGCTTGAGCCAAGGCCGATGACTGCCTGTAGTTGTTGATTCAGCTAAGTATCTTACGCCATGAGGAACTTTTTATCCTCGATTTTTCAACATAACAAGGCAATATACGGACCTTCTTGACAGCAATCGTCCAATGCCTTTCGCGCATGTTGCCATGATAGTGATTTTGAGAAAACGAGCTCATAGAAATCTCCCTTTTCCCAAGCGACAATGTCGGAGGAGAACTGAAATATCCGGGCCGGGACGTCTAGCCGACCTTCGGTATCCAAAATCGGGATCCACATCCGATAGCTTACAAATCAAGCAGATATCATAAGTTCATAACTATGGCGTATTTGATCACGAACTCCCCCTGTATTAAATAGCTACCACCCCCCGGGTATCGTCTGCCTATTGCATCAACCCCAGCAATCCGCATCAAGTTGGGCAGCCAGGTCTAACAGCTCTGTCGGCGAGATCCCCACACCCATGTCCGCATCGAAAAAGTCCCAACCAGGTTCTTCGCTGGCCGTTGCAAGCCCCCCGGCTCTGTCTTCGGGATCATCCGTCTGCCGGGGAACCATGAGCGGGTCATAGACGGGTGTCAACGGCGTCAGCAACTGCTCCAGCTGGGTGAGTTCGAGCTTCCGGAGAGGTGCTACCGAGCTCCCTTTTGAGATCATTTTGTCCAGAATACATTGGATATCTTCACACCAGGAGTCGTGCAGAAGAGAAGGCGCCACGACGCGGATTACGTGGAGAAGAAAGGCGGATGAGAATGCGTCTTCGAGTTGGAATGGCAGAAATGCTTCTGATATCGGGATTAGGGAGTTTTCTGGGCGGGTCTGGTATCATGCAAACGAAGAACAGAACGTACCGAGGAGATCCTCATCACCTATGACACGGAGGACACGCAGCACCGTTTGCGCGGAATCGACACACGACTGAATGAGGGAGGCGACAGCGGGCGTTAAGGGGATAGAACGGAATTTTTGGGTATCAGGCCGCTCGATATGCATGTGCAGGGCACACATTACCAGAGGCCTCGTCGTCAGAACCACGCACTGTTACGTCAGCGACTAGGATACTACTCGAGGCAGATACGGGTTACTCAACATGATGATAAGAGAGAATTAGCCTGAGCGCCATCCGTGATGCTCGATTGATCGAACCTTGGAAATGGGTGTTTAACAACGCCGTCACTTCCTTAGACAGCTCAGCGAGCTGCCGCAGAATTGACTGGGTATTTTTGATAAGGGAACCTTCAAAGTCTCTTCCCACTCCGTATACCGCTGCTCTGGAGTTAGCTAGTCCAAATGCGAACAGGCGTTGAGACGAACTGGTCAGGATATTCGCCATGAGGCGAGACAGTCGGATATGGAGCGTCATATTGAGTGCCTCCAGGGAATGATCATGATGGCAAGGGAGTTCCGTAGTAATGTCCTCGTCCCTGATAGACATTGGGCCACCCATGAGGGCGGAAAATTCCCGATCAATCATGTAGACCACCCAGAAGACGTGGTTGCAGAGGCGAGAATGCTGTGCCCCGACGACTTCTTCGGGCATATGCCGGTGTATGCCTTGGACGATGCAGACACGCAACGCCTGTCCAATCTATATCGGCTTTTAGTTTGATAAACCGACTCACTCCTCCAGTGGCCATTCGACAGTACCTACATGTTGAAAGGCCGCTACTCTCATGTCGATCGACTGAAAATATAGTGCGGCTAAGGCGAGTGCTCTGATTGAATCGAGGGGCTCGCAGTATATTCCAGACAGGTCCGGTAGTAGGGCCATGGCCCTAGAAGCATACTGAGACCCAGATGGTCCTTCTTGCGAGCTACTCTGTACGACAAATGCTTTACCAAAGGCCAGTATCAATAGGTATTGGGCGTACCAAAGCCTTGATGATGTTGCCTTCGTCGCGGGATCCTTGTAGAGCTCCTGCAAGTGCTGGAGATAGCTAGGTTCATCGATGATGTAGAATAGGTGTCCAAAATAGAACTTGACTGTGTTGAAAAGAAACAGTGCGTAGTCCAGCGGGGGTAAGTTCGTTGTGTCCGGCACCTCGTCACTTCTCAGGGACGTCCAATGCAGTTTAAATGCGACCCCGTCCAGATGCCATGGATCAGGCAGATAGTTGGATTCTGGGACATGTTTTCCGATCAAGGCCAACACTCGACGGCAAAATGACCATGATGAGGAGGGACCCATATAAACTGCGACCTGCATGAGCAGAATCACGGGTGCTGATCGCTTAAAGGGCAAACTTACAGTATCTTCCATCAGGTGCTTTTGCAAACGTATAGTCATTATCCGCTAGTGGGTTGTGCCGAAAGATAAGTCCATTGCCACCATCCGGTCCAAGCTGAGTCGTATCATTGCCCGCAGTGTGTTGCCGCGAGCTGCCAGTTGGTCTGCTCTGGTCAATCGCGTCACCTGTGGCCGAAGCATACGGATTCAATGCAGAGGTCTCAAGATGAGAGTCCGAACTATGTTCCTTCACACTTGACTCCTGTATTGGACCCGATCTCCTGGAATGATGATTAATACTGCAGCCCTCTTCCAGTTGGCGAAGGTAGCTAGGAGGAACAAATAATCAGCCTCCGGTCCTCTGAGATGGTATCAGCAGTTTAAAGTCACCTTTCCTGGACGGATATCATCCGTTCTTCAGGAGGAAATTTACAGATCTTTCTCTGGTTATCGCATCTCATACAAGGCTGCGTCCCAGAACACTTAAGCTTCATTGAGCGACATCGCTCACAACTTCATTGAGTCAGTTATCAACCCTAAAATAGGAAGACGGAATATATAAGGCTGGCGCACGCTCTTGCACTTCTCTTCTTTCCCTTTGATTGGGCGTTACGCGATGCCAGCATGATAGGCAGGTTTCTGTCAAAGCAATTCGCACCACGTCAGAGACTGTGAAGTAACAATGCAGGGTTTGGATTCGGCTTCCGCTTCCGACCTCTCCGTTTTATAAGCGGAGTGATCCACTAAGTTCTGGGCCAATGAGAATTGACCCTTTTCGCCAATAATCATAGGAGTCGAACTGTTTGATATGAATATAGGCAACGCCAAATTTCGGTCATTGCTTAACCTTTGCTCCCGCAAGGCTTTTATGCCTGATTATACACTAAACTGGATGGAGCATGTCCAGTGAAACAAATCAGAAGTAAGTTAATGCAGGGTCATCGTATAGGTGAGTCAGCAGTCCAATTAACTAGTTAACTTACTATGGCTTGGCATCTACTGTCATCCAGGGTAATCGAGTTACATATAATAGTGAGCTTAAGCCATCCACTTCCACTGTTGCAGTGGTTCTATTCGATCCAGGTATGTTGGGAATATCAACTTCAGCTCTATAGTTCTTCCTCAAATTGTCTCTGTCCATGGATTGGTAATGAGGAGGGCAGGTTATCCAAATGTGTACCCGGATCCTGAATTGCTCGCAAGTTCAGGTGGACGAGACGGACCAGATGCAACAATCAAAGTCGCTGCCGGCGTTGCTGTCGACACTTCATGATGTGAATGAACTTCTCTATTTCCAGCGTTGAACCAACAAGGCTCTGACGAGCATATACAGCATTGTCAGCCGGCTGGAGGAATCCTTGGATCAAAGGGTCGGAACTGAAGTTAGCAGACTCGAAATATGCGAAGCCAACACTGTATGCAGCTTTAACATACTCCTATACCTTGTCAGAAGCTTCAAATTCCGACATTCCATGGCTATATTTCAAAGGGAGGTGATGATATAAGGTATTTCAAGCGGAAATAATGGTTCAACTAAATTCTTGCTCTGGCACAGTGAAGCGATGACTATCTACCCACGGCTGTCTAGTGTAAAATCCCCTACTTATCTTAGAGTCCAAAGCTGCTCAAGGTTCGCCCAAGTAACGGAACTGGAATATATCACCACTTGTTCCATACGAACCAAGAGGTGGCATATCCTTGAGAGGGCCTATGGGTTTCCCCTGAGAATCAAAGATTTCCACGCGGACAAGATCGCGATTCGAAATGTAGATCTTGTCTGTTGGGAAGGCATGCGTAAACTTGAAGGTGCAGCTATTCGCCCAGTTCGTTGTGCATAGTTCGGACTTTTGGGTCACCCCAGGAACAGGAGGCTTCGCTCCCAGGTACATGTTGGTCTTCTTGTTCCAGACAACATATTGGAAGCCGGGTTTGAACTATATTGGCATCAGAATGATGGCACGGACTAGTGCAGATTCAAGAGACATACCCTGTACCGGACGGTTTTTCCATCATAGACCTCATAAAACTTGGTACCAGCTTGGTAGATCTGTGAATCATCCTCGGCTGATGCTTTCATTTGAACGGAATGCGATGAGGCAAAATTTGAGGCGGCGTTTGCGAGCAATTCAGCCATGGCTGGTGTCATAATCGCAGAATCTGAACATATTTAAATATCAGTTATTGTCCACCCCGAAATAAGGTGGCTGTACTAACCGAGACCGAAAGGATTGGATGAGGAATTGTCGCAGACTGTTGGATATAGGAGCTCATTGGGGTGCTTCAACCAAAATGTGACCCAGCCATCCCACTCCTGAGGGAGAGGGTCAGGCTTTTTGGTTACTTCGCTTTCCTTGAGGGGTGCCAAGTTATTGAACTTCTGTTTGACGTATTCATATCCTGGAATGAGCGATATCATGTCTTCCATGGAAAGGAGGTCATCTTGCTGTAAAGACTATTAGCACTGCTATGACTTAGTGAAATTGGCAGCGTTGACGAACTTACCTTCGAGATCCTCCAATTGTAGTAAGACGCTACGGTAGCGCACCAGGCAGGAGGGCTATGTAACAAACGTCAGTTCAGAGCAAACTCATAGGAAAGCTTTCGCAGAGCAACCCACTTGTTGCACAATAAAGTGTCACCTCCCTTGGCTTCCCATGCCAGATTAGTGCTCAAGCTGCTGTTCTGGCGATTTGAGCTATGGTTGCTTGAATCTTCATAGCTACCGCTGGCAGAGCCTTGAACGTATGTGGATGAGAAGGAGGCGGCAGCAGAAATCTTCAGTGCCCGAGCTCTTTCTTCTACTTTACCCTCTGCAAAGGAATCGCTGCTCTCCGAGGAATGCAGGCGTCCACCTAGTTCGACTCGAGAGGCAAAGAACGTTCCTGTAGATGTTCAGCTATTCCTGTGAGGGCAGATAAAGATGTATCAAGGAATTTACCATATTTTCTTCTGAAAAATTGCACCGCTTCGGGCGTAGAGATGTTCTCGAGATCCTTCTTGCATTCATCTGAGATATCAAGGCTATCCCCATCAAGCTCGAGGACAACTCGGGGAAACTATGATATGAGGGTTCTCAGCAACAGTATTGAATGTGAAAGCCTAGTAACTCACGTTATATGTGATTGTCATGCGCTTAGAGTCTGAAGTTGTGTTTGATGCTGTTTTTACCTCGGCTTGCGATTTGTATCCGACCTTTACACCAGCAGTGACGCCGAATGCTCCTCCCCCTCTGCACTTGTTAGCAAGATTTAAATTGTGTTGGATCTGTGGTTTCATAGGAAACTTACACAGAGACCTCAGCTGAATGTTCAGAGAGCGAACTGTCGGCAATTGCATCTGCCACTGATGTCTTATTTTCAGAGACATTGATATAAGAGTCATCTTGTACAAGAAATCTAGGAATCCTCAGGTGATGCACCTGGTGATGGTACAAAATTAGCAAAGGGCGACCCAACGAAAGGGCCACATACCACAGGTTCATTGTCACTAGCTGAAGGGGTAGCACCGTTCTTGCCACCACTGTTGAAGACAATTTCAAAATCATGGAACTTTCGCGGCTTCAATGCAAAAGCTATTTCACCATTAGTCACCAGTCAATTAACCTTTTAAGGTTATGAATTCGCATACCAGGGTACATCGCACGTTCGACCTTTCTCTGGCCGTTCGCTAGCTCCCTCACATAGTTGCCATGGAGAATTGAGTTGTTTTGAAGGACGATATACCACTCTCTCTCACCCATGTCCGCCGGATGGCTGGATATAGTTTGCCTCAGTCTCAGTAAAATACTATTCGCGGGGAGCAGTATCTTACGTGGGGTTTTTGCCAGCAAGAGCTTGGAAATTGCTGTGATTGTAGGAGCTCGTAAGCTTGTTAACCTCGGCTGATGTTAATCCCGGTTTCTAAGTACGGCAGTCAATATAAACAAACATCTGTGAGTGATGGCAGAGCACTTACGTTGAGCGAGAGGTCTAACTTCTCCTTGAGGAAATCTTTGGTGGCCTCATCCAACTCGGTTGGAATTTTACGCAGCTTCAGGTAGACTTTGTATGATTTGCCGGCGCTCGATTCCCGGGTGATCTAACAGTTCGACATTAGCACCGTACTGGGTCAAAAATCCAGGTGGGATACTCACGGGGCGACCATTGTTTCCCTTCGCTCTCTTACCTCCACTGTCATCAGTTGAACCCTCTTCATCTTTGGGCTTCTCCTCGCTGCTGTTCAGAAAGTCCAGGTACATATCGAAGCGAAGTTTGTCGTCCACTTCAGCTCCCTCATCGTTGCAGAACTTGCTGGACTTTCTATCCACAAGTTATTATGCGTTTATGTGAGTCAACCCGTGTGGGTGGTCAACTTACTGTCTCCAGGACAGGGCATTCTCGCTGATCAAACCCTTCCGAATATCGGCCAAGGTTGTGTCCTCGACATTTTTGATGCTGCCGATGGTGACGAACTTTTCCATCTGGCTTGTCTTGGTCACACTATCAAACAAATAGATATTGAACATGGCTTGGCGGTCGGTTTTGTTTGCTTGACGCATTGGTTAATTTTGGGAACTTATGCTGCTCAAACGATAACTGGCGTCTCTCACCTTCCTCCGATTCCTTGATTTGGCCCTCTATTTCCTTCAAGTTTTCCTGCTGTTTGGGGTCCGTTTTGGCGTCCTTTGGTGGCTGGGAAGTAGCTCCCTTACTTTCATTTTTAGCAGCAGGCATGATGAAAAAAAGCACTAAGTTAGTTTGCAATCTTAAGTGTTGATTTTGCAAGAGAACAAGATATTTAGTAGAGCCGAGATTGTTCTTTCTCGGTTTTCTAAATCCCAAGGCAAGACGTGATGCGAGCCGAGTCCGTATTTAACATTTCAGTCACTCACTGTTAACAATTAGCTTCTTACAAGTCAATTCCCACGAGAGTCCACGCAATTAAGCGCCTGGGACGTCACCCGTGCAGAATAGCAGCAGGAAGAAACAAGTAAATCCGATCTGCAAAGATTCAGATGAACCATTCGATGAACGTGTAGATCCCTACTGGATTTGGTAGAACCATGAAGCCCACCTATCTATCACTGCAGGTTTGAGCATGCATCAGTGGAGGTGATTGCGCAAACTGACTGTCGTATGTGGAGACTGCATCGACGGTACCCCGCCAGAGCTGAACATGGAAGGAACGTACAGGAAATGGATCCTCATTATCTTAGGGCATAAAGGTTTGAGCTTCAATCCTCTGAACTTTTACACCTAGAGATCACAGCACGCAAGCATTCAGTCGGGTGTGTATTGTTCATACTGTCAATGTTAATCAAGACAATGAACCAACCCACTGTGCATGAGTAGCAATCAGCGTGACGTCAAGATCTACTTTTTTATAGCACCAATCGCATCATTTATGTTGGATCAGCGGTTCGCCCCGGGCGGAAGGCAACCAGAGATAGGCCGTGGCAAATAGATTATCTAAATCACTGCACTCACCTGCATATGGATCAGTGATAATCATCAAGGCACCTCAAAACATGACGTGGGAGACATATGAACAAAGTCAGTGCCATTGAGCTGTATCGTATATGGGTTAGATTTTATCCATATACGCTGATTACGCCTCAAAGTGTTCGAATACTTGGCAGATTGGTAATTGCAGGATATGTCCCAATATGTCATCATGGGGATTGTGGTACCCAACACCGACACGAACCAGCTGAACGAGAGAGACCAATAGTGTGCCCTAAGCAGATGCACCAAATACAGACTATTATGTGTAAAAGGTCCCTACTGTAGCAAGGATAAAAGAGCCAAGATCCTTACTATATCGTGTTTTATATCAGTGCAGTTCATGTGACCATTGGGAGGGCAGAAGGAGTGAGATGTAGTCATTATAAACAAACAAAAAGTCAATATTGTAGAACCAATCAGCTGTACAATACGTAACTCACATCGAATCTTTCAAGGATAATGCGCGCCTTTGGAAGCGATTGAATGCAGTGTACCATGCGTCTCTAGTAGTTCCTTCTTTCTTTGCCACTCCTCATGCCCGATGCATCTTGTCCAAATTCAATTGTCGATCGAAATTCAACATGGCCATGATGAAGAACGGGGGTCCTACGACACTCTGAGTATCTCCAAATGTCCAGTTTGTAGGCCGTATTTCTTCTCCATCTTCGACCACCCTTCCGATTCTCACTAAGAAACACATGCGGATGCGGGCCAGACCCATTTGTTGGAGTAACTCCTCGTAAGCCGAAATATTCGCAATGATGGGTCATCTCACTTACCAGCTCGACGGAAGACAGTCATCAGCTGCGTTGAAGCTTTCTCCCCCGCTGACTTCGGGATGCAGGCTGGCGTGGATAGCGAAGCGAGGATTGAAATCCTGGCTGCTGTCATTGCTTTGGATAACCCGGGTTTTCATCATCCCTGGGAAAACTCCCTCGGCTCCTTCGCCATGCATTTCACGATACAGGTAAGACATAATGCTAGCCACTGTGCTAGACAGTATACCTGTGTGGAACTACTACCACATCTGGAATGACTCGCATTAAGTCCATCGTCTGCATTGGGGCACTGATTTCAGCAGATCAAGCGGACTGTAGTAAAAGACTTGTAAGGCGTATAGCTCGGATATGCGAGGAAGTGATTCCCGAAGGGGCAATTCCTGGGACCATGGATAGTTATCAAGATGAACACCGTAAGCCTGCCGTTGTCAATACCTCGTCAGCTATCGGACACTGCTTCGTAATTCAATGATACTTTCGTTCCCGTTGGCAGGAGCACAAACGAAGTGCTGCTTGACATGTCCGAATCCCAGTCTACTTAGGGTCGGGTCCATTATTTTTACCACTAGAACAATATTCTTGACTATATATACAGAGTATAACGTACAGACAGTGACATTACACCTCATCACTCATCAGCTCCCATTGCAAACTTTACCAAGTCCTTGGAACTACCAAAAAACACATTTGCCTCTCCTCCATTCTTACTCCAACCGGCATATTGCCAGAACATAGCAGCCTGCCAGCCTACCGGCAGCGTGCCCATCTCCTCAGCCCAATTCGCCAACCATAATGCATGCTCCGCGCCAAACGTGGCATTGTTCCCAGCGCACTTCGCCCACCAGCCCGCCGAGAGGAACAGGATCGGCGTTCGACCCGTCCGGAACTTGTACCTGTGAGAGAAGTCAAGCATCCAGTCCGTGATTTCTGTCGGCGTCATCCCATGACAAAGCTTCCCCGCAATATTGCCCTCCATCTCCAGCACCCCAGGCAGCGTCTGTCCATCCGCGGTCCAGTTCCCCCCATGTTCGATGAAGAAGTCTGCTTGATCGGCTCCGCTGCTTTCTGCCGCAGCTGCGAAGTGGACTGCGCCATGGGCGATCCCGGCAGCGAGTGCGCCGGTATTTTGAAAAGGGAAGCGTACGTTTTGGTAGTTGATGCCTTCAGTTGCCTGTCGCGAGCGTCGGTCAACAATAAGTCCGGGGCCAGACCATACAAATATAATTGGAGAGAAACAAGAGAGAAACGGAGAATGGACACGTCGATCATTTTGATCAGTCTCACCCACCTTGACGAAGACAAACTTTACCCCGTTGGCAACTGCGTCCTTCCAGTTTACAGGCAGATGGACCTCAAAGAGATCGATTCCTTCAGTTCCATTCTGTGTCGCAGCTGCAGAAGCGAGAGACAAAAGGCCTAGGAGCAGCCACCACGGCATAGAAAACTGCATGATTCTCGGAGAATTTGTGTAACATCCACAAATGGATCGCAGCACGAAGTGTCGATCAGAGACGGAAGACCCCTTTTGGAATTTTGATGTCCTGATTGAGTTGCGATTTACAAAGTGGAGAGGTGCACTAAAAGTCCTAGCACCGCGCTAGTGTAATAACTAAGATTTAGCAGATTTCAGTACTTGGCACAGTTTATATATCAAAAACAGCAAAAGATGTAGTATCGAGAGATAGGAGTAGTCAATGTCATAATTCAAGCGGAAAGTGTGCTGTTCCAGAGCCCAAAAGCGGACTTTTGAAATTCCTGGGCCACATACGGCACCAGGTATGAAAGGACAGGAGCAATAGCGGACCTAGAGACAGCTATGCAGTGATTTGGGAAGCCATCAGGCAAGATATATTTTCAACGCCTGAGCACTACACCCCAGTTTACACAGCCGCAGGTTAGAATTAGAACCGGAACTAGCCATGTCCACTAAACTCATGACTACAAATAGACTGACATATCTGGATTCATATAATCGGCAATGAGGAGAAAATCTCTTATTTGTTGCAGACCTTACTTAGGACCCCCGACAAGTACGACATCTGCGCAAGATGGTGCAATTTGCGGCGATCAGTTTTATTAGACCTGGTTCTGGGGATCTGACTGACGAGAATAAAGTATTCCGGTATCTTGTGGACAGGGAGCGTAGCCATGACTTCAGCTCTCATCCTTTGCATCAATCGATGAGCCGAATGGTGACTGGTGACGGGGAGAAACTCCACTGAGTTATCAGAAGCAGCGGGGCGGAAATGGTCCTCACTGTTAGTCAACCACAGGAAAGCAACTAGAAACGGCTCTCGTGGGCCACCGATCTCGCCGAGCAGGTCCACGATGACTGCGTCCGCGGGGGTTAACGACCTACGGAGGATGTACTCGACCTCGGTGGCTTCGACTCGATATCCATTAATTTTGAGGAGGGTATCTTTGCGGCCCAAATGTTCCACAGTCCGGGCATGCGTATATCTCCCCAGGTCTCCGGAGCGATAGAATCTCGATGTGCCTGCACGAGACGGGTGGAGATCTTTGAGCCAGGTTGGTGCATTCGGTAGGAATCCAACGCCAGGCTTCTGGCAGACACCGTCCAGGTATCCTCGGGCCAGGTGCGGGCCTTCAATCAGTATCTCACCGACAGCCCCGACAGGCATAAGGAGCTCTGGAGATTCTGGGCTTGTTATCCAAATGGCTCCGCTCCCGCTTCGTCCGACGATAGCATTCTGGCCCGGTTGGAGTTGGTCGTTGTAAGCGCAGAAGGTGGCAGACTCCCCCATCCCATACTGATTCACCAGTCTCACATGAGGGGACCATCTTATCAGGAGCTCGTTTGGCATCGGCTCACCACCAAGGCAGACCAACTCCAACGTTGGCACATCCTGCGGGGATATCTGAGCGGCGATAGTCGGGGTCAGAAAGGTCATGTTGACTTGAAGGATGTTGATGTTCTCCACAAGAGTAGATACAGACTTGGTCGGGGTGTGAACACAGCAGCATCCACCAGCAGTGAGGGTGGTCAAATAGTCATTGTTGCTAATATCAAACGCGTAATCATCAAATTGCAGCACGCGGCTGTGTCGGCCTATTCCAAGCAATCTGTTGTAATCTCGGACTGCCGTAGCATACGCTCGATGCTCTTGAATAATCCCTTTTGGCTCTCCAGTACTCCCAGATGTGAACAGGATGAGACAGACATCACTGGGTTTTACCCAGGGGCATATGATACCAGTGCTTACAGGAAGAGCGCGTACCATTTCTGGTGTAACTGCAATGACGGACGGGACAAAACGAGTGTATCTGGACTGATAAGCCTCAGAGGTGAGGATTATTTTTGCATTCACGCGGCGAATCACATTCTCAAGGTAAATGGGCGGATCAGTCGCGTCAACAGAGATATATGCGGCGCCAGCTTTCAATATGGCCAGGCGGGCGACAATTGCCCATGTGGACTTCTCAAAACAGCTGATTACAAAGGTCCCCGGGCCTACACCCATACTGGCCAGAAACTGTCCAAGTCGGGATGTCGCATCATCCAGCTGTGCATAGGTCAGGTCACCATCCCAGGAATGGACGGCCGGAGCATCAGGAGTTAGTTGTGCATGCTGCAAGGCTAAGTCGTGCAGCAGCACTTCATATGATTCAGATACACTCTCAGTATATTTTTGCAGCAACTGGCGGTCATGTTTTGAGCACAAGTCTAACTTTCCTAGGGATTGTAATGGGGATGAAACCACAGCCCTGATGGCCTTATTGAATGTATGCAACATACTAAGTGCAAGTTCTCTAGAAATCTCAGAGACGGAGAAGGTGAGCTTGGCTTGGAGCTCTCCGTTTGCTTGCGAGATGTCCAGGAAGAGCTTGGAATTGATGTGCTGTCAGAGTTTTGACCTGTTAGCGGCGCAGATGGACATAGTGTGTAGCGACGGTTGAGAAACGGAAATGTATACTCCTGTGTTCAGATTTCTATTGCTTGATCCCTCTGCCATGGCAGATAATCCTCCTGCATAGCAAATTGTGGTCGTCAGAAATTTTTCCGAAGCCTCGTCGGAAGGATGGTCGCCCAGTGACATGTGTGACGTCGCCTCAGACTCAAGAAGGGAGACATTTCGAACGAGGTCTTTGACTGGGACCTCGCAGTTCAGCTCGATGGCGACATGACGGCCTGGTCCCTGTGCGAATCTGGTAAAGTAGATGTCGGGCGAATGCCGACCCAGGTGGATGTCCTGAACAGGACAGAAACAGCGTACAGTGACCAGCCAACTGGCGTTGAGGAGTGTTATGATGCTAGGTTGAAGGCCGAGACAGGACTGATATTCCGAGATAAAGGCACTGAGAATCTTCTCTAGACTATAAGAGAGTGAGAGATCCACAGAATCCCGCAAGGTAACTGATGCATTCTTGTCCTTAATCTCAGGGACATCAGCAGAAGTCCACCCACAATCTTGTATACGGGTCAACAGGGGTGCCATGATAGGAGCTACTGTCGGTATTTATGTGTGCCTAAATTGAGATGCATGCAAACAATGTTGGTCTGACACTAAGGTAAGCTTGATCTGAGAAGATGGGGGCAAAAGTAGACAAGATCTTGGCAATTATAAGACGATGCGCTTTAGCACCAGTCATACTATGTTGCTCCATATTATATATACAAACCAGGCCTGGCTTCATATTTAGAGCTGATAGAAGTGCGTGAAATGCAGATCAACAATAGCTATGCCGGACGCATGATTCGCAACATATTTTGCTCTGAATCCCCTTGCTTATCCCAGCTTATGATTCGCTCCTTTTTCCTTTTTTAGAAATAAGGATTGCGGCGCATGACCTGATATTATCCGGCAATTCAGCCCCCATGCAGTGTTCTAGATCCAGAGCCGCAGCTCCACCAAGCTCTGGCTTCGATTTCTAATTTTCACATCCATGTTAATCTCCTGTCTGTTTCCCCTGACTTTGGACTATAGTTAGCTTGGACTTAGGCCGAGAGCATCACGGGACCTCAACCCTTGCTTAGACATTCCATCCTCCGCATCGGCATGAAGGCCTCGGGGAAGTTTTGGCCGGTCCTTCCAGCCCCCAATCCGTCCGATACCAGCCACACAGGCACCGTAGGCCCAGAGCAGTCTCGATTTACCCTTGTAGTTTCCACTTCCTTCAGGAGTTCACCGCAGTAGGGTCACGAGTTCACGACTGGAAATGAAACTATTCCAGCTACTAGCTTCGGTCTTAGTGCACAATAGCCTGGTTGTGATTATATTACCATCAACGACATAAAACACACCATCTTTGTCGTCGACTGCTTTCTTGGTCCATGACATTAGTAGGTCGCTATATAGAAGGACTCAGACCCAAGGAGAAAAAAGCCGAGTACTTGTCATCTCTGAATCCACAGAACCAGGCTATGTGTACACTTCAATACGACTATCTTGGATTTGCCAGGAATAGTGCATGGCTGAGACCAGGGTCAAACAAACAGAAGGGTCATGTGAGGTCCCTTGTTATCCTCCCAGAAAATAGTCTGGAAGACGGAGTAATAATATGCACTCTGTCTCTACCTTAAGTCGTCCCGGGAGTGTCGGGAAGATGCCGCGTAGATTAAAGGGGCCGCGGGAGTGCTCACATGATATAATTGGTTTTTCTAGCTCCATTAGTTGCAGGGATAGCTACCCCATGCTCCACCATGGACCAATCTCAACTTCGGGATTGGGGGGATGGACGTGGCCGCGTGGGGTTGACCTGACGCGAGGTCTGGAATTAAAGAAAGCGGAAAAGGTTTTCTTTTTCTGGACCATACCTGGCCGAAAGTCGAGTTGTTAGGGACTCATCAACTAGCAGTGGTTATCCCAGTCATCTCTGAAACTGGACACGTGTAGGGGGATTGAGTGGTAGCCATCCTTTGTCTCAATCAATTCATATCAAGCCAGACGCATTAGACCCGGGGGGATGGTTCAAATTCAGACGGGTTGTGCTCCGAGGGAAATAGCTACTCCGTAGTCGGTGTGCCATACTGACCCGTACTATTCAGAATTTGCAGACCCGCTTGGCAAATCCCGAGAAAGTAGTGGCTATTTAGTGCTGCCGATACGAAGGCGACGCCCAATAGCAATGAATAACAAAAGCTTAGCTAATTCATTCTGGAAGCGGCAGAAAACTCTTACAGTGACGCCACTCACTTTGTTGCTCATGCAAGGTACTTAAAATCTCTTGTTTTCTCCAGTTTCCTTATCAAGTACTTCTGGTACACCGCTCACCTTGTACGGGCAGCAATGGCGAGGATGAGTAAGTTATCCCCCGCCACTGGCCCCTATTTGAAGCCCAGCCCATGATGTAAGAATGCTCCATCAGCTCTCGATTTTTCCTGCGATCAGCAGTCAAAAGCAGCGGTGACCCTGCTGCAAACTCTTCCCCTTTCTCTATCTCACCCTTGTCGTTCATTTTCCACCTCATTTGAGCACAATGGCACCTCTCAAGCTCAATAGCAAGAACCTGTCGCAAATTGCGGCGGCAGGTGGCGCGCTGGTGAAGATTCCAACCTACCAGCGCGGTCGCGCCGTCAAGGAGGGAATCGTCCACATTGGTGTCGGCGGTTTCCACCGGGCTCACCTGGCTGTCTACATCGACCAGTTGATGCAGAAGCATGGTGTGACTGACTACGCCATTTGCGGCGTTGGCTTGCAGCCCTTCGACTCCGCAATGCGCGACGCGTTGGCCTCACAGGACCACCTCTACACCCTCATTGAGCGTTCGGCCAAGGGCAGCTTTGCCCACGTCATTGGCAGCATCAACTCCTACCTCTTTGCCCCTGATAACCGCGAGGCCGTCATCGCCAAGATGGCACACCCGGACACGAAAATTGTCTCCCTCACTATCACCGAGAGCGGTTACTACTACAATGAGAACACACACGAGCTGCAGAGTGAGCACCCGGACATCCAGTTCGACCTTGATCCGGCCAACGAGAAGGCACCGCGCACTACCTTCGGCTTCCTCTACGCGGGCCTGACCCGCCGCTACCAGCAGGGTCTCAAGCCCTTCACCGTCATGTCCTGCGACAACATGCAGAAGAACGGATCCATCACCCGTCATATGCTCGAGTCATTTGCCCGCCTACGCAACCCCGAGGTCGCGGAATGGATTGCCGAGGAAGGCGCCTTCCCGAACGCCATGGTCGATCGTATCACCCCTCAGACATCAGAGAACGACAAAACGGCACTCGCAGATACCTTTGGCATTGTGGACTCATGGCCCGTCGTCACGGAGCCCTTCACGCAGTGGGTCATCGAGGATCAGTTCTCCAACGGCCGTCCTCCATTTGAGAAGGTTGGTGTCCAGGTTGTCAAGGATGTGCACGCTGTCGAGCAGTTCGAGAAGCACAAGCTGCGTCTGCTCAACGGCAGCCACTCGGCCCTGGGCTATCCTGGTCAGCTGGCTGGCTTCAAGTACGTGCATGAGGTCATGGAGAACCCATTGTTCCGCAAGTTCGTGTGGCAGATGATGCAGGAGGAGGTCAAGCCTCTCTTGCCTGAGATTCCGGGCGTCAACATCGACGAGTATTGCAACACCCTCATCGAGCGCTTTACCAACCCAACCATCATGGATCAGCTGCCCCGTATCTGTCTCAACGCTTCCGGCAAGATTCCTCAGTTCATCATGCCCTCGATTGCCGAGGCGATCTGGGTGACTGGCCCGTTCCGCCGCCTGTGCTTCGTCGCTGCCGCTTGGTTCCACTACGTTAAGGGTGTCGACGACAGCGGCAAGCCGTTCGAGGTCGTCGACCCCATGCGCGAGGAGCTCCAGGCCAAGGCTCGCGCCGGAGGCAACGACCCGTTCGAGCTGCTCAGCATCAAGAGCCTGTTCGGTGACGACTTGCGCAGCGACGAGCGGTTCCTCAAGGAGATCACCACCGCTATGAATGACATTGCCCGCGACGGCATCATGAAGACGCTTCCCAAGTACATTGACTGATTGCCCGGCTAGAGTTGTTGGATGGTACACCTGCGTTTGCGAGCGATATTTTGTTTGTATATTTCATGAGTGATTTGGATAAAAGCACCACATAGAGATAGAGATGATAGACTAGGTCCCCTAATTCTCACTTTATTGCGCATCCTATCATTCAGGCCCGGCGGCAGAGCCCTCGACAGAAAACGCTTTTGATGGATTTGGATGGATTTGGATTTGGTTCTGGGTACTTATGCACGGTTGCAGTATATAGGAGTTCTTTTAAAACATAATATTTATCACAATCATCTTTACATGGCTCTATCCTTACAAAAGGTGACCCAACTTAGGTGTTGGTACTAGGACACCACTAATAAGCGAATTTGGAGAAGAACAATGCAGAGGCTAGAGGTCAATTATGCATCCAAGTGGTAGGATGCTGTATAATTGACTGCATTACACTGCAGTATTGTATGATCCTAACGCCGCGTTGCGAGAATCAAAGTAGCCGGCCAACAGCCATGCAGACATCTCCCCTGGCCCAGGAGGTCCTTCAGCTCCTGCAACAGCCCCGTAAAGGCCTCTGGATCGACCCCTGCATGAGGAAACGAACGGAAATGCTGCAGGAACCCCTCAAAGTCAGTTTCAAAGCGCCATTCCTCATCAGTTTCATACACAATCACATCAGTAGGGCCCGAGAAGTCAGGATCTGTCACTTCATGCTGTCGCTCAGGCGGTAGAAGGCCCGTAATGCCGCCCTGGGCCATGTTCAGCCGGATGCGCAATGCCCCTGGCCGAAACCACTGCGGCTCCAGCGGAGCCACATTGTATTCGTTCGAACTGCGACTCATGACGTTAATAGTGTCCTGCGGATGCTCCGCCATGTTCAAGAGGATTCGACCGCCCTGCTGGCTGATCCGCTCCCAGACATCTTGGATATCAGGATCATCAAAGCGCGCGGGACCAAAACCCGCGCACGCAAAGGTGCCTCCAGGCCTGAGCTGCGTCGCAATCGCTTGCATTGCCGCTTGCTGGTCCGCAAAGTGCATCACATTGGTTGCAAAGGCCAGATCCACACTTCCCGGCGACAGGTCGTCGGCGTCTTCGACCGGTGCGGCGCGATAGCTGAAGCCGTCTCGTCCAAGGTGCTCCTCAGCCAGCTGTATATTTTTCGGCACGATATCGGATACAATGACGTGCTGGAACTTGGACCGCAGCTCCCCTGGGTAGGGGCCGATTCCTGCGCCGACATCGTGGACTGTCCCAAACCGCCCGCCGTTTTCTCGATGGTAGCGATAGATGCGTTGGAAGAAGCTCGGCGGGACTTGTGGGCGGCCTCGGAGATAGTTGTCCCAGAATGCCTTGCTGCGGGCGAAAACTTGGTCTTTGGATTCGATGGGGCCTGAAGTTGGAGGAGGAATGCTCTGGGGTACTGCCATGTTGACGTTTGATTTACTATGTAGCTTGGTTGTTGTAAAAGGGTAATTATATCTATTCTGTCAGTATGGTGTATAAGACTACATACAACACTCCAATATGTAATCTGCATAAAGCCTCATCCATCTTATCTAAGCCCAGCTGTGCCCTCACTGATCCACTGAAGAATGCGCAGGCAGTGGATCATCAGAATCGGGGCTCGGGGATCTTGGGTTACTAGAAAATGGTCCGAGAAATATATGAAGTCACCTCCACTGAATACTACCTAACACTATTCTAACAGTTATTTTGATTATCCGGTCTCGTGTCCTATAAAACTATGCTCCCAGACTGCCACTTTAATCTTCGTGTCTAATGCCTACTTCTTGAGAATCTGCCTGAAACCCAGGACTGACCCCATCAACGGGAATAATGAGCGCACCGCATGCAGCTGTGCCCATCGGACAAGCAGTCCCCGAACCTCACCGAGGTTCGCTGCAGCAGGATTGGCATGCATTCGAAAGAGAGCATTGTTGGTCGGGGCCATGACAAGCCACGTAAAAGGCACCATCGAGATCGTTGTCACTGCCGCAATGATATGAGGTATTCCCGACCGGCCCGTAGCACGCGTACTGCTCGCAGTATAGCCGTACAGGAGACAGGTCGTGATAGCCAAGCTGGGCATCATCTTATGTCCAATGTCATAAAGGCGCGTGAAATGTTGCAATAATTGCGAGGGTTGAGTAGCAGTGCCGAGCACAACAGGGATGTCAATGACAGAAAGTCCCATCATGAGACCTGCACCGGCGTTAGTCTCTCTACGTGAATTCGACATAGGATGACATACCCGAGAGAAAGGAGCCTGTAATGACTGCAGTTGCCTGCGTAATAATCCCAGAGGAAGCATTCTGCGGCATATTGATAGAAGTGCAGTGTGAAGGTGCCTAGAGAAAAGAGACAAGTGCCAATAGCTGTAGCGAATCGATAGTAGTTATAGAGGAGCCGGTTGCAAAGACGAGAATTACCCCGATATCAGCTCGGTTACATCAAACAGCTCGGTCTGGTCAGGACCATATCATCCCGCTCTCCAATTTAAGGTAATCGGCGCCTTGAAAGCCACCAACAAGCAGATTACTACTCAGGACATATTTCCTTCAACTCATCTAACCTACATCAAGAGATGGGAGAATCCACAGGGAAGCTGAGCAGATATCTCTGCCTCACCATCTGCGGCTACCGCAAACCGGGCATGAGTGAAGAAGACTACCGCCGCTATATGACCGAGGTTTCTGCCCCGATGACAAAGGACTTGATGGTAAAATATGGAGTCAAGCGATGGACTATGGTGATTTGCATTTCTCCCATTGTATACTCGGTTAACAACAGAACAGGTGCATAACACGACCGCCACACGCGCGCTCATGGCCGAGTTGTATGACTCGCAAATGACCAACGTGGTGGATTTTGACTGTTTCAGTCAGGTGGTCTTTGAGAGCCTGGAGGACTACAAGCGCATGAAGCAAGATCCTTGGTACAAGGAGCATTTGTTCCATGATCATGAGAATTTCGCGGATACCAAGAAAAGCATGTAAGTCACTCGTCTTCCGTTCATGTATGGAGGGGATACTCACGCTTGTTGCCCTCAGGATGACGATTGGGTGGATCGAGGAGTTTGTTCGGCAGGGAGTGGCTGTGGATGGAATGGAGGATTGTTCTCTTAACTAACGCTCTTCTTGTTTCTGTCCATAAATGTGGTATAATGGTAGATCTTTCATGTTCAATAGCTCTGTTAGCTCCTTGTCGAAACCTCCGAGCCATTGGTCCGAGTGTCCAGCTGACATTTCTTTCTACCGATGTAGTTTAGGTCGGGGCTCAATTAATAAAGGTCCTGTTCATAAGTGACCTAATGATAATTCCATTGTCTAGTAAATTGTCTGGCTTAATTCAGTTTACAGATCTTGCAGTCACATAATGCTCACCGTTATCAAGTGGCTCGTCTATGGCTGCTGTGCTCTCCCAGCCGTGGCAACCAGAGCACCTTTGCCAAAAGATTGCCGAAATACTCCAACCAGTCGAGGCTGCTGGAAAGACGGGTTTAATATCCTGACAGACTACACCGATCCCAAACGCGTCCCGCCTGGAAAGCTGGTCGAGGTCAGTTGTCTTACATTTGTTGTGCCCGTCCAAATTGTATCGATAATATACCAACGTGGAATTAGTACAATCTTACCGTCAGTCAACAAGTCATCACTCCCGATGGATACGAAAAACTAGGAATGGTGGTCAATGGTTCGTATTATCGCATATTTTGGTGGAATTTTGGAATAACGAGACACTATAGGACAGTTTCCTGGTCCTACGATCGAAGCAGATTGGGGGGACACTATCCGTAAGACTTCACTTGCGTCGACATTCATAATACTGACAAGTACAGGCATTAGCGTGTACAATAATTTCACCGACAACAACAACGGTAGCGCTATTCACTGGCATGGACTGCGTCAATTCGAGACCACTTTCCAGGACGGTGTCCCTGGAGTCACACAGTGTCCGAGCAAGGTACGAATCGCCCAGCGGAGCATAGGTAGGAGCAACTAACCTGTCATTATAGCCTGGAGAAACGCAGGTATACGAGTTTCGGGCGACGCAATATGGAACGTCCTGGTATCATTCGCATTTCAGCTTGCAGTGTGAGTGTCAACTGTTCAGTTTAAAGTATGCATAGTAATGGATATCAGACAGCAATGGACTCTTTGGTATGTAACCATCCTATGACGATTTGGCTATACTGAAGATGTGACCAGGACCGATCGTCATTCACGGACCATCCAGCAAGGACTGGGACGAGGACTTGGGGCCCTGGCTCCTGCATGACTGGTATCATGACGATGTGTTTTCCCTGCTTTGGGTAGGAGAGACGAAAAGTCGAGGAGCAATTCCCGAGTCCACCGTCTTGAATGGCAAGGGGAAGTTCGACTGTCACAACAACGACACGCGCTGCACCGGAACGGGTGGAGAGTATTTTGAGGTTAGTTTCCGAAAGGGCGTCAAGTACAAGTTGACCATAGTCAATACGGGTACCCTGCTAGAATATATGTTCTGGATTGATGGGCATAACCTGACCGTCATTGCGACTGACTTCGTCCCCATTGAACCATATGTCACCGACGTGGTGAATGTGGCGATGGGCCAGCGGTATGAAATCATCGTCGAGGCAAACGCGGACTTTACTCACGGTTCCAATTTCTGGATTTACGCCCAATACTGCGGCGAGGTCGATCTGCTGCCTCACAAGGCAGTGGGAATTGTGCGCTACGACGAACAGGACCGTCGGGATCCCTGGACGCGACCTCTCAGCGACCAGCATCGAGACTTTGGCTGCAGCGATCCCAATCCAGACCACCTCGTTCCCGTCGTCCAGCAGTCGGTTGGCAGGCGAGTGAACAGCATGGAGATGAAGGACTACCTGAGAATGGGCCAAGAGGGCTATCCGGATCCGATGAATTTCGACGGCGACCTCCACAAATGGGTCCTGGGGGATATACCAATGTTTGTTGATTGGAAGGACCCCAGTCTCAAGAAATTGGCCGTAGACGGGCATCCGGACTTCCCACCGGAGACCGTTCCCATCCTGCTGGACTTCGATACAGGCGCCTGGGTCCACTTCGTCATTACCAACAACTATACCTTCGAGAAGGTGCATTTCCCGCGCAATCTGACTCCGGTCATGCATCCGATGCACTTGCACGGGCATGACTTTGCCATTCTCGCTCAGGGCAGAGGCGAGTTTGACCCGGGCATAGTCCCGAAGCTGGATAATCCTGCCCGCCGCGACGTGGTGAACGTCGATACTGGCAGCTATGTCTGGATTGCCTTTCAGGTCAACAACCCGGGGGCATGGCTGCTGCATTGCCACATCGCCTTTCATGTCAGTAGTGGGCTCTCCTTGCAGTTCATCGAGCAGCCCAAGAAGGTCAAGCCGCTCATGGAGGCGGCCGGTGTGTTGGGGGAATTTCAAGATCGATGCGCGAGATGGACTAAGTATTACGACAGTGTGAACATCCCTGATAACAACACCATAGATGATTCGGGCATCTAGGAACGTCCTGGACTTATCTAGAGTGGATTGAGTACGCTGTAAGCTCACCATAACTTTACCACAACATCTCAATGATCCTTGGCTAAGATAGTGCTCAGCTATACAGGTTGTATCTTAAGTAACTGTTAGTGAGTTGGATTTGGAATATTATAACTAGTAGTTGGCTTTATAGTTGCATGCGATAAGAATTCAGACAGGTTCTAGCCTGTTGGCCCAATCTATCCAATCTATCCATTTGCCAGTCTTCTATTTGCTGTATATGCATGCCCTCATTGTAATGTAATTAGAAAGAACTCTAAGTTGCCTCTTTATTCTTGTCAATTCTGTCCTCTGTTATTATATTGTGGCTACAAGTGCCTCCATGTCATCCTCATGGTCCTTCTCGGGACAATTCAGGGTGACGTCGGGCAGATCGGGTAACCCGCAAGAACTCCCACGAAGACTCCTCTTAAATCATTCTCTTACCCTAGACCTTCCATGGGCCGCTGCAGTATTGTCTTCTAAATGGCAACGGCTTCACAAATCCGGCTTCGTCCTCACTTGGGCGTCGCCCGCGTCACCGACATCAATCCGGACGGTTCGCTGGAGGCGGCGAATCGACTGCTCCAAAAGAACCACAATGAACATCACATTTTTTGGCGGAGTGTTGCCGGCCATAACCACGTCGCCCACTCGGTGCTGAACACTCTGGCCCTCGGTGGCGGGCCCAGAGATCTCCAGCGTGCATTCGACGATGGGGCCGAGATCCAGGTGCCTATTCCTCCACTGGATCGTGACGCAGTGGCCGGCATGAGCGCCCCGGATCAGTTTCGGGCGCGGATGGGCTCCTTAGAGCAGTATCCAAACTTCCTGGCCTTCTTCACCAAAGAGATAGAAACCAAGGGGTATCCGGCTGTCGTTATCGAGTACTGCTTTAGCGGTACATCCATCGCCGAGAGCATGTTCGCGAACCTGTTCGAAGGTCTATACCATCCGCTGATCCACCTGGCACTTGGGATCGAATTCGATCAGCCTAGTATCGTGGCAGAAGGCCTCGCTCAGGCTGCCTGCCATGATTCCATGAATATTGAACCATTCTTGTTTAGTACCGAAAAGAAGGCCAAGACCCAGCATGCCACAATCGACCCGAATACACAGTTGATAAGTCTGTTTCATGCTGTGAGAGACAACGAGGTCCTCCGGGCCGCAGCCCACGGGGACTACGGTGACGGTGTGGCCCGAGTGCGAGATGGCATCTTGGGCAGGGCCCGAGAGGAGATCAGCTTAATTGCAGCTAGATTTCGAGTCGACGTCGATCAATTGGATCGTCGAGCGGCCGAGATGATCAGCTGTGCGGCCTACCTAGCTGGGTCAGCGCAGCGGCCGGGCAAGGCTCGCAAGATTGACTTCTTCCACCTGCACGCGGTTACTGCCTCGCTGGGACTGATTGTGTTGCTCCAGCAGCCCTGGGTCACGCCAGAGCATAAAGCGCGTCTGATCGAGTGGAAGGCCCGCGTCGATCTAGTGTGGTATGCGGCCAGTGGTGCTGTCGAGCTTCGTATCGAGGATATCGTGGATTACAGGCCCCGTCATGGGTTGAACTGGGAAAGCCTTTACCAGGCAGTCCCGCGTGTGCATGACGATGGGCACTTGGCCAAGTTTATCCGAGCTTTGAAGGCCGGAGAGCAGATCTCAAGGCCGTTTGAGCAGGGGAAATGGGCCGAGGCATTCCCCATCAAGGGGTCTATGTGGCTCCGAATCGCACAGATGGCATATGATTCGAGTGCTGGTCGTCCAACCGAAGAAAAATGGATCTGGGGAGCGGGATTTGAGCAGAACTGGGCTGCAGTGCCAGCAGTGTAAAGACTGATTGACGACTGGCTTCGGGTAGGGTTCGTCAAGTACGGGTTTCCAATAAATTCAATCGTCCAGTACGATTGTAACTCTTTAATAAATAAGCATATTTTTTTTTTTCAAGCCATGAATGCAGCACGTTCAACCCCTATGACAAACAGAACCTAGCCTCACATTCATCATGCCAATACATTCCTACATACATTCCCAGCATAAATTGCTGTACCACATGGCTCCGCAATTCCTTCAACAGTATTCAAGGCTTACGACCGGTTGCAATGATCGCGACGCCTTTCATCGGAGCCAGCCCATCCTTGCCATATTCCCTTTCCAGATACCGCATCAAGTATTTTGGCACGTCGGCTTCATACCGGTCCCGCTGCTCCTGTGTCCAGAACTTGCTGAGGATGTAGGGCAGGAGAATCTTGCACGCCTCACCAAACTCTTGCACAGGGAGTAAACATTGTTTCTCCACGGTGGTGATGTTGACATCCTCGAACCCTGCCTGTTCAAACTCGGCACGTACGTCGGACTCGCGGTCCCAGCCTTTATTAAGCATCGTGTTGATTTCATCCATTGTGGGATATGGCAGATGTCCCGGCATAGTTGCAATGACAGGCTTCATGATAGTGCACCAGTTGGCTATGGAAGAATATTAGTATGTATGCCTGTACCTGCAAGAGGGAAAGTACCAGTCTTCCATGTTGAGGTCGCTAATGTCCCGCCTGGTTGAAGTATTCTGAAGCATTCTGTTGCAAATGGTCGTTAGAAGTACTCAACTTGATGTACATAGAAAGGGCAATTACCTTTCAATGCTGCTCTGTAGTCAGGGAACATATTGAAAGCTATTCAGGAAGCATTGGAGTCAGAATATTAAGTACTCGACTCTCCTTGCTTCTGTGCTCACCAAATGCTGTATACACATGAGTGTAGTGATCACTGGGTAGACCAGTATCCTGGGCATTCACAATCTTTGCTTCAGCATTGTTCCACCCTTCGGCCTGCATCCGCTGCTTGGTGTAGTCGACCATGCCCTCAGATAGATCACCACAGGTCAACTTCAAGCTCCTTTTATTTCTCTTGTCAAGAGTACGCTGAAGGGTACTCGAGATAGAACCCGTCCCACAGGCATTGTCCAAGATAATCAAGGGTCTCTGATGGGATTTGGCGATGCCAGATTCGGCCACCAGTGTCTCCGCATAGAGCTCACTGATCTTTGCGCCATAGGTGTACTGATCGGCGAAGCTCTTTTCGTGGAATACCTTCTCAAGCATGATTCTGGTGAGTCTGACTGCTTTTCTGGAGTTTACAGGACAGTTTGGAGGAGATCACCGAAATACGTGTAAGCTCGGCTCCAAGAGCAGGAGCAATTCTCCTTCATTCCTCTCCTAGGCTAGAAGGTTACCCCCGAACTGTGACCTGCGAAAGGACTAAGACCGACGAACCCAGATCGGGCTAATTGCTCGGGCGATATTCCTTGGACTGAATGCGGTACAGGCAGAGCCCCGAGACCGAGCCCCGACAGACCCGGCTGCTCCGGAGTTGGCAAGAGGGAGACTGGCCTCTCTTGAATTTCTAATGTCACTAGATCGCTTATAAGGACATATTACAGAGTTGTGTGGCATCAAGCTGGCGGGCGCATAGTCTTAGCTGGATGTGCAAGCTATTCATAACCCTAAGTCGTATCGATTGCTATGTAGCAAGTCTAACATAGTAGTCTTCAACCAGCGGATGGTTTTCCTAGAGGTGGTTGGCTTAAATTTACTAATTCGATAGCAACGCATATGAAAGAATACCGTCTCAGCTAGCTTATGGTCCGTCAACCTGTAACAGGGAGATATATTGAACCAAAGATACTGGTTCATACCATTCTCCATGTCATCAGACATGCCATATGCGGTTCTCGGTGCGACAGGAAACTGCGGCACTGCCTTGATCCAGAACCTCCTCAAGTCCAGCACCAGCAAGGTCCACGCGTACTGCCGTGACAAGCGCAAGCTGCTGTACCTGCTGCCTCATCTCGCAGACAACAAGCAAGTCGACATCTTTGAGGGCAGCATCCACGATCTGCCACTCATTACGGCGTGCGTCCGCAACTGCCATGCCGTCTTCCTGGTGATCTCGACCAACGACAACGTGCCCCAGTGTCGCATGGCCCTGGATACAGCCACTGCAGTCATCCAGGCCCTGCGCATCCTACAAGGCGAAGGGGCCTCCATGCCCAAACTGATCCTTCTCTCCTCGGCGACACTTGACGACCAGCTCTCCCAGAATACCGCTCCCTGGGTCAGATGGATCCTCCTCAAATCTGCTTCGCAAGTCTACCAGGATTTGAGCCTCGCCGAGGCGTTTCTGCGCAGGCAGCAAGACTGGGTCTCAACCATCTTTATCAAGCCCGGTGGGCTCTCGGTGGACGTGCAGCGGGGGCACAGGCTGAGTTTTACCGAAGAGAAGAGTCCGCTGTCCTATCTGGACCTGGCAGCAGCCATGATTGAAGCAGCGGATGACCCGGATGGACGATATGACATGCGAAACGTGGGTGTCGCATACGCAGATGGGCCAGCCAAGTTTCCCAGGGGAGCGCCGATGTGCATCTTCATGGGACTGGTGAGACACTTCTTGCCTTTTCTTCATCCCTACCTACCAGCCACGGGACCGAACCAGGCATTCTGTGCTGACCGTCGGACCGTCAGTTAGTCGAGAGAATCATTTGCCAGTATGACTAGAGTAGAGAAGCCCGATGTATTTCAGCATGTCAACACATCCAAGTCCCCGTAAACTACTTATGTATCGCTCTCAGCCGGTAAACTAGTTTGCCGCAGTGTACAATCGAGCGTGTCCCCCAACTGTAGAAACGCGCTGTGCAACCCTTGCTTACTCCCCCTTGCTTGGTCAGCTTCTTTGAATGCCGACGCCCGTAAGATGACATTATTAATGGTTGGTTAATCAGCAGGAGGGTTGCATCCGGACTGTTGAACTATATATACTGATGTCACCCCACCCCGTTGTTGGTATCCTGCCGTGCATGACACCTTTTCCATTTTTGTCCCTACAAGATCAAGACAGACATGACTGACATCAAACCCATCACAGTCTACGGCAAGGGCGGCCCCAATCCCCCGCGCGTAGCCATCATCCTCGCCGAACTGGATCTCCCGCATGAGATCATCACGGTGCCTCTATCCAAGGTCAAGGAACCCGATTATGTCGCCATCAATCCCAACGGGCGCATCCCCGCCATCTACGATCCCAACACCGACCTCACGCTGTGGGAATCCGGTGCGATCGTCGAGTATCTCGTGAGCCACTACGATCCCAACCACCGGATCAGCTTCCCTGCGTGCTCCAACCTCGCCGCCCTGGCGACGCAGTGGCTGTTCTTCCAGGCCAGCGGCCAGGGCCCGTACTACGGCCAGGCGTCCTGGTTCAAGAAGTTCCACCCGGAGAAGATCCCCAGCGCGATAGAGCGCTACGTCGAAGAAATCAATCGCGTGACAGGCGTGCTGGAAGGCCATCTGTCGCGCCAAAAGGTGGCATCAGACGGGGATGGTCCTTGGCTCGTCGGCGGCAAGTGCTCCTTTGCCGATCTGGCGTGGATTCCCTGGCAGGTCATTGTCACGGCGATTATTCAGCCGGACGATGGATACACTATAGAGGACTATCCGCATGTGAAGAACTGGTTGGATCGCATGATGGCACGGCCGGGAGTTAAGAAGGGCATGGCGGACATCTTCCCTTCTACCTGATATGTAATGTTATTGCCTGATTTTAGTAACTAGCTACGGAATCAAACGTGTCTACCTAAGAAAGAAAGTAATAGAGATGTTCTATTGGGCTTCACGTAAAAGACCGATAATCTCGGACGATAGTTTACTCAACCGCTTATGCAACTCCGGCTCCAACTGATCCCCCAAACCGACCGACAAGGGGGCGTCCGTTCCGTGAAAGATCTGCCCCAGAGAGGCACCCTGTGTTCCATACATTTTGAGTCTCGGTCCAAGCTGGTTCATCACCCGCTGGATACAGTGCAGCTCGCCAAGAACCCGCTGCCCCGGCATCGGGCTCGCGTCGAGCCTGCGATTGGGAGCACGGCCCTGCTCTTTTCCTGGTATCGCGGCAGCGGCGTACCGGTCCAAGATCTTGCAGACGATCAAGGCCAAGAGAACGAGGAGGTAGCCGTCCTTTTGCGAGCATGGACATTGTAAAATCTCGGTAATAGCATCCGTGGTCTGTTTGTTTAGTTCAACTACGGCGTCGATAGAGGGTAAAGAGGATTCGATATCCGCCTCCCTTCGAATGACCTCGAATTGCTTGAGTAGATCAAGGGCGCGGAGTAAGCACCGGCAGGATAAACGACGGAAATCTGCCTGTGATTCTCTACCCGAAGTGGGAGAGGCTCTCCTGGCGATTGTAGTTGTCGGAGGCAGTGATTGGTCTGAAGGGGAGGGATCCACAGGCTTGCCAAACAGATAGATCGTGTCGTCTGGAACAACGGGAGAGCTCTCGCTGCGGCGATAGAGATTCGACGGATGTCTACTCGTCCCGTCATAGACAGCACCACGGTCTCCAGGAAATGGGTCCTCGGTGGAGACCGGGAAGGAGAAAAAGTCGTCAAAGTCGGGGCACCAGGTGGTCAGTGCAGAGGATAAGCTCGAGTCAACCGTGGACAAGGGACCTGAATGCAGTTCGGGCGTGCTGTCGAACGGCTCCGGCAAGGCGAAGAGTGGATCGAAGGCGTCCGGATCCGGAAAATTGCCTTGAGAGATCGCGGTCGAGGACTCCGGCGAAGGTAAGGTGTGCGACAGGTGTACGGGCTTTGGCTCTCCCCCAGATCGACTGTCTGGTTTGCGGCCGGGACGTTTGGTCACAACATACTCACAGACAGTGCCCCGTCGGCGGCATCGGGAGCAGGTCGGTTTCTCCTTGGAGCATCTGACCTTGGACAGTCCACAGGCATGACAACTGTCACACAGTTTGTGGAGAGCACTTGCCCGACGGGAAGACGCTGGGGACCGCATCCAATTCGGTTCGAGAGAAGCTGGCTGGCCGCATCAGAGAGGATCTACAAGATAGAGTAGTTGATCATTGCAAGCAAGTTCATATGGTGGGGTGCCATGTCTGACCGTGATCCCTGCGATTGTGTCTCGGATATACTCCCGGGGACTGACGATTGGAGAGCTGAGGCTGACGCAATCTATCGCGTCTAGCACGATGTCACATAGGCTGAGGCCAGATTGACGCCAGTCGTTGATAGAAAGAATTGCTTCATTCATGTACGAGTCATGCAAACTCAATAATCTAGTGGTGACTCACCACAATTGCTCCATCTCTATGACCTACGGGAATCACATCTATCATACAGGACGGGCCGGGCCTAACGCGTCTAGAATGTCAGCTTCAGTGCTTAACATATTCCAAACCAAGGGCATTGACGGGACTCGGCGGATATCTGAGAGTGCTTCCTGCAAGGGATGACAAATATCAAGGGGCTGGCTACCCATTCTCAGGATTCCTAATGGCTGTCGAGGGTATCCCTTGGAGCGCACACATTCTTCTCGTCCAGCAAAGCATTTCTGAACCGTGGCACCACTTCTTGACCCAAAGCATAATTACCCTGACCAATCGCCATGAACCACACCTGTTTGTCATGATAACGGGAAAACCCCTATAGGCTCTCCACCAACTGTCGATTGCGGGATCATCTTCCGATTGGACTTTATTGGTCATATGTACAGTCCAGTCCCGGCTGAATGCAGAGATAACGTTGCATCCGAGTACAAAGACATAAAGATAACTCTGAGCTTATCACTCGAGCTGCATTAGGGGAGGATAGGGTGGATCTAACCAGACACCACAGCTTCGCCTAATTAGGAAGGAGTCTCGTAGACGTCAACCACCGAGACTAAGTGGACTTACACCAATTCAGCTTATTCGGACTGGAGTTCACTATCTTAGGTTTGAGAGACTGGTGGTGAGCGTATGCCGAAGCTTGGTTGGTTATAAAGTTAGCCATACTTCTTCCATATTAGGGCAATGTTAACAACTCAGCTAGCATGTGATAAAAGTAGTCAAAGATAGTTCTCATGCAAGGGACTCACAATGGGTCTATGAGCCTGATACCCATCAGACAGAAACTGGCGTGCCCCTCATTGCGAGCCCTAGACAGCTCCATAACTTGAGCGATTACATTTACCTCAGATAATGTAAGCAAGACATTAAGGCAATCAGCCAATCCCGTGGGCGACGGACTTGGGAAGGCTCACACTGTTCCCGGCCAACGAAGCCTCACACATGTCTACAGGATTCTTCGGGTAGGTATGTCTGTGAAATATCAGTAATGGACACTGACGGCTACAAGGGGGATCCTCGACAGGGAGCGTAGTGACAAGTTTCCATAATCAAATCGAGATCTTCGTATAGGGTTATACATTCTTCCACTGGATACTACGGATTCTCAGTCGGCTGGTCCAAAAGAGAAATATCACCGTGACCGAAAGCTTGATACTTTACCCCCAAAGCCACGGTGGTTGTATGAGGCAGGTGGAGTCGATTCACCACAACCAGTCGCCCTACACTGTCTTTAACACCGTGGACCAGCTCGACCAGCTCATCCTCCTCCATTAATCGGTCATTGGCCAATTGCAGCAGCGAGAGATCGTGCAGACGCACGCTGGCCTCCACCGTGGCATCTACAGCTCCCGGTTTGGGGAGCAGGAGCCCCCCAGTAAGGATCAGCGTCGCACGACTGTTGGCGGCTAGAACACTAAAGTGCGCTCGCACCTCCGCCAGGACGGACGTGGAGAGGACAGCATGCGGTAGAGGGCCCAAGTTCAGGATGTAAATGGCCGCGTCGCGGACGCGCTGTGGGCCGCCCAGCTCACGTACTTGCACGCTGCGGACATCCTGTTGCGGCGCAGCATTGGTACTCCAGTTCGGGATTCTTACTTCCTGGACGATAAAGTGAAGCATCGGGTGAAGCTGCGCGAGTATCATGGTGACACTCTGGGATTGCGGTCCAATTACCTAGGATTCGGTCAGTTTATACCCACTGCGACCATATCCCGGCTACATTTACCTCCACAACGCAAACATTGTCCAAATTAAACCAGTCCACTCGGGCGAGCACCTGCCGGGTGAGGTCGCTGGCATCGCCCCCCGTATGTTGCAGGTACGCCGACCAGCGCCGTTGCAACTTCGGCCGCTGCTCACATGCAAAGAAAAAGGGGTCTCGATGATCGAAGGCGATATTGTACGCGGTGCCAGTTTCGCTGGCCACCGTATCGCCGAATCGACCGGTCGCTGAGGCCATCTGCAGCGCCGTGGGGGCGGCCGAATCCGCCAGAAACATCATCGCGTCTCGCAGGGATGGTCGGCTGACGAACAGGCTTGACAGCGGGCTGTGCGCAACGTGCCCTAGCTGGGGCTCCTGAAGGAATCCTACCGTGACTGTGAAGCGTATAATCCGGGCTAGCTGCGTCTCGGGAACGCCAGAAAGGCGTGCGAGGTCTGGGATGCTGACGCTACCGGTGAGAGGCAGACATGCCAGCACCTGAAACTCCCCTAGCCATTGGAGACACGCGAGAAGTTGAGACTGCACCGCTAGTCGCTGCACCAGGTCTGCCGGCTCTGCAAGAAGTGTCTGCAACTGATCGACATTGCTCAGCAGCAACCGTCGGATCTCGCGGATGGCCCGAGGCGCCTCTGACGGGACGACGACTTGTGGACACGCCCCATCCACTCTGGCATTGCGGCAGTAGTCGGCTAGCCTTTTGGCGGCAGCGGCGACCTCGTTGGCCCGGGCTTCCAGCTGGGTGATACTATCCATCTGGATGTCCAGACATGGCTCTTCGCAGATGCTCAGTGTATTTCGTACGATGGACCTTTCTTATAACGTCCACCAAATCGGCGCACGCAGAGTTTGACCTTGCCAATCATATTTACTCCTTATGTGTCTAATTTCACACGCTGGGAATACAACAATACAACCATGGATCGCCCTCCCCGTAACCGCTGGCATCGAAGCTATATCCGGCAGATGCTAGTGGATACTCATACCTTATCGTTCGTGAATGAGCGCTATCTATGGATAAAAATATGAATTAAAATAAAAGTAAAAGAAATGGACAAGATTGAAGACAGCAGCCGGGCTGCAATCAGCTGTAATACTCCAGTAGCCAGCTCTTCAAATCCCCTACAGTCGGATACTCCAAGAACAGGCTGCCCGTCACTGTCACCCCCAGCGCCTCCCGGAACTTTTCGGAAATCACCAGGCTCATCAGACTGTCGATCCCTAGACTAGAGAAACTGGCACTATCCTTGAGGTCACTCAGCCCGAGTCCGGCCTCCGTAGCCACCAGAGCAATCGCTTTGGCGGCGGTACTGTTGGCGTCGGGCTCAGCGGCTGCCTCGACTCCGTTAGTGGTCGGCGCATCGGCTGGTGCTGGAGCAGCCGGAGTGCTGGCCGGTGCCGCTTTGGGCTGCACGGCCTCCAATCTAGCAGGAGGAACAGGAGGAGCAGGAGCCGGCGCAGATGTAGCAGGCGTAGACTTTCGGGCATCCGCATCCGGAGCTGAGAAAAATCGATTGAGTAGGATACGAGGGTACCTCCGGAACTTGATTCCCCCGACCATGCCGACGATAGTCTCGTCCCGGAGCATGTAGACGTCACCCAGATAGATATTGTTGTCTTCGACCGTCGGGATCATCTTGACATAAGAGCGGTATTTGTCCCCCGGAAGGAGGGGCACCGCAAACCGCATCGAGCTCCATCCGGGAGTGACGCAGAAATTGGCATCCGTATCGTTCGCATCGGAGACATTCATTATGAAGCCGGCCAGATGGGCCACACTGTCAATGAAGTACGGGGGAACGGTCCAGGTGCCGCCTTTCTCTATGGTGAGGACGACATCTGCAAATGCCTCGAGCTCGTGCAGCACCACTGACTGCATGCCGCGGTACTTGTCGGCATAGTCGACCAGGCTGCCGGCGAACAGTCCGTAGGCCATGCGCCGGGTGAAGCGGTTAGCCACGCCGTCTTCGGCGAGCCGCTCAAGCGCATGGATCCGGCCCTGCACGAGATGTGTCGCAGGACGCCAGGATGCCAGCCACTCGCTTGCTTCCTCGTAGTAGATAGTCGCACTGGCAAAGGGCTCCTCAATGGATCCGTTGACCACGTTGTGCCATTTCAGATGTGCCTGTCCGGACCGGATATTCTCGGTGCTCGCAGACACTTGGATGAGCTGTGGTGTCTTGGTGTTCTCCTGCGCCACAAGAGCCTTGAGGACTTCCAGGTTGGCTATATTCATGTGTGGTTCCTGATTGGGATATAGCTTTTTATAGAGATATTCACCCAGCGTGAACGCGATATCGGCGTGGATCGACTACTGATGTTAGTCATGCAGGGCAAAAAGGGAGACAGACCTTACCGAGGTAACAACTCCCCGTCCATTCATTTTGTGGCCATACGCTGCCGCTAGGAAATCCGGCTGCATGAGATCTGACTGCATGACGACCGACCCAGCTGTACCGTCGAACTGCTCGTGGATGATCTGCTGGACGGTGGATGTCCTCAGCTCCGATGCCAGCCCCGCAAGTGCATTGCTCTGTGCGGCCTCGTCATCGTAGAACGTGTTTCCCTTGGTGAGGGCCCAATTCCCATTGTATTGGATCCAGTATGTCTTTTCATTCCAGCTATAGGTCGGGAGATCTAATAGCCGTAGGGCACGTTCGAACGGCTGGTGGAACTCATTCCAGTCCACAGGCACTCCAGCGCAGTGGAGAACCCCTAAACTGTTTGTGAGCGTTACCCAGTTATCCTCCCCGCGGCGGAACGACGGCACTGTCACGCTGGTCGTGGGGAGGGAGGATCTGACGAAGTTTACACAGACAGGGTGTGGACCGATCTCAACGCACACGGTAGCGTCGTCAATGGTGGAAATCTTGTGCGCCATCTCCATTGCAGAGAGGAAGTTGACGGTCTCGCGCGTCGCCCGCCGCATGTACACCGAATCTATCGTATGCTCATCAAAGACCACCTTACTCAGCAACGGCGAGATCACCGGCAAGTTAGGTGCCTGGAAGACCACGCCCGATGCCGCCAGCGCCTCAAATTCGTCGAGGATGGGATCCATCTGCGCCGAGTGAAAGGCAAAGGCTACCTCCAGAACAACGCATTTGAATCCCTCAGCTTGCAGGGGCTTCGCCACCGCCGCCATCTCCTCGCGGGTGCCGCTGAGGACCATTTCCCTGGGTCCGTTGACACAGGCAACCTCATATGGCAGGCTCCCCGCGAACTGCTCAATCTGCGCGAGGGACGCCCGAACCGCCATCATCTGATGGCTACTGGGCTGGCACCTATCCTTCAGCAGGGACGCACGCTGTCCGACAAGAAAGATGGCATCGCTGGCAGACAGAACTCCGGCGATGTGCAAGGCCGCATACTCACCCAGACTATGGCCCACCACCACATCCGGCTTCACCCCTAGCGAGGCCCAGTACTTTGCTAGAGCAATCTCGGTGCAGACCAGTGCTAGCTGTGTGATGATGGGGGAATGGGCATGGTCCTGGGGATAGGAGCCGTCAAGGGCAGGGACAAAAGAAGGGAACCCTTGCCCCTGCGCCAGCGTGTCTAAATTGAGGATCTGCGCGCGAAAGTACGGCGAGTCGTGGAAAAGCTGGAGGTCCCATGATTTGTATGAGGATCCCTGGCCGGTAAAGGCAAAGGCAATAGGGGGCGGGCCCGTAGCAGAAATCGGTTGAAGGGTGTTGACAGAGTCGGATTCGAGGCTTGCCCGCAGCTGAGCCTTCAGATGCACGACATCCGAAGTGGCCACGGCGACTCGATGATTATGGTGATGGCGCCGTGCCGTGGTCGTGTACGCCAGGTCAGACAAGACCACGTCCGGATGTGCGTCCAAAAAGCCCAGAAGCCGTTCGAGGTTCCCTTTGAGGGAGACCTTGCTCTTTGCCGAGACGGCGACTAGGTGACAAGGACGGGGGTCGATCTCGCCAGCCGGCTTTGGTCGAAGGGGCCCTTCTTCCACAGCCAAGGTCGAATTGCCCCCGGCGGCACTGAAATTGTTGACCATCGCGATGCGCTTCCTGCCGGGACCGCGGGGCCAGGGCTGCTTTTCATAGGGAATATGCAAATTTCGCTGATCCAGGTCTTTCGGGAATCCAGGATTGATGCTATTCTTGATGCCGACGTGCGGGGGGATGGTCTCTTTCTGGAACATGAGAAGTACCTTCACCAGCGCGGTGACACCTGCTACAGCTTCCCCGTGGCCGACGTTCGCCTTGACTGCACCAATGAACACTGGCTGCTTGGAACTGCGCCGCTTAACAGCCGGGGCAAAAACATCACTGACTGACTTCATTTCTTCCGCGTCCCCGGCCTGGGTCCCAGTTCCGTGCATCTCAACGTAGCTGACGTCCATTGGATCGATGCCAGCGCTGCGGAGGACCTGTCGGCTTAGAAAGGACTGGGCACCGGCATGTGGATGGGTGATGGAGATGGCTTCAGCAGAGTGGTTTGTCGCAGCCCCAAGAATAACTCCCAAGATGTTGTCATTGTCTGCTTCCGCGTCTTCCAGACGCTTCATTACGATAGAGGCCACTCCATCCGCACGGCAATAGCCATCCGCCTCACAGTCCCACGTTTTGCATGCATTGGGAGTCTTGGTCAGGAAATGCCCGTGGCTGAGGCCGGCGAAGGCATCCGAATTTGTCAGAACATTCATTCCTCCGGCAACCACTGTGTCGGTGTCGCCGTTCCAGAGAGCGGTACAGGCTGCCTAGGAGAGGTTAGTCAGAGGACGATGATCAAGACGTCCGACATACCTGGATGGTGGCCAAGCTGGAGGAGCAGGCCGTATCGATACTAAAGCTCGGCCCCCAGAGTTTGAAAAAGTAATTGATCCGTCCCGGTCCAAATGCACGACAGCCGCCGGGGATGAAGTAGGTGCTAATCTCCTGTGCCGAGTTGACTTCGCGGTAATCGTCACTGGCTTGGCCGTAGAACGTGCCAATGCGGTGTTTGTTGGACGATGGGGTGCGGTTCGCCACGTATCCTGCCCGCTCCAGGGCTTCGTAGGCCGTCACAATGGCGAGACGCTGCATTGGATCGGTCTGTTGAGCTTCTCGGGGGGACATGTTGAAGAAGGGGGCATCGAACAGGCCTGGTTCGTCAATGAAGCAGCCATACGGTGTGTGGCTAGCATTGACGCGTTTCCCCGCGGGGTCAAAATGGCTATCCACGTCGAATCGGTCCGGAGGGATCTTGCGATGGACATCCAGCCCCTGTTCCAGAATGTCCCAGAACTTCTCCGTATCGGTCGCTCCGCTGGGCATGCGACAGGACATGCCGACGATGGCAATCTTGGATTGCGCCGTACCGCGCGGGGTGGGTCGCTCATCGTCTCTCGTCTTTGTGATCCATGGATCGAGGTCCTTGATGGTCACCTCAACTCCTTCCCTTAGGGAGGTCTGCAAGGCTGACAGGAGGTCATGAACAGGAAGTGAGATGCGGAAGACCTGGACCTGGACCTCAGACACGGAGAGCAGCTTGGCCCGTTCTACTACTCCTTGAACGACATTTTCCCACTCAATAGCTTGGGTGAGGATTTCGGTAATAACATGTTCGAACAGCTCCGTCGCCGTCGTGGCTGTAGGGAAGGGCTCGCCGCTGCCAGTCGAGAGGATCGGGTATCTGGCGATAAAGCGCGTGTCCAAGGCCGCTATTGACGGGCCCTGAACCACTGACCGGGCATGCTGCGAACTGTAGATGTGTTTTGCGTGACACAGCCCTCCGTACACGGGAAGCGCAACGAAGGTGCGGTCACGGAAGAAATCAGACATTCGAAAGAGGCGCCTAAGTCGAGCCGGTGGCCCACTGATGGTCACTGACGTCCGACTGATTGCGCTGATAAAGATCCGGCTAGCTTCGGGAGTATTCTACCGCTATTAGCTGGTAAATATGGTAATACTCTGGTAGAACTCACTTCTCGCGTGTGGATAGCAGTAAGCTCCTCTTCTGCTTCACTAGGTGTGACATTGGGAATCACGTAGGCCCATGAGCCACGATCGCCTGTCGCATCAGCGGGTTGAAGATTCTGAGAGACATCGGCAACCAGCACTCCAAGACGGAAAGCCACTCGGACGACCTCTGCCCCGGCCAAGGGAAGGTCCGCCAGCGTCGGGGAGAGAGAGACAGCCGTCGACGCCAACAGGCCAAGCCCAAGGCCTGTGAGATAGGTGTGTGCAGAGTCAAAGGCGTATTCATCCGGTGACGTTTCGTAGTACCTGATGTCGTTAGTATTGGCTGCTGTTATGATCTTGTCGCACTTACCCGATAAACGTTCCCAACTGAATAACAGAAAGAAGAACGCCCTCGATCGACCCGCAGAGAGGTCCTCTGCACAGCTCAGGCTGCTCGGCAAGATGTAGAACGCTCTCAAACGGGGTTACCAAGGCTTTTTGCGCGGCATGTAGTTGTCGAACTTCATCGTGGACTGCCCAGGTGCTCTCCTCGATGAATCGGGCAAGGAGCGGGTAACGCCGGTCTTTGGTGTAGGCGTGTAGTCGTCGACAGATGCCTTGAAGGCCATCTTGAGGAAGCTCGTTACCAAAGTAGACGAGCTTCATTCCTTTCTCTGCTGTGGGAGACTCGGACGAGGGGGTAAAGTCTACTGGCCTCATCGTCGCTGCTATAGACCTCACAGTCTCACAGCAGATACGGGAAATCGGAGAGGTATCTTTGCTAACCCTAGATACTATTTCCGTAGAGCAAGGAGGCTATCGTGTAGTCAATGCAGGTTTTTGCGTACAGACATGTCTATATGCTGGCCATGCGTCAAGCCCAACAGGACATGCCGTGTTCGGAAGTCCGTCTTGCTCTCGGGCTACAGAGAGCTCGGTCGATATACTTTGGACGTCCGACTGGTCGGTCAATTCTCTCAGGTCCAATTAGGCCGAGGCCGATGACCACTGTGACAGTAATCATTGACTCCGTACATTTCGCTTTCCTGTTTGATTTTCCCGCTGTACTTCTTTGCACATACTTCCCCCTTGTACATAGGAACAGTAATCATGGCCAATGCGAAACGAGGAGGATATCGACAAATCAACCAAGCACTGAACATATGTGCCTGGGAGGGTTATTTGGATGAGCAGCACGCACGGCTGCCCACTCTTGAGGATGTCGAACAAATCAGCCCCCGCGTGCTGCGTATTCTAGGCCAGAATGAAGGCAAGGTACGCAGAGCCGCACGGCTTCAACACCTGTAGTTCCAGGCTGATCGAATGACTTCAGTTCACGCTCCAAGGGACAAACACCTATATCGTGGGCACCGGCCGCCAACGTCTGCTCATCGACACGGGACAGGGGATCCCCGAATGGGCCACCCTGATCTCGTCTACATTGGCAGACTCCTCGATCGAGCTGTCCCATGTTCTGCTCACCCACTGGCATGGTGACCACACCGGGGGCGTTCCGGATCTTCTCCAATTATACCCTTACCTGTCTGGTTCTATCTACAAGCATACCCCTGGCAAAGCCCAGCAGCCGATTTCAGACGGGCAGGTTTTCCGTGTGGAAGGGGCTACTGTCCGTGCTGTACACTCCCCAGGCCACTCGCATGACCATATGTGTTTCATCCTCGAGGAGGAAAATGCCATGTTCACCGGGGACAACGTCCTGGGCCATGGAAGCAGCGCGGTCGAGGTGCTTAGTACCTGGATGTCTTCATTACGGATAATGCAATCGCTTCGCTGTGCGGTGGGCTATCCGGCTCACGGCGCAGTGATACGCGACCTGCCAGGCAAGCTGGACCTGGAGCTAACGCAGAAGGCCCGTCGGGAGGACAGGGTCGTAGAGACGTTGAAGCAGATGAAAACAGAGGACCAACGTAACGGAGCACGGGGAAAGGGCAGCGTCACCGTCCAGCAGCTGGTGACGGCCATGCATGGAAATGACCTGGATGAGCAGGTGCGAGCAATGGCCTTGGAACCGTTTGTCGACGAGGTTCTGCGGAAGCTGGCACAGGATGACCGGGTGGCTTTTGAGGTTAGAGGAGGCCAGAAAAAGTGGTTTGCAATCGAATACACATGAGTACAGATATCTGTGGTACTGCATTATCTCCGCATTTATGGGGCTCTTTAATCCCAGCTAAAGACATCGAGGAGAGCATTCCACTACGTAACCATTCCTTCTCCTTGTAGACACGGGGCTTCAATTGCAATGAACAGCAGCGTATTTACAACTCCGGCCTCCGGCTAATGCCCAGCCCCAGTTTAACTAGACTTTAGGTGCTTTACGCTCGGTGGTTTTCCTCGGGTCGTTTTGTCGGGCGTGCTCCATATCTACCAGATGTCACCCCGAGTGCGGCGTAAGAGGAATGCTTGTGTTACAATGCCTGCGCTACCATCTGGATAAGTACCTCGACACTGCTGTATTGGAACAAAAGTGTCCCTTGATCAACCCGCGTAAACGAATAAAAGACAACAAGATGGAACGGCAACCAAAGTCTCTCTGCGACGCGGCGCAACTTCTTCAGACTGCCGACATTATCTCTAACACCGTCCAGACCATTATCGCGGAATGGTCGGCGGAGGTGAAGGCATCAAAAGGCTCTCGCAAGCAGAATGCTCCAATGCTTCCTAGTCGGGAACTGTTTGATGCTCAGCGGATCATCCTAGCCGCTGTTGGCAAGCTGACCGAGTTGGTGTCAGATCCGAGCGCAAGGATCCTGGAAGTAGCAACGCAGTTTCAGGAATCTCGATCGTTGTACATCGCTGCTGAGCGGCGCATTCCTGATCTCCTTGCAGCCGGTGATGAGGGCGGCGTGCACGTCGACCGGATCAGCCAAAAGGCCAGAATCGAACCCCGAAAGCTGGGTGAGTCTGCTCTGGGATGAGGGTTACGAACAAATCCTCTCTTCCTTGTGATAACAGGCGACTGACGCGATCTGCAGCTCGCATTTTGAGATACCTGTGTTCGATTGGTATTTTCAAGCAAACCGGGCCGAATACCTTCGCAAACAATGGCATTTCTGCGGCACTAGTGTCGAATGAGCCCTTGCGCGCCTACGTTCAGCTGGTGAATAGTGAGGGCTTCACGGCCTCCGATCGTCTGCCACACACCCTCCTGCAGCCAGACACCGGGCCCTCTTACGACGTTGCAAAGACAGCTTGGCAAAATGCCGTCTGCACCAAAAAGACCCGATGGGAGTGGATCGAGGAACGCGTGGCTCCAGAGAAGTTGCTGGAGTCTGGCGGCCATTATCCGGGGATTCCGAGTCTGGTTATGGGGCTCCCGCCAAGGGAAGATGATGGACTCGTCGCGAGACCGGAGCTGGAGATCATGGGTCTGTCCATGGTTGGCGGCGGGCGAGTATTCGGGACTGCCCATGTTTACGGTAGCTCTCACCTTGACATCGTCGGATCGGCTTTCTCGCTAACGTCACGCAGATTTCCCATGGGCCTCCTTGGGGGATGCCTTAGTTGTTGATGTCGGGGGAGGCGTCGGCGGATTTCCCCTGCAACTGAGCAAGGTCTACCCAAAGCTGCGGTTCATTGTGCAAGACCGTGGTCCGGTCGTCAAGCAGGGGCTGGAGAAGGTCTGGCCCCGGGAGAACCTTGAGGCATTGCATCAGGGACGAGTGCAGTTTGTCGAGCATAGCTTCTTCGATACAAACCCCACTGAGGGTGCCGACATTTACTTTTTGCGATATGTTCTGTAAGGCTGTCCTTTCCCATGCTCGACGGTTTCTAACATTGGCACACTACAAAGTCATGACTGGTCCGACGACTATTGCGTACGCATTCTGGCCGCCATTCGCTCGAGTATGGCGGCACACTCTCGCTTGTTGATCTGTGATCAGGTCATGAATACGACCATCGGCGACCCCGACTTGGACTCGGCCCCGAGCCCGTTGCCGGCCAACTACGGCTACCACACGCGGTTCAGCCATAGCCGAGATATCACCATGATGTCGTGTATTAACGGGATTGAACGGACGCCAGCGGAGTTTAAGAGTCTTCTCCAGGCCGCAGGGTTGAAGCTGAAGAAGATTTGGGACTGCAGGAGCCAGGTGTCGTTGATTGAAGCAGTCTTACCCGAGGTAAATGGCTTCAGATAGTATATCCTTCTATCGTTCTGGAGAATTTGCGGAACAGAAAATAGCCCATTTTAATCGAGGAAAAGCACATTAACCCTGATGAGATGAGGGAGGTAGACGCGTAGCCATCTTTGTGAACCAGCCGCCTTTTGGGATTGGTCTGCAAGAATGAATAAAATCTTTGCATCTTTGATTGCGATCAAATCGGCCGTTTGTGAACAGAGCAATTCAGGAAAAGGTACGCATCCTTGCAAAGAGAGCATCACTTAATGAACGGCATTGGAAACACTCCCTCGGGCGGACTTGTATCGAATGACCACGGCCAGTCATCCAGTAATTCTGGCGGCAGCTGGAACTGAGTGAGCGGGTCCTCAAACCCGGTTAGAGGTGCATGTATGGACGCCATGCTGTCTTGATGATCTTCCGACGGCATATGGTCGGGGTTAAAGGATGACCTTCGGGTAGACATAGTCGACGATGCTTGCATGCGCATGTACTCGTCTATGCGACCTACCTGCGCTTTGAGTCGTTCACTGGCACCAGTGGACCGTCGCAGGCCTGACTCCAACCGATGCAAAAGCTGGGCCATTTCCAATCTATCACAGTGAGTCTCGGTTTGTCTGTGGGAAGTTGCAGGGGATGACCTACAGGAGCGTACGGACTCGTCTATAAGATCTCTCAGAGAGACTTCCTTCCATGGCCGATCCAAGGATATAGCCAATTCCGCCCAGATGATGCAGCTTCGAGAATCAGTACAGACCGTCGATTCAATGTTGGCGGGAATAGCATACCAAAGGAGAACTGATAGCTTTCAGATATTCGACAGGCACTTTGGAAAAGACGCTCAGGACTTGCCCTGCGACGTCACATTTGCCATCCGCCCCTGGGTCTTCGTTTGCGAATAGGACCATGCGCAGCAGTTGCAGAGTTGCTTGAATGTTAGCGGACTGGAAGCCTACGATATCCTGAGCGGGGTCACCAGTGACTGGCGGAGTCTCGCGAAACTGCGCCGGCAGAGAAGAGTACATGGAAAGAACGTGGTCCATGACAGAGGCTGCGGCCATTGGGGCTGGACGGAATAATGACCAGATTCCGGTCTTCCCATCAGTGTTTGAAGGCGACCGCCACCGTTGGCAATCGACGGCATGCTCCAGTATTCGATAAAGGTCGGTGGTGAAGTTCCAGCCACGCATCCACTGACTCGGCTGTCCTTTTCCGCCGTAAGCATCGTTAAGATCCCTCTGAAGGGACGACATGTTGGGGATGAAATCGTCATCCTCCTCACTCGGATACTGTACATTAGACTGCGCTTCTCGGTAGCGGATGACTCCGCCCCATACAATGGAGGAATAGACATCTAAGGTATATATGGACCAGAACTAGCACGGCCGTTAGACATTGAGCAGGGTTGTGCAAATGATGAGACGGGGAAGCGCCTGCGTACCATCCTTCTCCGGACCTCAACCTCAACGGGACTCAGGTCTTTGGGCCATAGCTTCTCGTCATGCAGCCCTTCCATTGCACTCAGTGTATGGTAGATCCCCGCATATTGTTGCATGTCCTGGATTTGTCCATTCTGGATGCCGGCAATGCTAAGAATGGCACATGTCCTCAGGTATTCCGTACCCTTTGCTGCGGCCAGGTCTCGCGGGATGGATTCCTTTGCCGCAGCGCAAAAGACCTCGGAGGGAGGATTTGCTAGTTGCGAGGGACACCAGCGCTTTGAATACAGGGCTCCGTCACGAGCCCGCGCAGAGGCCAAGGCACACATGGCCATTGTCGACGCGAATAATCCGCGATGCTTCAAGTACTCTCTCTTTTCCAGCTGCATCAGGAATGAGGACCGGTGAAACAAGGGAAATCTATCAAAATCAGGCATTAGCCAGATGTCCCGGCGTTCTTGGACAAGGAGATAAGCACATGGGATATACAATCTCGAAATAGACGTGAGCGAGATCGTGGATAGTGCTCTGGCAGCCAATCGCAAATGCCTTCCACGAGTTCACCAGCGCCCCATCATTGGAAGTTGGCGCAGTCGTCCAGGTGCCATTCAGAATGTCCCACGGGGAATCAGCAGCGCCAGGCTGTCTGATAGGATCTAGACGAGCTGAATGCGACGAGGATGATCCTGCAGCATCCAAGCTGAGTGGCCGAGCAGACTTGCTCTCTGCTAAACTGGCATTTCTCGGAACTCCTCGCCTCCTGGCCGGGCGATCATATGTACATTGAATATCAAAGTCAGCGCAGTTCTGGCAGGGCGCCAGAGGGCCGTTGATCTTATTGCATTTTATGCTACGTCTGTGGCAGAAGTCACCTATGGGTTGTTAGGGAAAAACCACGAGTTGTTGATAGGAGCACGAACAGGCCTTAGAAGCACGTTGAAATTTCCTCGGACGTTGCGACATTCCCACGATGGTCTGGCACTAGAGAGTACGCTAGGTAGAGCATGGATGAAGCTGTTCAACTGTTAACTGTTAAACGCGTCGACCCGATGATCCGTGGCGTCCCTTGCAGTGGCGGCTGCTGACCAATTACGTACAAGTTAGTTAACTAAGTTACCGAGGTACTCCTTATCAAGTGGTACAGTCGCTAGGGATACATGGCTCGGCATGACTCGGTCAAAACTCGGATACTGAGGCAAATGCATCATGGAAGGACATGCTAGGCTGTAAGCCCTAACTATAAGCATAAAAGAGGCACTGATCGTGTAATAATCCATATTAAATTATAACCTGGATGGTATGGTTTCTTTTCTTACTTGAAAATAATAGAAAGCTACCTTGTGCGTGATCAACTTGTGTAGGTGTATCTTTATATATATCCATGGTCTCTCCGTCCCCAATATACTGTGTTTATATACAGTGGTTGGAACCGAGTCAAAAGTCATAGAAGACCTCAAATTCTCTTCTCATCTTGCTCTATCACAGCTACGGAGAGTATAATAGGTTTTGATCTTATCTTCCTACGGTTATATCCGAATCACTTCCCAAGTCAAGCCGAATTCATCATTTGCTAACCCTCAATAACGTTTCATAAATCATTGTGACTTCTATAATACATCTATATTCATATCCGTAACACAGTATCACCATTTATTATCAAACACTTCCCCTTTGACATAATTTACCATCTCACTCACGGGCGAGAGGTGGTCCCGCCCTTCGCCAAACAGCATACCCTGTCGCATCACCTTGCGATAGTTCTTGCCTGGCGATACCTTGCCCAGAACATATTCCTGACGGGTCTCGACACGAGTAGGCACGGGGATCGAACGACCTACAATCGCCTCCATGCCCTGCCAGGCGAAGGTGATGGCCTCCTTGGCGCCGCCGGGGATACCGGCCGCGTCCAGCATCATGATGCGTGTATTCGGGTAGTGTTTCTGGATATACTTGACGATGTTGGGGTTGTGGGCTCCGCCGCCGCACATGAAGATCTCCTCGATCTGGAGGTCTTTGGGCGCATAGCGACGGTAGTGGTCCACGATGGCCTGGGCTGTGATGCGGGTGACGGTGGCGACCACGTCGTCTGGGCTGAGTCCCTTGCTTTCCGCCTTGCGGATGAGCTCGAAGGCAATAGTATCCCGGAAGACTTCGCGGCCGGTGGTCTTGGGCGGATCGAGGCGGAAGTAGGGATGGTTCTGGAGGAATTCGTCAACGAGTTCCTGGTCGACGGTGCCGCGGGCGCCCATCTCGCCGTCCTTGTCATACTCCTGCTCGCCGTTGGTGTAGTGGCGGACCACGGCATCGATGAACACGTTGCCCGGGCCGGTATCGAAATCGTAGCAGGCATCGATTCCTCCGTGCGAGTCAGGGGGGATGAAACATACGTTGGCAATTCCGCCAATGTTCTGACAGGCGCGCAGCTTGGTGGGGTGGTGTAGCAGCAGGGCATCGAAGAAGGCGATCAGCGGCGCGCCCTGGCGACCGGCAGCCTGGTCGCTGACTCGGAAGTCGGTGACGGTGGTGATTCCGGTGCGAGAAGCCAAGAAAGTGCCCTCGGCCATGGTTAGCGCGCTGCGCACTTCGCCTGGCTCTGGCATGGAGAGGAGCCAGATGGTCTGCCCATGAGATCCGATCACATCGATGGTCTCAATGTCGACTTTGTGCTCCTGGCAAAACTCCTTGACGGCAGCCGCAAATGTCTCTCCCAGAATGACATTTACTTCCGATAGCTCCGAGGGCGAGGTCTTATTGTGAAGGATCATGTTCATGACCCGCTTCTTGATGGTCTGCTCGAGAGGAATTTCGCCATACTACAAGCCATGATCTGTCAGTGTCTTCGTCGCACCGACTGTCATAGCCCCGAATATTGCCCGACATACCTTGAGAAGCTCGAAATGCATGGGAGACTCGGGAGTCTCCTGGCGGAAGTGGCACAGAGCGCAGTCAATTCCATCCTACAAGTTTGTGAGCCCCCTGTTTCTGGCGATAACTCCATCCGAACTCACCATTGATGTGCCGCTGTTCAAGCCCAGGACGGTCAGGTCCAGGGCCGGGCGGCTGGAAGTACCGTTGGAAGCGCCGTTGACAGTCATCGTTCGTACCTTCGTTGCTGGAGAATATGCACCGATAACGATTCAACCCTGCGTTTCTTTGGCAGTGGACGGACGAGGGATTAAATAGATTAGGCAGGTCGGCTTGTGACTACATGTCAGCTCGCCCTTGTGATCTGGGCCAGCGTCCGTCTTATTTGCCTTCATGTTAGTTACTACCAGCCCTGAAAGGCAAGCCACGGACATCATTGGTCTGGATTTCAAGTGGCCCTGGGTTGCCATTGGCTGGACGCGTAAATTGGTAAACGGAAGAGCTGTTAAATGCTTGAAGGGTAAACGGCTAAACGCTTAAACGGCCAAAAATCTCTGGGGATGCTCTCCGCATTGTGGCTTCTCCCCGAGTTTTCGCCATTGCGCGGACAGACGGAGTACGTTTTGACACGATGTCGCCCGAAACTGCTCCAAAACGCCCAATCTTGTTTTATGGATCGGTTTGGGATGGAGTGCAGGATTAGGGCTGAGACTATTATTTAAATCGATCTCTTCCCCCCGGATTTTCCTCCGCATTAGTCTCGTGTCTACTGCAAGCTCCAACGGCCTGTGAATGGACTCGGGGGTTTGAATCTTTCAACGGTTTGATATCTTGTGCACAGGTCCATACATCATGGGGTATACCACTTTTTGGAAGCGGCTTTCGTCGTCGCAGCTCAATGTGGCAATTCAAGTTTTCTCCCTTGTTTGCATCTTCTTCGAGGGCTATGATCAAGGGGTCATGGGAGGCGTCAACAGCGCGCCTACTTATGTTACCGAGGTCGGCATTGGTGAGCCAAATGGCAAAGTGACTGATACTACCCATCAAGGAGGTATTGTCAGTATCTACTACCTTGGATGTATCTTTGGCTGCTTTGCCGGGGGCTGGCTGGCTGATCGTATTGGCCGTATCAACGGTCTGCTGATCGGCTCTATATTTGCATTGGTTGGAGGTGCTCTCCAAGCTGCAATCCAGAGTTCTGATTTTATGTTGGTTGCCAGAGTCATCACAGGTGTCGGTACTGGAGGTATGTCCTAGTGCATCCGAAGGCTAGATTTTGCAACTTGCTAACTTCATCTCTACTAGCTCTGACCGGTATCACGCCCGTTCTGGTGGCCGAGACTTCTGCAGCAGAGCACCGTGGAGGCTTCTTGGGCTATGTCTTCATTGCAAACTGTAAGTCCCATCCGCGGGATGCCTTTTCGTAGGAATATTGGCTGACGTCTTCTAGACTTGGGAATTTCCGTCGCATACTGGCTGTCTTTTGGGCTCGCCTTTATCAATAACGGTTACTCTGATGTCCGCTGGCGGTTCCTGCTCGCCTTCCAATGTGTCCCAGCCCTGATACTGGTCTTGTTCATCAAAATGCTACCGGATAGCCCCCGTTATCTCGCATCAGTCGGTCGTAACGAGGAAGCTCGCGACCTACTGACCAGGATCCGCGCCCATAAAGCCACCCCCGCGGACATTGACCACGAATACATGGAGATTGTTGCATCCTCTCAGGACAGCAAGCCCAGTTCTCCTATTGAGTTTGTCAAGATCCTGATCGGCAAGGGTGGCAGACCCGGCTCGAATCTGGGTCGACGGGCCTGGCTTTGTGTGTGGCTTCAGATCATGGCTTCGTGGACGGGTATTACAGTAAGTCTATACGTTCCGCAAAAGTCTTAGGGTAAAAGCTTACAATGATCAAAGGCTGTTACAGCGTATTCTCCCGTTCTTCTCAGCCAAGCCGGGTACAGTGAGGTTACTCAAAACGGTCTCGCAGGGGGACTGAACACGATCGGTATTGTCGGTACGGTCATCAGTGCGCAAATTGTGGATCGACTCGGCCGGAGAAAGTGTCTGATGCTAGGGTCCCTGGTCCTGTTTGCTGTCGAGCTTGTGGTAAGTCTCAGCCATTGCCCTTTAACATTTGAGAGCAGAATTAATCAATTATTGTTGCAGGCCGGTGGCGTGTATGAAGGCTCGCTTCAGAACCCGAGCAAAGCTTCACAGTATGCACCAGCCGCAGTGGCAATGCTCTTCCTCTTTAACCTGGGGTATGCTGCAACCTGGGGAACGGTGGCCTTCCTTGTGCCCACAGAAATTTTCCCATCGGATCTGAGAGCACAAGGCAACGGGTTCGGTATCACGGGCTGGGCTATCGGAGTCGGCATGACTACCTTAGTCAATCCCATCATGTTTGGCAGCTTGAAGAGCCGCAGTTACTTCCTCCTCGCCGGGCTAAACCTTCTCTGGATCCCCATTG